AATATTCTCGGCATTTACCCCTGGTCAAGGCATGAAAGAAGGACCCAATATGGCAGTCCAGATGACTTTTTCGCCATTCCTAATCTGAGATGCTGATCCCTGATCCGAACAGGTGGCGCTTCTAGCGACCCTCAATGGATGGGATGGTGGACTTTCCCGACGGCACGGGTCGCAAGGGTAGGTTTTTTATTTTTCCTTCCCTCGAAGCCACTTCTTCGTAAATGACTAGAGTTCGCTATTGGTGTTTTACGAAGTATCAGAATTAAGGGGCGAAGAACTTGAATTGGGTGTGCGCCCTGCATTGAAGAGGGAGAATGCCTAGATCTGGCATCCATCGTCAGCCATTGAATCACGAATGTGCAAACAATCTGCTTCGTAATGTCTATTCACCGCTGTTGTGCTTCCATTCTTTTTACAGCCAGCCCCCTACTTGCAGAATAACCCTTGCTCTGCATTTCTGACAAGCATTCGGGTGGACACGGGACCCATTAAGCGGTTTCTATCAATCCTTGTAGGCCTCTTCAGGGTAAAAAACTTGCGGCTCCAAATTTTTACTTGGAATGTCGAATGTCGGTGTTGAAGATGCGGGACTGGCAATCGGCGGGATATGTACGTGAGAGAGCATCCATATGTACGGACATGGATGGGCCTGACCTTGAGCGGTGATGACTTGTCCACGCAGGATCCACCGTCAACCACAGAGATCGGAGAGACCAGATGGATGACATGCTTCGGGCTCTCTGCTCCGACAAGATCCACCCCGGTCATCACCGCCTGTTTGAGAGCGAACGGAAGAAGACGAATGATGCCAGATGCTGCCATACGCCTTTTTTCTCGCCTTTCTCGATGGGGATCGATCTACATGTACTCGTAGGATTCGGGCATCTGCAAGTATCACACCTACTTTTCGGCTCCTCTCTGCTTCGTGCTTGCTGTTGCGGTCCTGCCTCGACCCCTGGCAGTAGCGGGTCCACGGCTTCCTTCCGGGAGGTCTCTCAACAATTCTAGTTCGGTGACGGTCTCCTAACCCAGGCCGTTCGTCCCCCTATCGAGCATCCACCCACCATCTCAAGAAGCGGACTGCAGGACGGCCGGAACGCAAGCCGAATCGAACAACCCCCTCCCTCTTGGATTAAGTTCGGGGTGTTTACCCTTCCTCCGCCCAAGGAAATGTGGCTGGTGGACTGTGGTGGGCAAAATTGTTAGGGCATATCCCCTTGCGATGCCCTCAGGTCACCATGCATAGCTTTTGCATTGAGACCACACAACACTTTTTTTTTTTTTTTCCTGCCAATTGTTTCACTTGGTGTGAGTGCTACGTCCATGTGATTCCTCGAATAGATTCGGGAGACGTAGATCGGTGACGCATGTGGTTGATTCTTACGTCCGTCCGCTTTCAGCTGTACACACGAAATCTTCCCCAGAGGGAGGGGCAGAGGCAATAAATGGCGGGGGAAAAGGGTGTGAGATATGGTTGGGCGTCCAATATTAGAGCCAGCCTCGGAGTGAGAATGAGATAGTAATACCCCTCCCCCTTCCTGGATCTCGACGTGGCTAAGAAGAGACAGTGTTAGACAGCAATCTCGACAAGGGACGGCAGAATCAGATATCGTGCCATGGCCAAATGAAGCTCGTTGACGTGAGTTTGTCTTCGGAGAGAAGCCGAATATGGGGGGAGGGGACTGTTTGCCTGTCTTATCTGATTGAAATATCTTCAAGACATCAATTGATAAATATATATACGTGCGTCTCATTCAAGGTCAGCAATACGATACAACCACCAAATCCGCCCATCTATTGCGTGCGGGAAGTGAGTATCTCCCGCTCTCTTGTCCGTGACCAGCAACAGCGGGCCGTATTTACATGCATGTACAGCAGGAATGGCCCGCTGCCCCGTTGTGTCTCTCTACATCCCCTCTCTTCGCTTCGCTAGAATGGCCGACATATGTAGACTCCCACCACATGTCTGTCTAGGCAGAGACGCACACGCACCGCCCAATGCAAAGTCTGTGTTCTTCTGCCCAGTTCAGGACACGTCTACGGAAACATGGAGAGAGCCTGCCGGTTGCCCTGCTGTGCGACACGGAAGATCCGACAGCCACAGGAGCCGCTCGGGCCCTCGGGCGAAGATGGGAACAGAAAGAGGGCAGGGAAATAGAAAATTAGCTCGGACACTCAAAAAAGAATATGACGAGACGCACCACATATCGATTTCGTACAGAAAAGAAAGAAAAAAAAAAAAAAAGAAGGGAAAAAAGGAAGATCGGAAAGTGAGAGGGCGGGGGAGGAGGGAAGCGGGGGCATAATCTGGGGTTGGTCGCACACACTCTTCTCCCCAACCATCCCCATTCCCATCCACGTATAGACGGGTTTTCCCTTTTAGCCCCAAATCCAGGTTAAGTAGCACAGGCAAGAAAGGACCGAAGAATAAGTGTGTTGGATATAAGCCCGAAAGTGATGTTCGAATGGATAGATCAAGATCCGTCCTGTCCCGCTCGTTCGACTGTATCAGCCTCTGGTTCGACGTCGATCATCAGTGGGTTGCACGGTCCCTTAACTTCGCTTCTACCGGCAGAAGCAACTATCCCTCTTGTCCTCCCCTGTTTTGTCTTTCGCTTTTAATTTTTTTTCTCCCCCTTCTCCTCATGCTTCCTTTGTTCCTTTCCCCGTCTGTGTGTTGGAGGAGTCCTATGCGACGGGACGGGAAGAGACCAGGGGAGTGATCGGGAAGAGGGGAAAAAAAAAAAAAAAAAAAAAAAGAAGAAAGAGAATAAATACGCGACACAGATCGTAGGGAGAAACGAGAAACTGGGGTATGCATCTCACCACAATCGGCCGTGGTGGGTCGCCGTGTCGGAAGAAACACGGCAAGACCAAGTCCGCGGGAAAGAGGGCATAAGAAAAGCGTTACACTTAAGACCAACATCCATGGATGTCTCCAAGTTGCTCGCTCGTCTCGAGGTAGGATCCAGGCGCGATCCGCTGCCCCAAGCCGTCTCTGGTGCTCCCATCGCCGTGTACCTTGAGCGGAGGTGAGGGGGATTCCACTCGGTCTCCCGTCAAGTGGTCCGGAAAGTGGTGCCGTGAAGATTCCAAATCGGCTCGCCATGGCCAGACGATGAATGCATGAATTGGAGACCGGGCAGGCGTTCGGGCTCTGAGAGATGGTGGTGCCCGAGCGAATGACGACGGCGTTGACCCCTAACCTCGACGCGAAGGGGGGTCATCTATGGGCGGATGATGAGAGAAAGCCCCATGCCTTGGTTTTCCTAGCTCGCCTCCTGGTGTTTCTTCAAAATCGATCCAGGGGCGAGCCTTCCTGCCGGTTCTCTGGTGCCATCAACATCAGAGGTCGCCATGGTGTCCTCCTTGGAATCCATCAGTGGAAGGCTGACAAGCCTCGACCGGTCAAGGATTCAACATTATGCTGCGGGAAAAATGGCATTTCCACACAGCAGAATGAAACCCAGAACCGTCAGTTATCACCAGGAGTTTTCAATGTTGTGGGCAGGGCAGGGAGAGAAGGGTCGCAAGCGAGGTGGGGAGGGTCCCATTGAATTAATCCCGTTAAAACGAATCGAGCTCCTCCCCCTATTCTTGCTCGCTAATGATATTCCCACTAGAATCAGTAGCCCGGCGAGAACCGACACTATTGCCCTCATCATCTGGACGCTCTTGCTATGCTTCGTACACTAGTTGTTCGCATCGCATCGTCGTCCTTTGGTAGAGTCCCGAATGGCATCACCTACTGCCGAGAAACATCTCCGCCCGAGGTTGCTCGGGCTGACGGTAGCAGTGCATTGCCAGGCGTACAGGTCTTACCACTGGAATAGGGCATTCTCTAGCCTTTTCTGGCATTGTGTAGCGAGAAGTTGATTGATTGATCAGTGTGTTGTGTTTCTCTCCTAGCTGGTACCACCTCAACGCTGCAACCTGGCGAAACGTAACCTTGTACATCACAGAGGAACGGGAACGGAGCATTGATGGCCTGCCTCTTGTACTATGTACTTATACATACATACACGCAAATTATAGTGAATATTTTAGTATTAGTTACAACAGACACAGCCGTTATTCTGACAGAAGGCGCCGCCGGCCGTTGACGAACAATTAGCGAAGAAGGGAAAAGGACAATTGAGAAAAGGAAAGAAGGGGTAAAATCCAGAGCAACCCACCACTCAGACTGCTAAGATCGCGCAATAATCCAATCCAGTCGAGATCGAATCCTCGTTAGTCCCTCGTCTCCCTTCGCCCCGCCTCCTGATTCATTTCTGCGTCGTCCAGAGAGGTACGTGAGTACCCAGGAAAACATTATCGCGACACCAAGTCTCTTGCTACCTGAAAGAGCCCCCCAAGTTTTTCAACTACTGACGCGGACAGATAGCAGACAGACAGACATACACCGCTCCGCTCAATGCTGTCGGTATCTATCGAGTGATTTTCTGTCTTGGAATCGAGCCCCTTAACATTTTTGCTTTCTCCTTGGAAGGTTGCTCCCCACCCCCGCCCGCACGCCGATGAGGTTGTGTTGCTTGGCCGGGTCTCCCCCCATAATACCGTAGGTAGTGTATTGTAGTGTGGTGTCCACCACAGACGCTTCACAACGCTACTTTGTACGCTACGCTACACCTGGTCTGGCTTGCTACCACTATCCTCTTCCAGACCACCCTTGATTGAAGAACACCGGCCCCTCACACCTAACCCGATCCTACTACAACCACAACAACATAATCTCCCAAACCACCACCACCACCACCACCGCTGCCATCTCAGGAGTCGATCGCCCTCTTCAAACCCTCATCTTGCACTCGCCGCGAACGCTTCCCACCCTCTCCTATATTCGGCTTCTCGATAGAATCGTGCTCTCGGCCGACATCAATTTCGTCAAATATTGCGCCGATGCTTGCAGGGCTGATGGGACGAGCTATGACCTGAAATCCGTCCGAGGCCAGGCCCCATCACCCCTCCCCTCTTTCCAACAGATCTACCGCCGCACCATCATGCTCACGACCGACACGGCAGCGCCGCCTTTTGACCAGGGTTACAGTAACAATCCGTACAATTCGCGCAATAAATTCTTCAACGATCGCTCCTACGACCCTTCCGTGCCAGTCGACTCGTCCCGAGCGGCGTCGGGTGTCCCAAACGACCCCAATTCACGCTACTACGACTACGAATCTGCCTATTCAGCCGCTGCCGCCTCCTCTTCGCTCATGAACGGCATCGTTGGGCCCGCCCAGCCGGGCGCGATGTATGTCCGAGCTCTCTACGATTACGAAGCTGACGATAGGACGAGTCTGAGTTTCCATGAGGGAGATGTTATCCAAGTTATCAACCGCCTCGACAGTGGCTGGTGGGATGGAGTGATTAACGGTGTTCGAGGCTGGTTCCCAAGTAATTACTGCCAGGTCATAACAAGTCCCGACGAACTTCCCGATACCATTCTGCACGCCGCTGCCGCCGACCATGCGGACGACGAACTGGTCGAGGAAGGCGAGGCGTACGAGGAGGAGTTTGAGGATGACGAATCGGATCCGGATGGCGTCGACGGCCTGCCTCTCGAGGGCATCGAGAGCGAGGATAGGTCGAGGTCGGATTTCTGGATTCCGCAAGCCACACCCGACGGCAGGTTGTTTTACTACAATATGATGACAGGCGACCGCACGACCGAGCTACCCCTCGAATCACCCAGCTCCTCAGCCGATGCCGGGCCTAGGGATCGGAGCGGCACGAACGTTTCCATGCCTGACGAGACACGGCCACCCCCCGAGATGATGGCAAGAGGAGGCTTGACACGAGATGAGGAACAGGATTCCGAGGCGAACTCGGCTTCCGAGATAGAAGGAGAGAATATTCTCGCTGGCCCACGGGGTGCTTTGGTATGATTTGCTCACTCTCGTCTTCTCTTAACCCCTCACCCACTTTCTTTCTCTTCACTTTCAGTCCCTTTCATCAAGACATCCGAGAAAGAAGAAATTAATTATGAAATCCCATGCGGTCATCGCTAACTTTCGTAGCTTCGAAACCAGAGCTCGTTCAACGATACACTCTCACCCTCGGTCTCGATGGATTCCATCAATGGCATCTCCCCAGTCGCTCGCGGTAACCGAGGCGATCCATTTGCGAATGGCGTGCCTACCGGTCAAACACCCATGATAGCTTCCGCTACCTCGTTTACTACCTCACCTTACTCCCTCCCAGCTACTACTTCCATCCCACGATCCTTCTTTGATGACGGCCAGACCCCTCCCCTGACCTGGACTCGCCTTGTACAAAATATGAAGAGAGCTATCGACCGGTATCGCGAAGCGATAACCAGCAACCGCCGATCCGAATACGTAGCCCGCGCCGAAGACATATCTGACCACCTACGCCTTCTCCTAGCTGCGGGTTCTGGAACAACAGATAACCACTCTGGCCAGCCGTCCATCATTTCGCAAAATAAAGCTCTATATCCTCACTTTAGGGACATGATGTCCAAATTCTCCAAACTCGTTATATCCTCCCACATCGCCGCCGCTGACTGGCCGAACGCCGAGTCCGTACAAAAGTGCTTGATGGAAGCCGAAGGTGTCTTCCAAGGTGTCTTCAACTATGTAGAAGTAGCGCGGCAACAACGAGGAGAGGAGATCCCCCGTCTCTTTCCCGGATTCGTTATTGGAAGCAATACCGGCGGCAGCTGGCAGAACAATGGCTTAGGACCCCGGGATCCGATTATGACCAACTTCCTTGATGACGATGAAGGAGTTATGGAACCTTCGGCGATTTTGGATGCGAAGCTTCTTGAGAGGCTAGATGAGCTCAAACGTATGCTTGTTTCGAGCATCCGAGAGCTTGATAAGCAGCTGGTCATAACGGACAAAATCGTAACACCCTACCGGCATGAGCTCGTCGGAAACAACGTCTGCACTGCTGGGACTAAGGTGCTGGAGACGTTCAAGCCTTGGATCGCTATGATCGAGTCCATCGACTTGTCAGTTCTGGGAAACACCTTCCAGACCCCACAGCTAGCCGACTTCAGCACGAACAAGCAAAGTTTGTACGATAACCTGTCGGATTTAATTCTAGGATGCCAAGCGGTCGCGGGTCCTCTTGCGGATGAGTGGGCCGAAGTACACGGCGAGGCGCTGGAAAACCGACTAGAGTATGTAAGGCAGTGTGCCAGGGCGCTCGAGACTAACTCGTCACACGTCGGTTTCTCACTGCAGCTCCTCTCGGAACAGGTCCAGATTAATCTCCAGGCGCAGCAGAACAGCATGAGGCAAAGGGAGGACCAATTGGTCCGCGAGCAGCTCCAGAGGTCCCAGACCATGCCATACGGCGGCCAGCCCCAGCGGACCGATTCCCGTGCTATGCCGATACGGCAACCTCTCTTGCAGAGCCAATCGTTCGGCGGCGATCTTGATCCTACCGCGCCAGGGAACTTCCGGAAAGGCGACTATAGTAGCTCTAAGCTTAAGAAGATCCTCGGTGAAGATCCCTCGGCTGAGGCTGGCATGGGCATGGGGGCTGGAGACGATACGCCACCATACCTCCGACTCGACTACGAACACGAGATCGCGTGGGAATTCAAGACCCAACCCCCCACCGTCAAGGGTGGTACCCTCCCCGCTCTCGTGGAGCAGCTCACTCGTCACGACAAGCTGGATTCTGGCTTCACGGACACCTTCCTACTCACGTACCGATCATTTACAACGGCCCGAGAACTGTTCGAGCTCCTTGTTAAGCGGTTCAACATTCAACCGCCCGAGGGCCTAACACAGCAAGACTACGAAGTATGGAGGGACCGAAAGCAAAAGCTCATTCGGTTCCGAGTGGTCAAGATCTTGAAGAGCTGGTTCGATAACTTCTGGATGGAGGATTACAACGAGGAGTCTAGGGCGCTAATTCGCGACGTGTACAACTTTGCGAGGGACACGGTCAAGTCGACGGAGACTCCCGGCTCGGCGCCACTCATGCAGGTCCTCGACCAGAGGCTCAACGGAAAGGAGGTCGGCGTCAAGCGCATGATCCAGACTCTCAACCAGAACAGCCCTGCGCCCATCATGCCGAGGAGCATGAAGAAACTCAAGTTCCTCGACATCGACGTGACCGAGTTCGCCCGCCAACTGACAATTATCGAGTCTCGACTGTATAGCAAGATTAAGCCTACCGAGTGCCTCAACAAGACTTGGCAGAAGAAGGTGGGCGAGGGCGAGCCCGAGCCAGCGCCGAATGTCAAGGCGCTCATCTTGCACTCTAACCAGATGACCAACTGGGTTGCGGAGATGATTCTTGCGCAGGTCGATGTGAGGAAGCGAGTCGTGGTCATCAAACACTTTATCTCCGTTGCTGATGTGAGTTTGATCGTTCTAATTTGCGCGTCCCTCCACGATTGTACTAACCTCTGATAGAAATGTCGTGCTCTGAACAACTTCTCCACTCTTACCTCTATTATCTCAGCCCTTGGAACTGCGCCCATAGCACGTCTGAAGCGAACTTGGGATCAGGTACCCCAGAGGACACAGACTGTCCTTGAATCTATGAGGAAGCTCATGGCCAGTACCAAGAACTTCGGTGAATACAGAGAAGCCTTACATGCGGCGAATCCACCTTGTATCCCTTTCTTTGGTAAGTAGCTCGAACGGCGAGATTCAGACATCCATCCGGTGCAACAAGTGGCTAACATGAGGGTTTCCTATAGGCGTCTACTTGACCGATCTCACATTCATCGAGGACGGTATCCCCTCCATCATCAAGAAAACGAACCTCATCAACTTCTCCAAGAGAGCCAAGACGGCCGAAGTCATCGGAGACATTCAGCAATACCAGAACGTCGGCTACTTACTGCAGCCGGTGACGGAGCTCCAGGATTACATATTAAGCAACATGCAAGCGGCTGGAGACGTGCACGAGATGTATGATAAGAGTCTCCAGGTGGAGCCTCGTGAGCGCGAGGATGAGAAGATTGTTAGGTATGTCTTTGTCATCTTTGTCATGGAGTAAAGGTTTTCAAGGCTCTTTGGTGTTCGGTATACTGATTATCCTTCTAGGGTGCTGGCTGAGTCTGGATTCCTTTGATCAATGACGGGTAAATGGCCTGATTTTCGACGATCGTATCGATATGCTTTGAAAGGGCCTGTGCTGCACAGGGCAGAGATGCCATGTCGCCGGCGATCCCTCGATTTGCAACTAGTGGGCGCTGGCTGTGGCTATCGCGGGGTATGGATACGCGGCATGGGCGACACGAAATCGACGCCCGTGTCGAGCCGAGATACTGGTCGATATGACCTAGGCTCGACGCCCCTCCATGGCAGAGAGAGACCTCTTCCAGTGCTCTTAGCCTCGGAGGTGTGTCCGGATGTGAGAATGAAACCTTGCGGACTGAGCTAGTCGGAGATATTCCGACGGTGGGGTGCGCCCAGGGTCTTGCGGGCAGAATCTGAAGTTTGATGGTGTGTTCTTGGTTTGGAAAGCAATGGACTATGAGAATGAATCATGGCTTTGACGGGTACGGGAAACCTTTCGGTAAAGGGACGGTGGGAGCTTTTTCTTCTTCTTCCTTTTTTTTTTTTTTTTCCGGTCGGGACAAGACTTCTTCACAGCACGGAAGAAACAAAACAAGAAAAAAAAAAAGACACGATATGACCAAACATTTCTTCTTCATGTATGGCACGAATTGTTCTATAGCTTTTTTTGCGGGTGTTGTTTCGGCGGGAACTGTTTAGATCATTCTGGGACTGATGTTTACTACTTATCGTTTTTTTTTTTTAACCCTTTTCTTGTGCATTGCGTTTCTGTGCTATCTCCCATTCTCTCCTTTTTGGTTAAAGAATAAGTTCTCGTGGGTTTTGTTGGGGGTTTGGGGTGTCTTGTCTTGTGTGAATATAACTTCGGTTTTATAGTGAAATGTGAGGTATGATTCTATCTCGTCTTTGGATGTGATCTTGTGCTCCCTGAGTAGAACTGCCTGGACGACCATTTATATCTGGAGATGGCCTTCATTGCCAGATACTACTGCTCAATGTCCTTCTTTGAAATAGGGCGGATGGTCGCCTGCCATTAGGATTCACTTCAAGACGAGACGAAGGAAAATGGGGGTTCGCGGCTTGAACCTGGAAGATACCGCAGGTTCGCCGCTCCGCTACACCACCTAGAACGGATGACGCGCCATGGCCATCGATAGACGAATACGAGACGAGTTTCTCAAGATATGGTGTAATTCAGAACTCGGAATGCTGCGTTCACATCCGCAAGTTCGCTCGTGAGATCAAACGAGGATTAGATATGGTGGTAGCGGATTGTTGCCTTTTGCCTCAGGGCTCTGGCCTTAAGTCTAATACGCAGACTAGCCAGACCTACGGAATATCTGAGATAAAAGCCTCTAATTACAAGGTAAGGTAATCGCATTTTCTACCTGAGAGCAACGTGGATTTGGTGGTTAATGCGAATATGTCCATCAAGAAACCAGGATAGTCTCCCGCCTTCCTGGGCGTGACAGGTGCCCGCACTTGGAGGTGCATCCAGCTTAATCATCCCGCCCACGTGAAGATAAGGCGGACAACGACACTCCATCGCGATGATGCGGCTCAACGCCAAGTCACAAGGCAACACCGAAACTCGCACCATTAAGGCATCCAATATCCGACCTCTCACCCCCTTCCCGATACCTTGCGACATATAATTTTAGCCTACCACCACCCATGAGGATACCTGGATCCTAAGGACTCCTACCTCGCACCCTTTCCAACCGATAAGGGAGCGGCGCAATCCGACATCGAACTCACCCCCTCGATCCGATCTGTCGCGCGCGTTCACGCCCCCCAACGCCGATATGCCAGCCGACAGTGACTCTCGTAAGAGTACGCATTGAATTTACCGCCTTCCCTACGTACAGTTTGGGCGACGTTCGTTGATGGAAAATTGGGCTAACTGTGTCTTTACGATTCTTCGAATAGGCGTCGATGCCACCATCAAGGTCGCATCGAAGAAGGACGGCAAGGAGAAGAGCAAGAGAGGCGTTTTGAAGCTTAAGAAGATACAATTGAAAGCGACGAAGCTCGGAGTATGGACGGAGAATATCTCAGCTGATGGTAAGTGAAGGATTGTCGTCCCCCCCTCCCCTCCTTCCCCCGCAACCTCGCATTTTGCGGCGCATTCCCCCCAGTCGAGCTAACGCGATGTGGATTTCGGCACAGAGGATAAGAAACTTAAGGCGACTGAGGCATTACCCTCCCCCGGCACTAATCATGTCGACGACGACGAGCAAGAAACCTTTACCCTAGGACGACCCGTGCATGACGCGCCCGAGATGGAATCGTGCAAACACTGCAAGAAGAACGTGCTGAAGTCCGGGGCGAAAGAACACATCGCACAGTGTCTGCGGGTCAAGAAGGAAAAGGCTCTGCGGAAGAAGGAGGCGAGGGAAGCGAGGGAGCGCGCGAGGGAGGCGGCGAGAGAAGAGGCGAGGAGGGCGGATGAAGAAGCGCATGGCGGAAAGGGCGACGACGATAGCGACGACGACGATGACAATAAGGGTGGGAAGACTTCGAAGGGAAAGAGCGATGTTGGGAAGGGGAAGAAGCGGAAGGCTGATGGGGAGGCGGAGAAGGGTCCGTCGAAGAAGAAGAAGAAGGAGGAAGTTAAACCCAAGGTTGCCAAACCGAGAGGTATCCTAACCCATCCCTACAAACCCGGAAAAAGAGGAAGAGAAAAAAAAGGCTTAAAGCGAGGGTGGTTTTGCTAATGTCATTGATTCCAGGACCTGTTGATGTTGAACGCCAGTGTGGTGTTATCCTTCCGAACGGCATGCCCTGCGCGAGGTCGCTTACGTGCAAGAGTCACTCGATGGGAGCGAAACGGGCTGTGCCTGGTAGATCTCTACCATATGACATGCTACTTGCCGCATACCAGAAAAAGAATCAGGCTAAGCAGCAAAGTGAGTTCCAAGCTGATGTCCAATGCATTTGCCGCCGTCGCGCCTTCGCTAACTGAAGTTCCTATTTACAGAGGCGGCGCTGGATGCAAACGCTCCTATTGAGGACGAAGATGAAAACGCCGGCCAGATCGACTCGGACGAAGAAACAGCCAATGTCATGAACGCCCTAAGCCACTGGAAGCCCCAGCCTGTACTGCCGCCCGCCGTTCTCCAGCCTATTAGGCGCACGTACCAGCTCGCGCGACTCCACGAGCAGCTCCAAATGGCCACCAATGGAGGCCGCACCAACATCTTCAAAGTCGTCGGGTACGGTCCGCAGAAGCTTCCCGATGGCAATCTCATGGATAGCGAGGATGCGCAGGGTGAGCCTGACACCGTGATGTTCCCGACTCATACTAGGACGCCGAGCTTTGGGATGCAGGGGTCGCGTCGGCCATCTGTTACTAGTAGGGGATAAGCGTGTCGTGTTGATCTCGATGTGTTAAAGGTGATGGGGCGGTTGTGCATCTTATCTGTTCCTTTTCTTTTCTTTTTGTACGATGATGACTTGGGTGGAAGCGTAGGCATTCCCTTTTCTTTTCTGTCTTCTTTCATGCGGCATCAGGCAAGCGGCGTTCTGGCATTGCGGAGAGGTACATCGCGGTTTCATCCATTGGGAGTAGCGACATGTATGTATTATCATGAGGGTTTAGGGACGAGAGACATGTGCTCCTCGAATAGCGGCGAAATCAAATTGTTATTTTCAGCCTTCCTTCGCTCGCATGTCGGCGTGTATTAACGTGATGTATATGTACATGTATTTTTCTCCACGCATTGATATCCGATGAGTCTATGTCATCCGCAGATTGGCCCACCCGTTTTTATGTTACAACTACCTTTTTTTTTTGCGGTTCTTCTACAAAATCACCGTTTACTCGAAACATGGTCCTCCCCAAGCGTGCTCGTCCTGGGACTCTCCTCCTTTTCCTTCTTCCACGTCTCAGCCAACCCCAGCGCCTCGTCATCATCAGGATATCCCAAGCTCCTCCTCAACTTCATAACCTCGACCCTAACCCTCCTCGCCGTCTCTATCCTCACCTCAACAGCTTCCCTCCACACATCAGCATCGACATTTGGCGGAGGACCCAACGGACTGATGATATCCCCGCTATCGGTGGGAGCAGCCGGCGGTTCCACTAGATGCCGTATCCTCCTCCACCTGTCAACCAACTCGCCAAAGACATCGCGGACGTCGACCTGTTCGCCAAAAGCGATGCGCAAGTCCTTCCCCACGCGGGGCAAGAAGCGGGGGAATTTCCTATCCTCGGGCATGAGGCGCTGGGTGCCGTCTATGAACATGGGGACGAAGTCCGGGGTTGGATCGGATTCGAGGATGAGTCGCGAGATACCCCATTTGAAGTAGCGGAGGGAGGAGGTGGGATGTTGGTGGACGCAGCCTTCGGGGAAGATGTGGACCCAGGAGAGGTGAGGGTGCGGGTAGGGGGGAGGGGTGGAGGATGAGGAGGAAGGGGATGGAGCAGGGGATGAAGGGGCGTTGGAGAGGAGGTGGATTGCTTCTGTTATGGTGGGTTGGTAGATTCCGCCTTTGGGGGAGTGTTTGAGGCGGTGGGTTGGGAGGACTTGGCCGAGGCTGAAGAATGTTGCGGATGCGCTGGAGGGCGTTAGTACATGGGAATAGACTTGTGAAGGTTAGAGGCATATCATACTTGTTCTTGAAGCAGATGTCTTGGGCGCCGAGGCTCCAGCGGAGGTTCCATGGATCAAAGGCGTAGCGAAGAGGGAGAATACCCCATATTAAAGGATCATCCAAGCTTGTTTGAGGTGTAAGTTAGCATAAGGAAAAAAAGCGCATTTGTTTTCCCGTCATAACATGAAATCTCGATATGAGCACAGATGATGTCCTCCTGGTTGCAAACTCACACCGAGATATGATTACAGGCAGTAATAAGCCCCCTCTTCCTCCCTTCTCTCTTCCTCTTCTCCAAGATCTTCACGAAATCCTCGTATCCCTCCGTGTGCGCCCGGTTCAACCCGTATATAAATCCCTTGCAGAGCATGACTGTAAGCCCCATCACCGCTGTAGACCCGAAACGCCATAGCGCTCCGGGCTGCGGACGTCGCAGACCGAGCCCTTTAGACATTTTTGTTCCGGCCTATAGACGGCGTGCTGATGAGGTGCTGCTCTTGCCGGTATAAAGCCTCTTCTTTTGGATGTAAGAGGAAGAAAAGCCGAGGTCAAGGGCGGCAAAACGAGATGCGGACCGCAGCCGTTTCCTTCTCAGCCTTGAGAGAGAAAATTTCTCACGCCATTGACATGAGCTGGGATCGTTTCTGAAGGGACTGGAGATGGGATATTATGAACTTTCACGTTTGATCGATGACGCGCTGGATTCGCGATTTGAGCGCAGCATCAAAAAAAAAAAAAAAGCTTCTGGAAGCTTTTCTTGTCTAAGACGAAGACAACGTGGGTGAGATGCGTTGTAACGGAGCTCGGTTTGTACATAGCCCCCATTAATGCATACCATCTTCGTCATTGAACTGTTCAAACATCAATTGAACCTCGAAAGTCAGGACAGCTCGATGAGACGCCAGTTATTCTTGCGATTTCTTCATCATCCGTCGAATCGAGTTGTACTGATTTTTTTAAGATTATCGGCGCACAAGCTATTTTCCTCTAAATCTAATAATAATAAAAACTCGAGCATTTTTCTTTGCCCAGAGTCTTGCACATCTTCGCCATCCCAACCACCTCTGAGGACGAAGTGAGCAATCCACCGTCGACAAGCTGAAAATCGACCACTTCAGCACATCCTAACAAGCTTCACGCGGCCCGGTCCTCATTCGCCTCTTCAAAAAAGAAAAAAAAAAATTCTCTCAAAATGTCCCACAGTAAGTCCTTCGTCATTCCCATACCACGCTCCTTCATCCTGACTCATCCCAACTAGGCAAAAGAAACACGACCAGACCTGTCTTCACAGCCCACGAGCGCAACCTCGCCCGCGCAGCCTGGACATCCTCCTCCGCGCGCCTCACGCGCGACTCCTTCCTACCCTTCGGCTCTTGCAACCTCTGCCTCGAGCCGGCGCGGGACCCCGTAGCGTGCCACCGCGGCGACGTGTTCTGCCGCGAGTGCGCGCTGGCCAACCTGCTCGCGCAGAGGAAGGATATCAAGCGGTTGGCGAAGGCGCGGGCGGCGGCCGAGAAGGAAGTCGAGGCAGCGAGGGGGGAGAAAGAAGCTGAGGCGAGGGAAAGGGCTGTGAAGGAGTTTGAGATGGTGCAGTTGGGCTTGGGAACGAGCGGACGCGGGACCGCAAGTCGCGAGGAGGAGGAGGGCCGGGGGGCGAATGGGGAGGGGGAGAAGAAGAAGAAGGAGGTTGCGGGGTTGATTGCGCAGGGGACGAAGAGGAAGTTTGATTTGGATGAGAAGGAGGTGGAGAGGATATCGAGGGAGGATGTCACCAAGGCGCGGAAAGCCATTGATGATGAGATCGTAAGTTTTTCTTTCTTTTCTCTTTTCTTCTCAGTCTACCGCCATATCCATTTTCGATAGCACTAACCGTTTCAAACAGGCTCAAAAACCGACCCTCCCCTCCTTCTGGACCCCCTCCCTAACACCCACAATCGACCCCGAAACCGCCCTCTCCACCCGCAAGAAACCCAAAGAATCCCCCATCTGCCCCTCGTCCCCCTCCGACGCCCCTCACATCTTTTCCCAAAAGCACCTCATCACCCTCTCCTTCACCGAAGAAAAGGACCCCTCATCCTCCTCATCCACCAACGCCGTGAAGCGCATCTGCCCCTGCTGCCGCAAAACCCTCTCCAACCCGTCCAAACCCGTCCTCGCCAAACCGTGTGGCCACGTTCTCTGTCGCGCGTGCGCTGTGCGGCTTGTTGAGAGCGCGAGGGCGGATGGTGATGATGCGGCCCTTACGTGTTACGTCTGCGATGCGAGCCTTGCAGAGAAGGGGGATAGGAGTAAGGAGGAAGAGGATCAGCCCGCGGGGAAGAAGAAGGCTAGGGGGTTGTTGCCGAGTACGTTGATCGAGTTGAGGTCGGATGGGACGGGGTTCTCTGCTGGAGGGGCGAGTCGGGTTGAGAGGGATAGTACCAATTTCCAGTGCTAGTGTGGTTATTCGATGATTTTTATATAGAGGGGAACTTCAGTCTATAGATATAGCGAGATCAAGAGTTGGTTCTTTCCGCCAATGCAAGCCTTCTTCCTCTGCAAAGAGAGCCTTGGAAAGATTCACCGTGCTGAGATTCAAAAATGAAAGAGTCCAGCAAAACTCAAGGCCAACCACCGAGCTCAACAGTTCCTCTATCCAAGACCCCCTTCATCCATTTTTGAACTCATAGATATACACAAGGAATCACAAATTAGAGGAAGTAAATGAAGTAAATCCTTTCATTCATGAGCCTACGTTCCCAAGAAGCAAAAGCAATCGTCAAATTACATACACAAATGCGCCATTGAACACCGGAATCCCAAGTCTAAGAGTAGACGGTCCCCCACACAAATCCTTGCACCCTGCCACCACCTGCTGCAGTTTTACCCAGAATCGAAGGAAGCTGGTTGTCTTAGGAGGATTTCCTAAGTTGATTTTCCATTTATCCTAACTCATTATGAAACTGGAAGAGGGAAGAAGAAGAAAAAGAAAAAAAAAAAACATGAGCTCAAAGGCGCTAACGACGTAAGGAAAGAAAAAAAAAAGGAAAGAGAAAGCAAAGAAACAATATCGACCGTATTTTTTATAGAAAATATATGTGCACATGGGGACAGTTCCCAAGTTCGGAACAACACAACCGTATAAACAGTTTTAGTAACTATCATATGGCGGCGCCTGGGCTGGAACCTGCTGGGGATAACCTCTTGACTGCGCCTGCATAGCCGCAGCAGCCTGCTGCTGTTGATGGTGCTGAAGAATCAAATCATTAAACCAACGGTGCTTCAGAGCATCATGAGCACTGATGCGGAACTCGGGGCGCAACTGGAGCATGCGCTGGAGAAGGTCGATGCCATCGGGGTCGATCTGGGGCAAAATCTGACGCAGGTCCTGGGTAGCGTACATCTGAAAGTTGGGCTTGTACTCGGGGAACTGCGTGATGCCGGGCCAGGTCCTCTCCGTTGGGGTACCCATGATCCGAAAGATCCTCACTATCTGATCCTCGTTGGTGGTACCCGGGAAGAGGGGCCTACCCGTATACATCTCCGCCATGATACAACCCGCAGACCAGATGTCGATGCTCGTGTTGTAGGTGCGGCTTCCCAGGAGAACATCTGGGGCCCTATACCAAAGAGTGACGACCTCGTTAGAGAAGGTGTTAACTGGGATACCGAAGGCGCGGGCGAGACCAAAATCGCCGAGCTTAAGCTGACCCTTGCTGTTGATGAGCAGGTTCTGCGGCTTGAGATCTCGGTGAAGAACCCTATTCTGGTGGCAGAAATCGATGCCCTTGAGGAGCTGGTACATGAATGACTTGATGGTCATGGGCTTGAGGGCGCCGCGGTCGCCGTTGGTGTCCATGTACTTCTTAAGATCTCCGTCCATGTGCTCGAAGACGAGCATGAGCTTGTTCTCGGTGTGGATGACATCGTGGAGGGCGACAATGTTCTCATGCTTGAGCTCCTTCATAAGAGAGATTTCGCGAATGGCGGTGGAGGGGGTGCCCTCTTCCGAGTCGAGGTGGATTTCCTTGAGGGCGACGAGTTCGCCGGTCTGCCTATTCCGACCTTTAAAGACCTATGGAGGTTGGAACGGCGCCGAGTTAGTATGGTGAAACGCAGAAACGAGGGGTCGACGTTGAATTTGGCGGGGCATGTCGTACCGTGGCGTAGGTTCCTTCACCGAGCTTCTCCAGCTGCTGGAAGGAACTGGGATGTCTTTTCCCGTCCATCTTGGCTTGAGATCTCGAGATGATTGTGGGGAGGTGGGTGGGGGGTTAAAATTAGGAAGAAGGATCAAATGCTCGAGGCGCTATCGGGAGGCGCTGCAGCCGCGCGGGGGGTAATGACAGTGATGAATGGGGCCAGAAACGTCGCGGCTTAGGAATGGGAAAAAGTGCCCGCTCAGAGTGCGCCAATCCCAAGACTGAGACAACTTGCAGGACGGCAGTCTTCCAAGGATACGGACACCTCGAGATATTTTTGTTTCCAAAAAGTTGTCGATTCGAGAAAACGAGGCCAATAGGTAGCGAAAGCTCTGTTGTAGTGAGTCAGAGTCGGATGTTTAGAGCCAGGCTGGGCTGCGAGTTGGCGCCTTCAACGTTCTTCCTCGTGTCGCCTTAGGAGCGTGGTGGATGGAGATGGAGGGTTCTGGTTGGCGCACAACACCTCGTGCTGCTGCACTGATCAAATGCAACTGGATCAAATCAACTCGTGCTGGCAATGTACAAGTATGAAGTATATAAAATATACAAAATACAAGAACGACCATGCAGAATAGTGTTGTAGCGTTGGGAAGCCACGACCTGCTGAGTGTGGTGGTTCTTCATGGGTGGATGGGGCAGCTGAGGAAGGGGGCAACAGGGAAACAGGGAGAGGGGGAGGGGTAGCTTATCAGGAGGCAGGTACTCAGTACTACCCTGAACGTTAATTCTGAGAGGGTTGAGAGTGATAGTGGGGGTTTATAGCAGGGTACAATTCAATTGTTGTACTTCGCAGCGGATATCGTATCCTTCATTACCCTCTTTATTACTCTCTTGACCCCGCCATCCGCGCTACGTCAGACAGTACATGTAAGTGCATCCCAAGAGACTTGCGAACAGCGCCGGTCCATCAGCACTCATCGCTGTCCAGAAAACATGCTCAGATGTAGCATCTTATCATTATTTCGTACACTAGAAAGGGGGCAAAACAGAGTCAAGGAACTCTATGATCTGGGTGGCGGAATAATTGTTGATGTGTCGCTGCCCAGTACGTAACCGCTAGATGTAACTCGTGCACTTGCAAACGCTGGCACTTGACCCAACCTCAGTGATGCAATGGTCCATTTAGGGCCGCACTACCTACCTCACTGCTCACGTCCACCTGTCCTCGAGCCGTCCTCATTACGCCGACTGCTATTATCAATATAGCCCACAGCCGTATATCCACCTCCTCCATGGAAATCCAGAGTGATCAGGATATATCCTTTCATCTCCAGTTCATCTTTGCGAACGTAGACACGACTGCCAAGAATCAACTTGGATCTTGTCGCAGATAATACCTCAACTGGCCGGCCGCTTCTAGAAAGTCTCTCGACCGCCTTTCCGCCCCAGCCCAGCCCCCCCCCCCCTCTCCGCGATCCCTCCGATTAGTTTCCGCCCGTTGCTGTTTGAGATACATTTACCGTACCACCCTCGACTGCTCATCAGCCCAGATCAATTTAGCTTGCTCTTGATGGGCGGCAATTCCAGGTCCTTCCTACCTTTGGGTATGCACGCTGTCTTGCTGAGCCCAGCTCCACTTTCCATGCTCCGATATAGCAACCCTACATATGAATGCCGACTTCCCAGTCCATGTCTATCCCTGAACAATTAGAACTAATGACGTTACTCGGAATGTTAGGTCGCGGAGACCACAAAGTGTAACATAACCCCCCCTCTCCCCTTCCACGTCTACACATAGCAAACCCATCTACGAACACAATCTACGAAGTACGAAATACCCTGGTGATGCGGAACCTCACTGGCTCGACAAGTCCGAACAGTCGCCCATTCGGCGGCGCGTCTTTTGTAGTTCCTCCGGCGGAACCGCTACAGACGTCATACTGCCTTGTTAACGAGGAGGAGATGAATGCTGCAGCTGAGAGGCGGGCACGATCCCAGACCTTCACAATACCGTCTAGGCGCAAACCGTCGCCCGCGATATCATCTCACGAGACCCGCGGCCGACCCCGCTACGAGAACGAGAAACTACAGTCGGAGCCCTTGTCTCCAACTCACGCAGAGGGTGGTGCGGCTCGACGTGAGTCGACGCAGACCATAAGGCCCGGCGATTCGGGGCTCACGATGCGTCCTTCCAACACGAGAGCGTCGTCGATACTCTCGCCTTCAGTTCCGGAGGGATCCGTTGCGATTTCCGATATTAGTTGTTCGATTCCGCCTCACGATTCACCCGTCGCCTCGTTTTCGGAGTACCCGTTCAGTCAGGCTGCGAGTGGACTTGCTGAGCTGTTAGACTCGAGCCCGGTGGTGCGGCAGGACCAGCCCGCTTCCGATTATACCGAGCAACAGCTTATAATGCCCCTAATCACTCTTCCCGATCGGCGGCCGTTCACGGAGACCGGCAAGGCGATAGGTGGGCTCAAGATTCTAGTTGCAGGCGCCAAGGGTGAGTATTGAGCGCAGCCTCGAAACACTTCCCGCTTCCAAACCAAAGTATTGCTGGTGGCACTAACAACTCTTCTCTAGGTACTGGAAAGACGGCTCTTATAAGAGCAATATTACAGTGTTGCGAGCATATAGTCCACGTAGGACAGGCTAGAGATGCTCTTGCTGGCAGGAACCTTCCTAACTACGGCCGCGGGAGCCGCCGTGAGGGCGATCCTAGCATAACCGAAGTCTATGCCAGCACGATGCCACGACCGCCGTGGTGGACACCATGTGACGGTGATACTTCGGAGCCGTATCAGGACCCTGAGCTAGACACTCAGTATGACAAGAATATCTGCTTTGTCGATACTCCGGGTCACGGAGACGACTCTAACGTCCGTTGCGCTCCGCTTTTCTCCCCATCTTAGAATGACTAGAGTAAAAGCTAATGCCTGGGTGACACAGCCGTCCGATTGCATCTCGCTTGTACGAGAGTACATAGAATCGCACCTAACGCCGCATCTGTCAAGTGCAGCAAGTGATACAGATATGTTAAAGATGCTAAGCGCGAGTGGAGGGTCCCTTGTTAGCACTGTTCTGTACCTGATATCACCTACCGGTACGTCTTTCCCGAGGCTTCACCGTCGCCTTTTGCGCTGACATTTGGTCTTAATGCTAACACAAAATGCAGGCCTTACTAAAGAAGACATGCAATTCCTGCTGGCGCTCCAGCAGGTGACAAATGTCATCCCCGTAGTATCCCATGCTGACACATTATCCGTGGAGGAAGTGGCCTCTATCAAGGAGACCGTGGCTCAGCAGCTAGCAGACAACTACGTGCGGCCCTTCACCTTTAGTACCTCGGGCACGCCGGAAGGAACCGTGGCCGTGTACGCCATCTCATCATCACCGGGTTCGGAGTTCGACCTAACGGACGCCAGCCTACTTGTGAACTCGGAATACATCCAACCTCTCGTCACAACCGATCTTGCCCGGCTCGTCGACGACATATTCTGCCCGAACGGGGCGTCATGGCTCCGACACTCGGCCGGCAAGGTGTACCTGGAGTGGAGGCGCCGCCACACGCAATACGGCTACGGCATGGATCTATGCCTCGCGCCTAGACTTTCGATCCAAGATTTGGCTCCCGCCGGCGGTATTCTCAGATGGCGACGCGACATCGGCTCTGGTCGCACAGATGAGGAGCTTCTCGAAGACTGGGCGGCGGCGCTGCGGAGGAGCCTTACCAATAACGGCGTCCAGAACGCCCAGCTTCTTCGGATAGCGCACCGTCCGTCCGACCTCGCCGTAGCGAGAACTAGGCGACATGGCAAGGGCGGCAGTAGGCGGTTGAAGATGGCGGAGCCCAAGACTCACCAAGATCCCTTGGGTTTGCTGGAGATCTTGGGGACAATCAAGAGCCGGGGACAGACGATTGTCGAGGTAGTAGGTACTGTAGGGGTGCTGGGAACTTTTGGGGTCTGGATGTGGTATGCGGGAGGCCCAGGGGTAGCTTGAGGCGCGGTTGACCGATGGGATGTTCTTGCGAGATGGCCGAGGGAGGGCCAAATACCACGCGAATGGCTCATCTGTACAATGTTCATTATTTTCTTTTAGATATATTCCAATATGAGAAAGCGACGCGAGTGATACCAGGTGCTATTCTAGTTACTCTGTACTTCTCCCTTGTACTTCGTACCTTGTCTAGTCTTGAGGCTCAGTGGGGCTTGGGAATATCTATGATTACTCAGCGCCCAGTTTCTCTTCGATCTTGTCCAATCGTAACTTGCCGGCCCAAAGCCACGCCGAGCCATCAAATGGCATGAGGTACCTGTACCAAGTCCCTGCTCCACTTTTGCCGTCGTCACCTATGAATTACTCCATCCATTCCTCTCATTGTAAGTATCTCTACATACTGCTTTCTGAGGCTCTTCCTTCCCGGTGTCAACGCCAAAACTCTTGACCCAATCGAGCGTCGATTTTGCCGGGGGTAGGAAATACTCACATTCTCACAAGCCTCTTCCATCTGCAAGTTGCAACTACCACCAAGACATCGGTGCTGGTGCTTGTTGGGAGAACAACTTCTCGACCTAGCAAACGACACGAGGATCCAAACACGACCGCCAAAATTGATTTTTTTTCTTCTCCCTCTTCCAAACTAAGCACCCACTTACTCCCCTTCGCCCATCTTCAACTACGCCTCCTTTCCTTATAAACTTCCTTCTCTCTCTTTTCCCGTCTTCGAACCCCTTCGCGTTTTCCATGCAGCAAGCGCTTCCTCTTTTCCCATCGTTCGCCCTCGTCGACGCATAGCCCCCTTCACCCTAGACGAGCTCACCTTGTTTTTTTTTCCCCTCCCAGGTCCAAGATCGGGGAGTTTTTTCTTTTTTTTCTTCTCTTTTCTCTTCTTCCCCTTCGCCTCAGTCTGCAAAATATACCCTCCATTTCTAACCGCGAAGATCGGAGTCGCTGGCCATCACCCGCCCGCCAGCCACTCCGACATACGAGGCAGCGTCCGACTCATCTTTATTACCGAGCGCTTTCGATAGGAGCTCCGAGCTCCTTGGTTGCCGTGTCTTTCTCCGTCGATCGATTCGCGAACGAACAGGCTCCTCCTTTGACCCCTTCCGAAGATCGTCTCTACCGGCTAGTTAACACCATCGAATCCCGCGACGATGGCTTCCGCAGATAGACAACTGGGCGTTACGCCGCCCATCTCGATGGCGCTGCCCACGCCTGCCGAGATCGAAGCGAATAATGCCATGGTGGAAGAGCTGAGGAAACAAGGCATCTTCGAGAGCAAGGAGGAGACAGACAAGAGGTAAGCTCTCCCTCTCTTCCTGCGACAGCTCTACCATGAAGTTCCGATAGGGGCTCCTGGTTGCTTTTTGACACACCTCCATACACGGGACACCCCTTGGCGCGCCGTGGATAAGCAAGGCTCACAAAAAAACTCCTCTTAGGAACCTGGTTCTCGAATCCCTCCAGAAAATGTGCGACGAGTTTGTTACCCGAGTGGCCCAAGAAAAAGACCAAGGCCTTGCCCGGGATGCCCGAGGCAAGATCTTCACATACGGCGGTTTCCGTCTCGGCGTGTTTGGACCTGGCTCCGATATCGATACCCTCGTCGTGGCCCCCAAGTACGTCACACGCGACGATTACTTTGCCATCTTTCCCGATCTTCTCCTCGAGATGGCCCCCAAGGGAGCCATCACCGGCCTTGCCGTCGTCACCGATGCCTTCGTCCCCATTATCAAGTTCGAGTACTGGGGTATCAGCATAGACATGATCTTCTCAAGGATCGCGATGCTTAAGAAACTTCCAACGAACACATCGCAGTTTAACCTCACCGATACCGCTCTTCTACGAGGCCTCGACGAAACAGAAATCCGATCGCTGAACGGAACGCGCGTGGCCCACGAGATTCTCGATCTCGTCCCCGAGCAGAGTACCTTTCAGATGGCCCTACGCGCCATCAAGCTATGGGCCCAGAGGCGTGCCATTTACGCCAACGTTATGGGTTATCCCGGTGGTGTCGCCTGGGCCATGCTAGTTGCCAGGGTTTGCCAGCTCTATCCCCGGGCCACGGCGGCGACCATTGTGAGCAAGTTCTTCTGCATCATGCGCCAATGGCCTTGGCCCCAACCCGTTCTTTTGAAGCACATTGAGCGCGCGCCCTTGGGGTACAGGATCTGGAACCCCGTAGTCTACCCCTCGGATAAGCACCACCTGATGCCCATCATCACCCCTGCTTACCCTTCCATGAATGCCGCCTACAACATCAACAGGTCGTCCATGTCTATCATCCAGACGGAGCTCTCCCGGGCCGACGGTATTACCGACGGGATCGTGGTGGGCCAAAGGCCCTGGTCCGACCTCTTCGAGAAGCACACCTTCTTCACGGCGGACTACAAGTATTATCTGGCCATCGTCTCATCTGGTATCACCAAGGACGCCCACAAGAAGTGGTCCGGCTTCGTCGAGTCCAAGGTCCGCATGCTCGTGTTGGCTCTCGATAGGCACGATACCATCGCGCTCGCGCAGGCCTTCGTCAAGGGATACGACCGGGTTCACAAGTGCAACGCCGACTCCGAGATACAAAAAGTTCAGCAGGGTGATCTCGCGTACATGATCAAGGAGGAGGACGCGCCCAAGGAGGAGCAGACTAGTCCCGTCAAATCGGAGACCAAGCCGGACCCCGGCGCGAACGAGAAGAACTCTGCGGGTGGCAGCAACAGCAACGGGGATGTCGCGGGCTCTGCCGATGCGGTGAAGAATGAGGAGGGAGCGAATGGCGTTAAGGCTGGGGATGAAAATGTGTACATTTATACGACGACGCACTATATTGGACTGGCTCTCCGGCCAGGTAAGTTTCTCCCCCCTTTCAAGACCCGTTTCCGCTGCCTTCTCCTCCCACCCTCCCTTCTCCTCGTTTCAGTCTGTTTCTGTTTGGACTACTGACGATTATCGTTAGGACAAAAAAGCATCAACCTTGCCAATGAGGTCGGCGAGTTTAAGAAGCTTTGCAAGGGCTGGGAGAAGTTTGATCACCAACTCAACGCCATTACGGTGCAGCACCTACGAAAGTAAGAACCCCCGCCCGACTTATGCATGATCTAGCTAGATCAAGGAGATCAGTTGGCTAACCGTGACGTAGCTCGGACCTTCCCGATGATGTATTTGCCGAAGGCGAGGTGAAGCCCAGGAAGAGGGTTGTGCGAAAGGCAAATGGAACCGGACCCTCCCCGCCCGTAGATGCTAAGCAGGCCACGAACGGAACCACTTCTCAGGTCGATTCTAAGAAGCGCGCTGCCGCTGAGACCGGAGCTGCCGCACCCGCTGCGAAGAGGCGACAGCCTGCTTCGGTTGTGGCCGCCGGTTAAGCATTCGATGGCCGCTATGACAACGACGCTCACACTCATGTGCGCCACAAACTTGCTTTCTATTTAATTTTGTCGTCCGCGCTCATGAACACTTGACAGTACAAGGCCTCTGCAGCAAGCGCGAACAATTTTTAAGTGGGGGATATCCCGTCTACGGGAGACGAGGTCTGCGAGGGCTTCCCTTTGCCGCGTTCTCAGCCTACGAGGTCTGGCCAAGCGAGGCCCTTCTAATTCTAACTCTCTGAAAGAAGAGACATGAAAGATTTTAAAGAACAATAATGGAGAAATCCTGTCAAAAAAAAAAAGAAGGAAAACCAAACCAAAAAAAGGACCAAAAAAAAAAAAAGAACAGGCCGCACTTGACGGTTATGTTATTGTTCCCCCTTCCGACAGCTCGGTTCCAAGCCCGAGGTCCTAGAAGGGGTGGAAAATGTCGCTGCGACCTGCTGCGGTTTTTGAGACTGCACATGCGGGAGCACTATTCCTGTTTATCCTTGTCTTCTGCTGAATGGTGGTCTACAGGTTGGCTTTTTCTTTTCTCCCTCTCTTTCCCCAACTTTGGAGTTTACGGCGTCGACATCATCTTTCGAGGCAACGGCTGTTCTTCCACCTGAAGTATATTCGAGGAACTGGACGACGATCAACGGAAGTCTGTCTCCTCGCTACTTAATCGACTGGCCGAAAAGGCAAAGAAGAAAAGGGAAGGAAGAGGAAGAGGAATACGAGGTAAAGAAGGATGAAGAGGAACTAGTCGTTCTCGATTCCCAGAAGACTGTTTTCTTTTTTTGCCAACCTTTCTTTTAAAACGAAATGCCTCGACGTCTATAACCGGGGAAAACTCACAATATCCTTACAGCATTGATACCCTGTTATCACCCGCCCAACTCTCTTGACTCCCTCAAAGACTTACTCCTAGGATTTTTCAGCTACCCTTCTTTTCATTTGTCTTGTTTCTTTCCACTGCATCGTTTTTCTTTCCTTACCTACATGATCATAGGGCGGAGTTTGGAAGCGTCGAGAGTTATAAAGGAACCTAGGCTTTGATTTCTTTTCTTCTTCTTTTTTTCTTTCCCGTTTCCGGTTTTAAGCTGGGCATATCCTTTTCTCAAAGGAAAGGGCCCTACTATAACCGAACAAGACAGCAGAACCTAACAAAAAAAAAGGGAAATTCTAAAAGGGAAAAGGGGGCGGTGGTGTTCAAGGCAAGGGAAGGGAGAAACTCCTTTCTTGTTTCGTATCGATTTGTGTACTTTTAGATTGAAGTCTTTTTTCCGTTTTCCTTTTGTACTTTCTTTCCTCTAACTCCTGGCTGGAGAGAGTACAGTTTAGAACGAGGATAATAAAAAGAATGACATTTCGTAAGTTTTGTTCGGCCAGTCTTTTTTTTTGGTTTTACTCCTCCTGTAGATGTTTGCGCAGATAGTAGAAGTCATTGTTCCCACTTACTCTCAACTGTTTCTCAAACAGATATAATCACTTTTCCAAGGGCCCTAAACCAACGCCACATCTTTTTTTCTGTCCCCAACCCGCTCTTTCCCTAATAATCATCATCATCGCTCCCACTAGACCATCCCTCATGATACTCCTCGGCAATCTCAGCCAGAGCATTCCCGACGTTTTCGCGTTCGTCCCCGCGCAGGACGGGGAGGACGAGGCGGCGGAGGGTCTTTGCGGACACGGAGACCTGGGCGTCGGTGGAGAGGAGGGCGTCGACTGTTAGGGAGGGGGATTTGGTTTGGTAGATTGGGGGGAAGCTGTCGGGGAGGGGGTAGGAGAGGGGAGATTTGAATCTGTCGGAGGCTGATTGTTAGAGACGTTTGAAAAAAAAGAGAGGGAAATAGTCAGTTCCTTTTGGGGGGACGTTACCTTGATGTAGGGGTATTGTCGTTCATCTCGTCAAACAAGGCTTTAAACACCTCGTCCTCCTGCTCCTCGGATCTCTTATCCCCCCTCTGCACTAAAACCCTCCCAAAAGCACCGCCCCTCGCCTTCGGCTCCCTCCCCGTGCGCCCCGTAAGATCAAACAAGTCGATATCCAACGCCTCAGACGCATCCGCCGCACCGCGACCCTCGCCTAACCCCATCTGCAGACGGGCGAGGTTGTGTCTCCCCTGGAGATTCAGGGCGGCGGAGAGGTCGGAGAGCGTGGTCGGGGTGGGATGTTGCGCGAAGGGGTGCAGGCGAGTTGGGAGGGTGGAGGATTCGAGGGCTGTGGAGAGGAGGGCGGAGACGTGCCAGGGGGATGAGGGGTTGAGGGAGTAGGATGGGAGGTGGGTGGCGGAGGGGAGGGAGAGGGGGATGAGGGTTGTTGAGATGGGGAGGGTTTCGGTGAGGGTTTTGGCTTTGTTGATGAGGCGGAGGATTTGTTTCTCTTTTTTGCCGCCGGATGGGCCCTCGGGCATCCAAACCCATACGCAACTCTTCGCGTACTCATCACGTACCCTCTCTAATAGCGCTGCCCCGAAACCAGACCAGCCGTCCTCTCCGCCGACGACGAGCTGCATCCCCTGCAAGAGATCGCACTCCTCGACGAACAGCCTCAGGTGATGATCCAGAACGTCCTCGGCCGCATCTATCCCCTTGAAGAGCTCTCTTCCTTGGTCGAAAGTGTCCAGCGTCGGCGCCGTGGTACCAACATCTTCCTTTCCCTCCGACGTCGCCGCCTTCTTGGACGGCGTACCTTCCAAATCACTCAGCTGAACAATGGACCGGGGGTGGAAGAACGGACGTGTAAAGTCGGACCAGTACCGCACGGCGGAGGACGTCAGGGTGGGTGTGATTCCCGCGTCTAGGGCGGCGTGGTAGGTGGATTTAGGGATGAGAGGTTGTTTGTGGATGGATGCATCGCCGTGCCTTGTGATGAAAAGGTTTAGAGGCAGATGACGACAAAAAGGCGGGTAAGAAGAAAAGAATTTACCAGAGATGTCGGTTTGGATCGTCCTCTTCGTTCTCGTATAGAGGATTCGATCTGCCCAGGGGCCCGAAGCTAGAGCGAAAGTCGTATATGAGGGCGCGGGGCAGGAAGGTCTCTGAGCCGTCGGCGCCTATACCTTCGCGCCAGTGGATGTTGTGGTCGACGGGAGACTTTTCCTCGTCGCCGTAGGTAAAATAGGATTCCTGGGTTTGGAATTAGCCTCGTGGTGAGAGAGATTGGTGACCATCTACTGTCTACTGTAGAGAGAGTCGTGTGAGATGCTTGGTGGGGGGTGGGGTCCAGTGAGATGATATTCACCTGTGTATTCCAAAAGTGGGTGGCGACGTAGTTGCTCAGCTCGCCGAGCTGGACGGTGATGATTTCACGAACCATGGCTCATGGGGTTTGCCGGTATGAAACGGGGAGATGACTATCTCGCTATTGTATAAATTTGCATGTTGGGTCATGAGAGGACGATGATGAGCTTGATCTTGATCTTGAGCTTGAGCTTGAGCTTGAGCTTGGTGAGTGCGAGTTCGCTTTAGTGAGGTTTCCGTCGCAGTGGCGCAACAGCTGATGTCAATTGATATCGGCTGGTTCCGTCCAGCGCCTCCAGCGCCTCCAACGCCTCCAACGCCTCCAACGCCTCCAACGCCTCCAACACCCCCAAACTCGGAGCGCAACAGTCCAACATGTTTGTTTCACTGAGCGGCGTTTCTAGTGTTGGTCGCGCTGAACCGCGCCCCGAAGAGGGCCCGGTCTGTCCTTCTCCTGTCCTTCTCCTTCTCCTGCATATTCTCCCTGTTGGTTCTTCATCTTCTTGCCAATTCGGACAGCCAAGGTCTGTATCTTCCCGAACATTGAATCCTAAGACAACAAGAGCCTTGTAGAATTCGCCATCATGTTGCCTGGTCCGTTGGTCAGTCTCTATCAACAGTACAAGAAAGACACCGACGCCGTCGCAGGCTGGCTCGCTTCCACCGCCGCGAAGCTTGGAGTCCCGCCTCCCTCCACCGCTTCGGGCCTCCGCTCCGGCGACGAGCCGCAAAGTAACAAAGCCGACAGCAGCAAGAAGAAGAAACAAAATAAAAACTCCACCGCGGCCAGCGCCGCATTGGGCTCTAACCAGATCATTGCTATTTCCGACTTTATTTCGCTGGCCGAAACCATTGTCGGCAATGGATCCCATTCCTCTGTCTCTGTGCCTGCTACTCTAATGCCCACCCTCGACAAGGTCATTTCTGTGAGGAGCACCTTTGGCATGAGCCTCCAAAAGTATGGCACAAAGGTCACCTCGGAGTCCAATCGCCGCCATTACCACTTTGTTAGAGTCTTGAAACAAGTCCGCGAGATTCTGCAACCGCTGGTTCCTTCCAAGACAGGCGCTCAGCCTCCCCAAGCCTCTAGGACAGCTACTACTCCCGACATTGAGAATCGCTTCTCGGCCCTCAACATCTACTATCCCTCTAAAGCCTTCCTAGATGCTACCTCAGACCAGGAACCACCTCGTCCGTCCAATCGAGACGCCGAGAGCGGAATCACCTACCAGGCCCAGGTTGAGGCCTCGTGGGAGGAAGCCCACTTTGTTTTCTCCATATTGAAGCATGAATTGCATCGCCTAAGGTTGAAGATTAAATGGATCTGGGGCGCCTACCGCGACACCCAAATCGAATTGGTCTCCGCCGCTCTAGCAACTAACACGGCTATCGACCTGGCCAGGGACCTGATCGAAGAAGCCATGCCAATGCTTGAATCCCACAAGTTATGGACCCTGGCTAATGAGCACTACCTGGGGTGCTGCGTATCCGAAGGTTTTGATCTCGCCTCCCTAAGTAACCACGTCCCTGGACAAGATTACTTCAACTATGACTACTACGACCTCGCCGAAGCCACCCTCTTCAGTGCCCATCGGGTGATCATGAGCTTCGCCAGCGTCTTGCAACCAGAGCGCCTCCCCATCTACCAGGACGGCACGTTTGGCATCTACGACCCGACGGCCGACCGCGAGACAATGTCAGGCTCCGAAAAGTGTAACGAAGACCAGGCCCTATTGATGGAATTCTTCACCGAACTCGTGGCCGTCAACCGCGGCGTGCAAAACTACCCCGTCAAAGACGAGTTTACGCGCGGAATGAAAGACTTTGAAAAGCAGCAGACAGATCCCCCCTTCTACCTCGTCTTCGCCGCCCAGGTCTTCCTCGACATCCACCACATCCTCCGCGCTAGAGCCGTCGAGCCCTTCAAACAGGTCCTCAAGGAAGCTATCTCCGCCCGCCTGGAACTCACGCGCCACTTGGAATTCCACAAAGATCTAAAGATAAGCCACTGGCCCGCGCGAAACGACGCCATTCTCACCGACATGAAAAAGAAACTCGAATGGATCTGCCAAGACCCCGTCTACGAAGTCAAAGCAGCAACCTACAAAAAGCGCGGCGCCCCCATCCCCAAAGACCTCGACCGCCACCGCATCCTGAAAAGATCCCCCGTCATCTCCGGCCTCCTCCTCTTCCACATCCGCGCCGAGATGCACGGAATCGGCATCGCCGTCGCAAACGCCTGGGGCTCCATCCTCTTCGCGGGCCACCTCTACCGCGCCCTCCGCAACGAGAAACTCCTCGTCGCCCACTGGCTCGACATGGACATCGCCGCGGGCGGCGTCCTCGGCACGTCCGACTTCTTCGTCGGGGGACCCCCCGCGACGCTGGCGGAGTCGTTTTCGCGGTTTTGTATGCAGATGGGCGTTTCGGCCGCGGCGCTCGCGGAGGCGAAGAAGGCAAAGAAACAGCCGTTTACTAGGAATCTTGCGTCGAAGGCGGGGCCGAGGGGGTTTGGGAGGACGGTTCCGGTGTCGGATATGTTTGTGGGGAGGTATGCGAGGGGGGAGGCGAGGGTGAATTGGACGGCTGAGTATGTCGAGAACGTCATTTCGCGGAGCGAGTTCGAGGTCGACGAGGATGAGGAGGACGGAGGGGTTTTAGTGGTGGCGAAGGCGGATGAGGGAAAAGTCCGCGAGAAGCGCCGCGAGCACGAGAAGAAGAAGAAGGCCAAGAGAAGAAGGGCGGATGACGGACCGAAGCTGAAACCGAAGGACCTCATCGAGAAGCTCGTAATCGCCCTACACTCCGAAGCCATCCAGCTCGCCTTCCCATACCTCCAGTTTCACCGCATTTGCTGGGAAATGCTCCGCGAGGTAAAAGCCGCCTGTCACAAGCGCCTCCTGGAGATGCACGGCCCGGAGTACATGGAGGAAGAGTCTCAGCTCCCCTGGGTCGTCGGGTACATCCTCATCGAGGCGGCGCCTGTTGGGGGGTATCAGGACCTTAGGCTGCTTGCGCTCGCGGCTGAGGCTGTGAATGGGGTGTTGAGCAAGGGAGAGGGAAGTGCTGTTGTGAGGGCTCTGGAGAAGGACAAGGGGTTTGCTCTTGAGCTTGAAGAGTGAGCCGGGGTGAGTGGACTGAGGGGACTTGTTTAAATCTGTCTAACACAAGGATTTTTGAAGATATTCTCGAAATTCCATTTAGTTCTTCATCAATGACGAAGCCCGAGGGAGCGGCATTTGCCATGTACGCATTACAAACTTGCCGCTAGTATTTGGATCGAATATTGTCCAACTATGTTTTACAGTTACCTCAAGCTCTACTTCGTGTACAGCAACCTTGAAGCAAGTGCTTCGAGATTCGATGAATATTCAAAAGCAAGCTAGAGGAGAAGAACTACCTCTAAGAAAATTAAATGAAAATTAAAATAAAATAAAATAGAAACATCATTCGTAAAATATCATGTCCAACATAGCGGAAATGCAAACTAACTACTCAGCTACTCATCTCACCCCTCCCGTCTCGTCTCTTGCGGCTACAGTTTCTCCAACTTATCCAACTTACCCTGAGCCCCTAATACCTCCTCCACAGCACCGCCTATCCGCTCTACCATATCCTCAACCTCCTCCCCACTGACATCATACGCCGGACAAAGCATAACATGATCTCCCTTTCGACCCCCGGCACACCCCTGCCCATAGTACACCATAAGATTAAACGGCTCGCTCAGAGCCGCCTCGTGGATTCGCTTAGCGATCAAAAGTCCCTCATCAAACGGCTCCTTCGTAGCCCTATCTTTGACAAACTCCACGCCCCAAAACAAGCCCCTGCCACGAATATCCGCCACGTTGGGATGTCCACCAAGCCTCTCCTTCAGCCTCCGGCTCAAGAACTCCCCCTGCGCCACCACGTTCGCCAGCAGGTTCCTCTCCTGGATGATCTCCTGCACCTTGAGCGCCGCCGCCGCCGCGACGGGGAAATCTTGGTACGTGTGGCCGTTGTTAAAGGCAGCTCCGCACTTCTCCATCTGGTCCAGGATCCTGCGACCGACGAGTACGGCCGACACAGGCTGGTACCCGCCGCCGAGACCTTTGCCGATCGTTTGGATGTCCGGCACGACGCCTTCTTGCTCCCACGCGTGGAGCGTGCCCGTCCGCCCCATCCCGGACATGATTTCGTCTAGGATGAGAAGCGCGCCGTACTTGTCGCAGACGCTCTTCATGGCTTGGAAGTATCCCGGTACGGACGGCACGCAGCCGAGAGCCGCCCCGACGACCGGTTCCGCTACGAAGGCCGCTACCGTTTCGGGACCAAGTCGGAGGAAGACGTCCTCGAGCTCTTGGGCTTTTCTGGCGCAGAAAGCCGCATCCGATTCGCCGGGATGTCTCTGGCGGTACGGATTACACGAGGATACGCGGTGCACGTGGCGTGAGAGAAGGTCCTCGAACGGACCACGGCGGGCTGCGTGTCCCGATAGGGAAAGGGCGCCGAGCGTGGTGCCGTGGTAGGAGCTTTGGCGAGCTATGAAGTTGACCCTCCTGGCCTCACCTTTCCAGACGAAGTACTCGCGCGCTAGTTTCAAGCTACCCTCTACAGCATCGGATCCTGAAAAGAGAAGAGGAGCCAAGAAAGAGAGGCTCCGCTGTTAGGCCAACTAGTCCATCACGGGGAGGAAAATAGTAAAAGAGAAAGAAAAGGGAACAACAAGAAGAAGGAAGAGGATGATAATAGTAAGTGAACGAATGAACGAACCAGATGACATGATGTAAACCTTTCCCATAGCCCCGCCAGTACTCTTGATCAGCCAATCCGAGAGCCGTCTCGTGCTATAAGTGTCAAAGAACGCCCACGGCACGTAGGGCACCTCCGCAGCCTGGCTCGCAACGGCCTCGATGATTTCCTGGTTCCCGTAACCCAAGCAGGAAACGGCAGCTCCGCCACAAGCATCGAGGATCTGGCGACCATCCTCGAGGAACAAGTGGTGGCCCTGCGCTGAGACCACCAAGGGTCTAGACTCGGGGTGGGGAGAGGCTGGAGCCTCGGGGGAGTGCGGTGGCGTCTCGAGAACGTTGATGATCTGGGAGGTCAAAGGTCCCTTGGGTAGCGAGTAAGCCCCCATCTTTGCAGCGAATTAGGGAGGAGGAAGCGAAGAAATGGGGAAGCTGAGGAAGAGAAAAGAGAACTTGGCTAGAAGGAAGCCGAAATGGGTTGTCAGAGAAAATAAAAGAAAAAAAAAAAAAAAAAAGGAAGGAGGATATTACGGGCTTATAAGTTTGTCTCTCGTTTTCCGTCTGACGAGAAGTAATCTAAGATATGCCAACGTGACCTTGAGGTCCTCGAGGAACTAGATCTTGAGAGCCGAGGGACCACAACGATATTTATATGTGTAAGTTTACATCTAGGTACGGCCACTTACTTCTCGGTGACACTTGGAGAGTAAACGGCGGAGTGAACATGGGCGTGGGCACGGGCATGAGCATAGGCATGGTGCGCATATGTGGCACAATTCCCGTCTCGTACTAGTAACGGGCTCCCGCAGGATGACGGAAAGAAGGAGAGAGCTAAAAGCGTAAGTTCAAACTCACGGGCCATCGCCTGACGCGGAAGAAGAATACGAAGCTAGGCATGGGTTATTTCGTCAAGTTGCGGCGAGAGCCACGTCTTCCGGAAAAGCCCCTCCCCTTAGGGGTTGAGAAAAAAAAATAAAAGGAAGAGACCAGGTAGCAAAATCAAGGTAAAACTTAAAAACGGTCTGTCACTACTGCAGTCTAAAGTTTGCGGGAAGAGGGGGAGGTGATAAGATGCGTTAGCTCGGCTCGCTGGCATTTGTTGTGCAACATGGGTAAGAAGAAAAAAAGGGCTCTCGCGAAAGTCCTCGGAGGATTGCAAACATATACATCGAGCTACAGCCACAATGCAGTCCAGATTTTCGTGCAGAGACTAGACGTCAAGGCTTTGAAATAGCCAAATCGGTAATATATGTCCTTGGGGCGGGTGGAGATGTATTTTTCGGCGCTGTCGGCGCCTTGATTCGGGTGTTAGTGGGAGGCTGTCGATCCGAATACCAGGGTCTAGAGTGACGATGCATCAATGGCGTAGAATAGAAGGGTCGGGAGAGACGCATCCGTCCTCGCCGATGTAGGGCAAACGTGAAATGGCACCAAAAAAGGAAACAAGAAAGAAGAAAAACCCGGGTGTAGCATCGGCGGAAGCGAGGGAAGGGCGTTTGTGGAATCGGCAAGGCGGACGATGGGATTCGGCCTGGTTGATGAAGTTTGCTCAAGAATCGGCCCACCCCCCCCCGTTCGGAGATGCGCGGGGAAGGATACATGTGCCGAATGGGAGGTGTGTGACATGACAGGTCAAGAGTCCAAGACCATGTGCATTGACAATCAACGGTGTGTCGAAAAAGAGAACTCGGCATGGGAAAGGCACAGCGTCAGGTCGCACTGGAAATGCAGATACATGATGGGCGCCAAACCTGCAGAGTGACGTGGGGAGGGTGAGAGGGAGCAAGCTGATCTGGTTCGCTGTGTGGTTAAAGCAATCGCGTGGTGCTGGTGCAGCTCGAAGCTGTTGTGCTTGAAAGCGCTGCGGCTGAGGAGTAAAACACCACTAAGGGGTCTGTTATCAGCAAGGGCATCTTTCCAGGGTCCAGGATCGGGCTACTTGAAGAAAAATTGAAGAACGGGAGGTGACGGCAAGGGGGCGGATGAGGACTGGGGGGCGAGCGGGAGATCCAGAGTATCCAAAAGATGGAGGGGACCCTTGCGCTCCTAGATGAGGGAGGTTTATCGTCGTGTGCTTTGTACCTCTTCCGTAGTTGGGTGCGTCGCATTCGCGGTAATACCGCCAGGCCCAACATGCAACGGCTGGGGGACCAATTGGTCGGAGGATCCTCAATAGACTCCTGGGTCTGGATCAATCGATTGACGCATTTTCGTGGGCCCAAGTCGGCCAGGTCGGCCAGATCCGCATTGGGCCTTTGACACGGAGCAGCGCCGCCGAGGAGGTCAGAGCTTGAGCTCGGGATGAATCAAACTGAATTGGAGTGTCTGGCGGGATCGTTAGTTCTGGACCAACCCTTTCGAGGCTAGGATGTACCAGGATGTACAAAGTAATGGACAGTGATGATTCACCGACGCATCAAGTATTGTTGGATTGTTTGCCCATCCTGTGGCGTTGGGCGAGCACAACTATGAATGCATGGGCAGCCACACCGGGTAGTTGCTTTTCTGATTGTCCCCCGGTGCGGTTACGGTCGCGGATGACGGGACGGACAAGAAGGGGAGCTAGAGCCGTTTTCAACCAAAGAGGAGGCTTCTATCGGAAACCGCGGCTTCCAGTCTTCCATCTTCCCTCTCTTCCCTCTTTCCCCTCTCTTCGTTGCCTCGCGAATGTGAGACGAACATGGCAATGGCTATAAAGCGGAATTTCGAAGGATTCGAGTGCAGACCCAGGATCGATAATGCAGGAGCTTCGAGGCACATGACTTGCTCTGGGCAGGCATGGTTTAAAACTGGGAGGAGAGCTGCATCGGATTAGCTAAAAGATTGAAGAGTTTGGGGTTCCGGGACGGAGGACGAGGATCATGAGTGAATGAATGAATGACATGCCGAAGCCACGAACAATGAAGTCGATTGGACGTTGGATGACTGAGGTACGAAATATGAAGTGCAAGTCAAGGAAACAAAGCGCTCCTTCCTTTTGTCTCAGAAGTGGAAGTCAATGGTTATTCGAGGGAGCTGTGATACAAGCAATACGTTCTCACGTACCTTGGTACCTTGGTACAATTATAAAACTGTAGCTACGAAGTACGAATATTGCCAAGGATGCAGGCAGGACCAAGGTAAAAGAGACAAGAGCATACAAGGAGTGTACTAATGCTTTGTATTACTCGACGTGGCTCCGTCGTACTTGTACTTATAAATTGCCAACTTCGTAAGTGTGGTCGGACGCGACACCCTCATGGAATACTGGGAATAATACCTTCGTACACAGGTACTTTGTGCTTCGTACCTCTTGGTTGATCTTTCCAAATTGGGACTAATAGCCACTGGCCCGATCTTCTGATGTTTCTTCTTACATAAGCAAATCACTACTGCCCCTTCGGGTTTAAGTGAAAAAAGACCATGGAAAAAGTGCACCACAATTGCACTTTACGAAGTACTTTGTCACTCCTACTGTGCTCATGTTTTACTGGATCTCGACACGGGTTCCGCGCTGGCTTGACCTCTCAACGCGTGTCGAAAATTCCACCCCCCCATTTGATTCTACCTGCCACTTAATCTGATCGCTTCGAGGCCTTCGAGTGCGACCCTACTCTCTCAGCCTTCCCATCCACATTCACCCTGTTGCCAGTAAGAACACACAGATTTGCCCGTTCCACTAGGAGCATCTTCTTCTCTTCTCTATTTGGTCACAGGTTCGAGGCCTTACTCTGGCTTTGATTGACTGTCACCTGGTTTTGTGTTGACTTTCCCCTTTGGGTCACCTAACAAAACCCTCAACCTTGTCGATATTTTTCAAAACTGCATACATCACACATCATCCAGCGACCACTATCCCCTATCAAGGGCTCTCTTCGGGTCTTGTGTTTCGTCCTTTCTTTCTTCTTTTTTCCTTTCGTGGTAGAAGAAATTGATAAAAACCTTCACCATGCCTCCGTCGTCGCGACGGTCCCAGAAGACTCGTCGCGAGTCTAAGAGGGACAACTCTACCGCCATCGACTCGTCGCCAACCCGCCCTGCCAAGCGCCGCAGAAAGGTAAGCTGGTCCATTTTCATGACGGATTCAAGCCCCTCTACTTCATTTTCGCGTCCCGGCTCCCGTCCCCCGAGAACCTCTCTGCTGACCCCATAACCCCGCTAGGTCGATGAGACGACGACTCCTTCGACTGCAGCCACAGCTGGCAATTCGAGTGCCGCAGTGCCACCCGTTCCCACCCCTTCTACCGATCCTATCGAGGAAGAGGACTCTGTCCTCGGAAATGGAAGCGAAGGTGACCAGCTAGTCTCGCGCGTCGTCCATTATCTCACCTCCCCAAAAGACCAGCGCATCCAGGCCAGCAAGGACCACTCCAACGCTATCCACGAGACGAATAAGGATGGCGTCAAAGCCTACGCCAAGGTTGCCGCTCAAGACTGGACCTTTTATATTACAAAGCTCGAGGTGAACATTGGTCGCGCTTCCGACCCTCCCGCCGCTCATCCACCTGCTCCAGACGACGAGGACTTTGTCCACATCGATCTCGGTCCTAGCAAGACCGTCTCGCGCCAGCATGCCGTCATATGCTTCGATACCAAGGAGGAACAATGGTTCTTCCGCGTAAAGGGCCGCAACGGCGCGAAGATCGATGGAGAGCCCATGAAGTCGGGTACCTCGCGGGGTCTCAAGAGCGGCGAGGTCATCGAGATTGGAGGCGTTGAGATGATGTTTGTACTCCCTACCGAAATTAGCCCACTCCACATCAACGAGACGTATCTCCAGAGAGCTGGTATTTCGCCCTCCGAGCTCCCCAGTCCCGCCATCAATGCGCCGCTCCTATCTACAACACAGCCCTCCGATGATCTCCCGTCTTCCGCCCCGGCCTCCAGGCCTCCTCGTAGTAGCCAGAGTGCCCAACAGCAGCAGCAGCAACAGCAGCTAATTGCACCTGCTCCGCCAAACTACCGTCGTCCGGGAACCCCTCCTTCAGCAGCAGGGCGACGTACCACAATGGTTCAGATGACCTCCCCGCAGGCTCCTAGTAGCGCAACGCCGTTCGGCATGACTCTCGAGATTGATCTATCCAAGGACGAAAATCGCCATATCAAGCCCCAGTTTAGTTATGCCCAGATGATTACACAGGCTATTATACATACGGATGATGGCAAGCTCAACCTCAACGGCATCTACAACTTTATCATGGACAACTATGCCTATTATCGACATCAGGAGCCAGCCGGTTGGCAGGTAGGTTTCTTCGTGTCTCTGGGAGTCTTTATCCCCACTGTGCAAGCCAATCTCTTTCTTTGCTAACCCTGCCTTTGTAGAACTCCATTCGACATAATCTCTCCCTTAACAAGGCCTTCGAAAAGGTTCCCCGATCAACCGATGAGCCTGGCAAGGGCATGAAGTGGCAGATCGTGAGCGAGTACAAGGATGAGATGGTCCGCAATGCGTTCAAGGGTGGTCGTGGCGGTCATCGCGGTAGCTCCGCTCCTTCCTCTCCGAGTCATGTCAACTACATCACCCTCACCAGGGATCCCGCGTCGGCTAGAAAGCGCAGAATGTCCCCCATATTGTCACCCCCGCCCGCGTCCTCGTCCCTCGCCATTCCCCAGTCCACGCCCGATCGCAGCCGGAACCGGAGAAGCGCCGCTGTTCTCCCCAGTGACGGCAGCCCCCTTCCTCGACCCCGAAAGCCCGTGCCGAACGCCGCGCCGTCTAGCTCGATCTACCAGCCCCAGTCTCCCACTCTCGCGTCGTCGTACCTCCAGGACGAGAACACGTCGTTCGTCACCCCGGCGCCGCCGCGAGTCCACCCCCGTCTCGCGCCACCCAGCACGGCCCCCCGACCTAGCCAGCACATGCCGACTAGCTCTCCTGCGCCGTTCTGGAAGTACGCCGATATTGGCAGCACGCCGTTGCGCCCTGCCGCGCAATTCGACGCCAGTCCATCAAGGAGGCTGGGCGGCGGTCTCCCTCATAGCAGCAGTCCCCCTGCACGACCTACCAAGTCACCCGTGCTTAGCCCCGTAAAGCCCGCGCCTGAGCCGCCGGCGGATAGTTCGGCTGGCGACATTGAGGAGGAGCAAGGATTCGACTTGGCAAAGTGAGTTCCCCCCTCCCCCCCAGAGTACCCTAAGTATCACCGTGATACTTCTCCAAAATACACCAACTAACCGACCATCCAGGGGCTTCCAAAGCATCGGCTCATATCACGCGCCCGTAAGCCAAGGTCTTCCCATCGCCCGGGCTCGGGATTCCTTTTAAACAAATTCCCCCAGCATCATCCTTATAGATGGTTCTTTTTAACCTTCTTGTACCTTGTTTTACAGTACTTACTTCTTTTCGTGTTGTCCATATTTCCCAACTCTTTTTTCCTCTTTCTTTTTCAAGGAGTTTATGGTAAGGCGTCCGTCAATTGGGAGGTTAGGTGTTTAGTGGTCTGGCGCTCAAAGTCGTTATGGGATTTTTTTCCATGAAAGTCGCGGAGTTTTTTTTTTTTCCTTCCTTTCGTAAAGAAAGGCCTGGGAGCCAAAAATGGGGATGGATTCAACGCTGGTTGTTTGGGACTTGGAAAAGTTGTGTTTTTACGCATTGATCTTGTTCGGGTTTTGTTTTTGGAGTTCCTTTCTCCCTTTTATAAGGCTTCAGGTAGATGTGATATGACACCTTATCCATTCATTCATTCATTCATTCATTCCGTTTCTTCGTCCACAGTCTGGAGGGGCATTATCTTGTGATCTACGAAGTATTATTATGTATCTGGTTGACCCAACCTCTTAAAGCGTTACTTACCTTCAGACGCAGATGGGAGAGCTCTCGAAGACGACCACAAACTCGAAGCTTAGAACCGAAGCATTCAAGACAAACGCAAGAGAGATACGAAACTTGAAGTTAACCTCTTAAACGTACAATTCGATTCATTCTCCCAGAAGTATCGAGGTACATACAGTAAAATACATTCCTTCCATCAACGGAGGGGGGGTTTCTCTTCTCACCCTTTTTCTCTAACAAACAAAACACCGTTTTTTAATCTTTCCTACTTGTTCCACACTTCATTTCATCCCTTGATACGTTTGTCGTACACAAAATTCTTTTTTTCCTGTCCTAGCCTTCTTTTTTGGTTTCTTTCCCCATCCCCCCTCATTCCTGTTTTTGAGGTGCGTTGCCAAGTAGAGAAAAAGTACATCTATACGAAGAAAAAAAAAAATGGAGAAAAAAAGCTGAGAATGTTGCCTTGAAAAATACAATGAGGGGAGAGAAAAGATGGGACTCTAAGCGTCTCGAGCAGATGCCGTTCTTATTTCCTAGTATACAGAGTACAAAAGACAATGAGAGAAAATGGAGAGATCAAAACGCTTCAAAGGGCGGAGGGAAAAGAGAGAGGAGGGGGCGAGGGAAGAAGGAAAAGAGAGAGAGGTTAGGTGTGCTTAGTTCCTTATTTCGAGGCAGAAGAAGCGCCCCCTCTCCTCTTGGGGTTGCTCTTGCCCGAGCGGCTCTTATTCACCTTCTTTCCCTTCTGGTCGGTTCCCTCAATGTACCGAATCAGCTCGTCGATGCTCCTGGAGTCGACGGTGGGAGCGTCGCCAGCGGCAGCAGCCGACGGCACGACGCCTCCCCTAACGGAAGCCTGGCCGAGAGCGGCGCGGGGGTTAGCGCCAACCCTGGTGACGCCGGCACGGAGACGGCGGGCCTGCATATCCTTAGCCTGCTTGGCGATGGAGACGGCGTTCTGCGTGAGCTGCTCGAGCCAGCTCTCAGCCTCCTTGGTGTTCTTGTCGTTGGGGCCGAGCTCGTTGAGGAAGATGTTGTACGACTCGCGCATGCGGTTGACGGCGGCCTTGGAGTCCTGGTCGAGCGCGAGGGCCTGCGCGAGCTGGAAGAGGAGCGTGGCGGCGTTGATGGACTGCTTGCCGAAGACGTTTTCGCAGACGCGCAGCGACTCCTCGAACCACAGGCGTGACTCGTGGTAAGCCTTGAGGTGCTGGAGCATCACGGCGGCGTTGTTGATGGTCGTGATCGAGTCGGGGTGGTCGGGCCCGTAGATGATCTTCCATAGCTGGAGAGCGTGCCTGACATACGTTAAGGCCGCCTTGCTGTCGCCAGCCTGGTGAACGAAGAGACCGAGGTTGAGGTAGTTTAGGAGGGTCTCGGGGGAGTCGACACCAACGGTGCGCTCAGAGACTACAACGGCCTTCTTGGCGAGCTCGACGGCAACCTCCTTCTCGTCCATCTGGAAGTAGAGCATCGAGAGCGTGTTGTACGCCCTGGCAACCTCGGGGTGGACAATGCCGTAGATTTGCTCGTGCAAGGAGAGGGACTCCAGGAGGAGCTCCTGGCCGAGCTGGCGCTGGTTCTGGATGATCGAGATCCTGCCAGCCTCGAGCGCCTCCTCAGCGAGCGAGCTGCGAGGAGCAGAGTGCTTCACGATAGGCACGATGTTCAGAATATCCTCCGAGGTGAAGGTGTTGGCCGCGGCGTTGGACGCCGTCGAGGCGGGCGAGCCATCCCTGGCCTTCTTCTTCTTCTTCTTATTGCTGCCCTCACCATTGCCGTTCGCGGGTTGAGCGGCAGCCTCGCTGGCAGCGGGAGCAGCCTGCTCAGTAGCCGGCTCGATACCGAAGTTGTACTCTCGGGCCTGGAGCTGTAGACCAAGCTTGAGACTGGCCTCTCGGAGAAGCTGGCGAGGCTTGACCTGCTCCGCCCAGTCCTCAGGCAAAGTGTACCTGAATCGCTGGGCCACCTGCTCCTCGATGCTGGTCCTGAGGCTCTGAGGCGTGACCTTCTCGAAAGACAGATCAGCATCCGAGTAGAGAGCCGAAAGAGTCGAGTCAATATCAGCACTAGGCTTGGCATTCACGCGGAAACCAAGGAGGCAGTTGAGGAGGTGAGAGATGCAGGCCGGCGCAAGTGTGTATGGCAGGCGGCGGAGGTAGCCCGAGGCGATGTGCTTGAAGGCTCGCGAAACCATATCCTGAATGCAGACATCAAGAAGGCACTTGAGGCGAGCATCAGTGGACTGGGAAGCAATCTTGCCGAGGTATCGGATGTTGATACCACGCTTGTGGAGCTGGCGGCTGAGGGACGAGCCGTCCATGGGGAAACCCGCATCGGATTCGACGAGGTCCTTGAGGAAGCCAGCGATGGCGTGATCACGCAAGTACTGGCAGACCTCGCGAACCTTCTTCTCGTCAGCCTCGAGTTCGGCCTTCTCCTCGTCGGTCTGAGGGACCTGGCCGCTGTAGACGTCGGGGTTGAGGGAGAATCGGAACTTGGAGAGATCAATCTGATCCTTGCTCACGTCGTCCTCCTTCTTCTCATCACCCTCGGCGCTCTCCTCCTCCTTCTTTTCCTCCTTGGCCTCCTCCTCCTTAGCTTTGGCGCGGCTCGCCAGCTCAGCATCTACCCACTCCTTCATCTTCTGCCTGGCATAGAGGTCAATAAGCTCGGGACGGAGGACAGTCATCCTGTGAGGGTAACGAGCTCCGTTGCTAGACGCCTCATCCGCCTCGGTCTCCTCCAACCAGGCAATATCGACGGGCGAAACACGGTAGAGATCGAGGACGTACTTGCGTCCATCGGTACCGAGAAGTCCCTTGGTCTCCACACTGGCCTCGAGGTCGAATCGCTTGCCCTCCTTATCCCAGACGGGGTGCTTCTTGACCTTGAGCGCGCGGGACAGCTTCTCGAAGGGAGCGGCGAATCGCTCGTCGGCGGTGACGACATCCTTGCCGTCAACACCACCGTAGTCGATCTGGTGCTCACCAGGCTCTCGCTGCTTGAAGATGCCAGGGACGATGCTCTGACCAACGACGCGCTTACCGAGGTAGTCGACGACGACGGTAGCGGCAGTGAAGAGGCCGTCAATGTCCAACTGGTTCACAAGACGCACGCCAGCGACGTCCTTGCTAGTAGCAACCTTGGCAGCCTCGTCACCACCCTCGGTGGTGAATGTGCCCACTCCATCAGCACCGAAGGAGAAGAAGACATTATTATACACGAAGATCTGCGCATCGGTGCACTCAGTGGGGTTCAAGGGAGGGATCTCGCCTCGAGCTACCATCATGGCACCTCGCGTAGCGGCGTCGACGTAATCGGCAAAGAATTTGGCCAAAAGGCGCTCGCGGAACACCCTGTCCTGGACCGATTCTTTGGGGTGCTCCTTGGCAGATTGGAACTCTTCGTTCCAATCTCGGAGAGTGTCGGCATTCTCAATACCGCCAATCAAGTACGTCTCCTGCGATCTCGCGGGGTCGGGTTGGTGGGTGCACTGGGGAGCGCTCGAGGGAGGGACGGCCCAGGGAGCGGCGGGGATGGCGTGGGTGATCTGGAAGGCTGCGAGAGGGTCCTTGCGCCCGTTGTGTTCGTGCAGCTTGGCAAGAGACTCGGTGAAGCTGGGGGAGATGAGCTCCAAGAGGCTCAGGAGCGAGTGCGCCTGGTGGCCCTTGGGAGTGCCCTTGGGGAAGGGATCGAACTTGGCGTTCGACGACTTGTTGACGTAGAAGCCTCCGACATGTGACGTGATTTGGTACTGTTCGCCCTCGTTGGTAGAAGCAACAAGGTATAGAAGGTGACCCTTTTGTCGGAGGTGGCAAGGAGGCGGATGCCACGACGAGAGAGCAATCGACTTTATCGTCTTGGGAGCAGCTTGCTCGGCAGCTGGTACGAGAGCCGAAAGCGCAGGAGTGGCGTCAAAGTCGTAATCGGCGACGGGGGACCCTTGGGCATTGGCGGCATTGGCATCCGCACCCTGCTGCTCAACGGGCAAGTCTCCGAGGAGGGAGGTACCAGGAAGGATACCGTAGGTGATGTCACAGCGGTCACCAGCGGCACCGATGAGCTCCCGGATCCTCACGAAGTGCAGACGAGCCTCCCTCTCGGTGTAAGGCTCCTCGACGAGCTTGATCTCGGGGTTAGAGACAAGCTCGGGGACCTCAGCGAGAGTGATGAAGTCATTGAGGCGCTCTCCGTTGTGTTCGAGGCGGAAGCATGTGTATTGGAAAGCGGCTTGAAGATCGATCAGAGATTGCCGAACTTCGTGGACTTGTTCCTGGGTGGACACCTATAGTGGAACAAAGGAAAAAAAAAAAAAAATAGACTGTTAGGAGGTGATTCTAAAAGAAGCTGAAGGAGAGGGCGGGAATTACTAACCTGCACCTGGATTTTATGCGGAGCGTGGGGAAGGAGGACGGTAAGAGTCACGATGGCTATGAAACGTCAGAATCGTCATCGCCTAGCTTCGGCTGTGACAGAGCTGAAGCGACAAAGGAAGAAAAAAAAAAAACTTACCGTCCACGCCAGCATCAGCCTGCTCCTCAGGAGCTTCAGCGTCTTCGGGACGGGAGCCGTTTAGTACAGGAGTATCGCCATTCTCTGGAGAAGCCACGATATCATGTCAGCACACGAGCAGCAGCAGGGGGAGAGCATCGCAATGGATGCAAGGATTGCAAGATCGCATGACCTCGTGGATGTGACGAACCTTTAGCCTGAGAAGATGCAGACTCCTGTTGGGACATGTTTCCTAACGTCAAAAACTGCTAACAATAGAAAACTATCGAGTCGAGTCGTAGATCGTAACGTGGATGCAACGGGAAGCTCAAACGTCAGAGCTCAAGCAGGGGAAGGAAAAGAAGAACGACGGGAGAAAATCCTAACAACTCTTCTCAAAATTACAATATACAGAGAAATAGGGAGCGTATAGGAAAGATCAGAATAGAAAGAAGCTGGCCTATGAGGACAGATGCATGTGTTGGAGGCCAATTGGAGGATTAAAGATTTGTATGGTGAGGAAAGGTAGGAGTGGAAGTCACGGCTGAGGTTTTTGAGATTTTTTTTTTTTCTTCTTTGCACCTTCTCAACTTTTCCTCTGGTCCCCTCGGGCCTCTGATGTAGCTCTGCATATGTCGGACCCGGCAAAGTTCGGGATTTGGGGCATCCAATTGACAAGGGGCAAATTGACCAGAGACAAATCTTACCAGCTGGAGGCGTGAAGCTTATCTAAATTTTCAGTGGTTGCAGCTGGCGAGGACTGGAGGCACGATTGATTGTCACTTGTACACGTCCCCAATGACGGCCCAAATTATGGAGACCCTGGGGAGTGACTAAGCCTGATTAGGAAGTTTGTCAACATTTTGATCGCAACCACATCGAACTAAACAACAACGACAGAGAGTGAATTTGTGAATTTGCGACAGCAGCACTCCAACTCCATTATTCTTAACCACCCCGAAGTCGAAGCCCCGACCACAACCCAGCAGAGACGCCGAAAACTACTCGCATTCATCACATTGTATTCTAGGGGATATATTTTACGCAGCCCACTCTCTCTTCTCCCTTCTCCTCCCCATTTTCGCCGACCGACAACACACCATCGACGGCTATACCAGTTATGCACGTCTAAGGGGCATCGAGCTGAACCTTCCATACGCAAGTCTCAGACGGCCATGTTTCAATAGTCATTCTTAGCCCCCTTCACATTATCCTTATCCTCCACGATATCCTTATTCCCGAGAATGAATATCACGCCTACCAATGACCGCCCGTCTCGCCGAGTCAGAACCGGAGCCTCAAGTGACGACGTGACGCAAACGTGGACTACGCAGAGATGTCTCCGCCTCCTACGGCCAATTCACGTCTGCCTCAACAAATTGCGCCAGATTAATGAAGAAGCTGCATTTGTCGGGCAGGATCTCAGGTGCCGGACGGTAGGAGGGAGGAAAAGGAGGCATACCTTGGAAGAAGACGAAGCCTACGATCCCTCGAAGCCGAAACGAGCCCGCGTCACGTACTCTCGGAGGAAACGCCAAGCCAACACAGGCAACGACGGCGAAAAACCCAAGGTGCAGTTCAAAGTGCCGAGCGCAGTCTCCAGGGCGCCGAAGACACCAGGGAAGCTCTTCATGTCGACCCCCATCGTCCGCAGGATACGGGGAATTTCCCAAGAGGTTGCTTCCCTGAACTTGGGTCTCATACCGTCTTGGTGCCAGAATGGGGATACAGCCTCGGCAACTCAGGATAGTAGCCGCCGACCGCGAGGCCGCCCGCCGAAGAGCTTGCAGACAACCCAGGCGCCTACGCAAAGTCAGAGCACGCTTCAGTTAGACCAAGAACGCCAGTACGATGCATTAATAAAAGCGCTCGATTCTCTCTTACACCATGCAGCGAACCAGAGCGGTCGTCGCTCAACGAACCCACAGTCTTTCCTTGCCATGTGTCTTCGGCAAGTTCCTCAACAGCTCAAACGAATCGAGGAATGGGATGCTGCGGAGGCCGAACGACTTGGGGAGAAGTCGGCCATCAATACTCAGGACGCTGCACAGGAGATGTACGATCAGATGGAAGGCTTCAGTGGTATTGCCTCTGGCTGGGGACCGCTAAGGTACATGGTCCGGGCTCACGCTACGAGTATCATCTGCGACGCCGTCACCGAAGGCCTTCTTGATTTCGCAGTGGTAAAGCGCATCATTAGCGCCTGCATCCGGCGGGAGTGTCTCCACGAAGCCACGGCACTACTCGTTTCCGTGATGGAAAAGCAGTATCCACCAGCAGAAACCCAACAGGACGTGCTGCCACCGCAACCAAAGATGATAGAGCCCTTGGAGTACTTTATCACCTTCTGCAGGAAGCATAACTTATGGTCTACATTATTCGAGAAACTAATCGGGCTTATTTCGGAGAACCGAATCTCGGGAGAGTGGTTGTGCATCAAGGTCTTTGAGCCTGTCTGGGCCGGCTTGAGCGAGAAGTTTGTGGTTGACGGTGCAGCGTGTACGCGGACGCTAGAGTTCTTCCACGTCGCGATCTGGTCGCTTGTTAGTTCTTTATCAACAGCGCAGGAGGACGAGACGAAGACCAGCCGCCGGACGCCTGCACAAATGTTTACGAGCATAGTCGGCGCAGTAACGGCGATGGCTATCATGTCGGGTCGGGCAAGGGCAGATGACGACGGGAGCGGAGTGACGGAGACCAAGGACGGAATATCCAGGGCGGTGCTTTGTGCGTTGGGCGGCTCCCTTGCGAGGCTTGAAGGAGAACATCGGCGGGCGAGAACCACAGTTTCCCGACTTGTATTGGAGTTTAGCATCTATATGGTGACGACGGGGCTTGGTAACAGCGATGCCTGTGACGTGGAAACGACTATAGAGGCCCCAGCGATCAGCTCTTCCAAGGCAGTAAACAGGAGGTTCTACGAAAGCGCAACGTCGCTGATCTGCTCAGTGGCACAGCACTGCAGCCGCGGATCAGGATCGCCCGCTCACGAGCATCTCACGACAATTTGTGACTCGCTCGCGGAGTTGACCGTTGCGCAGCACAACATTACAGATTTACGCAGGGAGGCCGCATTCCTACTGGCGCAGAGGACGGGCGACCTTAGAGACCTTGCGTACGCCGAGGCCATGATGTCCGACGACATGGATACTTCTACTCGGCGTTCTTCATCCTCCGGTCGTACCACCCATCCTCCCGGCGAAAAGGAGAGCAATGACCACCCTACGGCGACTTCGCTGTATTCTGGCTGGAAATGGGACGAGGGCATCAGCGAATGGATTCTCCGCACACCACTACCAACGGCCCAAGCCGACAAGGCACTAACAAGCCGGGCGCAACCTGCGAGCCCAACGATCAGGCGACGACCGCAAGCCAAAGTCGTCACCGTCCAAGCACGCACAGTGACGAGAAGCAGGAACAGCATGCGCACGCATGCGCGCATAAACAACAGTCCTCTCCTCGAATCAGACTCCTCTGACGACGAGATAGCGATGCCGCCGATGGAAAGACGGACAGGCCGGTCGTCTCTAGCTACGACGACCGACGCGCGAAACGCCAGGGTCGCGGCCGTGGCCGGGGCTTGTAGGCCGGCCGCTGGTGAGAAGCTCGAGGCGCTGTCACGGCGCAGATCTACGGGGCCCATCGTTAGGAGGAAGGTTGTGCGCAGGATTTCGTCGTGGGCTCATTTTGGGAGTAGTGATGACGAACTCTTGTTTTAGGGGTATGGGGCTATTTTGCAGTAGTAGTAATGTATTTTTACTTTGGGCTATTTCTCTTTTTTTTTCGGGGTTTGGGTTTCAGGAATAGGCGCAAAAGTCCAGACGGTTGCATTGGATAGGGGCAAATGGCGTTGATGGGTGACGCATCGAATGGCAGGGAAAACCACGTGTGATTTGGGGGGGAATATTTTTGGCATGATGTACGGCTAGAGTTGCCCAAGTACGAGAAAGTCTTCGAGTTCTGCTGTTGATCGGAGCATGACATCGGGTGAAAAGCTTGCCAGTTTACAGGGGACTTGAAACAAGAAATATGGGGAAACTTGCGAACTACAGTACGAGGTATTCGTTCTAGCAACGCTGCGTTTCTTTGGGGGCGTTTCAACCTGCCTGTCTTTTCTGCATATGTGTGGGGAGAGACCACTTGAGGGATTGGATGTGAGGCTTTGGCAACAAAAGTGGTGACGACGGCTTAGACGCTTCCTATCCTCAACTTGTCCCAGAAGAGCTAAGTTCCTGCGATCGATTCCAGTTGAGACCGCTGGAGTGTATTTTTGGGGGGATTTTTCTTTTTCCTCTGCTTCTCAGGGGTCTCTTCAAAGTTTTGTGGGGCTTCGCTTCCGAAGGCGCTTCTTGCATCTGGAGGTTTCGTTCTCGATACTCAGGGCAAGCGCGTAAAATCATGTTGGTCCGAGGCAATATTGATGGGGCATCAATCCAGGTTGAGTATTTACGAAGCTACACGCGTATGAATTAATAGGAAGGAAGCCGAATTCCCGTAAGCTTGACGGAGAGGCCAGAAACATTGACGCCTACATTAACGACAAAAATTGAACAGAATAGGTAACATATCACTCTCTAGAAACCAGGCTGGCGAGCGCAATAGAGAGAGAGAAACGCTTTAGATACTTGGAGGCTGATCACCCGCTGCCAAGACACATTCAAGCGGGAGGCGCCTCATAGTGCTGAAGCGAGAAAATACAAAGTAATCCCGCCTCTAAGAAGCCTTGGGCTGAATAATGCCGACGCAGCTACGTGAGTCAGATAGACGAGATGCAAGGTCATGTCACCTCATTCTTCTCATGCAAAGAGGGTCCTACGCAGACAGACAACGACGCCCGGCGACACCACCTAAAACTTACGGAAATCGTGATCCAATGATCAGGGAGCCGCGTGTCCCCACTGCAGTCTAGCGTGCAAGGAGAGCCTGGGACGACCACACACGAGAACGGAACCCCATCCTGTTGTTTCTCAATGGCACCATGTGAAGAGACATGGATGGATATGAGTTCGTTTGAGGTTTTATTATCTCCAAATAACACCATATCGCGAAAAAAAAAAAGGCGGAGCTTTATCTAACCACCGAACTGGGCTAGGAAAAAGCTTGTTTTCGCGAATGCCTCCAATTAGACAGCATTACCACAATGTTTAACAGTATAACACTATCCGGGCTATGATAGCGGGCAGCGGAGACGGCAGAGTGCTCCCCAGTTGGGGTGTGTAGGGATATGAGTTGGGTCCTCATTCAAAGAGAGGCAAGGCAATAACCAATCCACTGCATCTTCTTTCCCGGTGTCACAAGAGATTAGAGGCCTTCTCACCCTCAATACCGAGCCGCAAGTGAGCAACTGCTGCGGAGTATCGGTTTATGCAGACCTGATTACCCCCAGACCGAGGAAAGAGGGGAGGGTCGAGGGAAACTTACGAGCCGCTCTGGGATTGATGGGGTCATATAAACCGTGTCCGCCCGGCTGCAGAGCGTCCAGGAGCAAGGCAATTTATCGCAGATGGGATCACGAAATTTCGCCGCTGAACAGTGGGACTTCCATTGATTTGGGTGTGCCGTCAATTTATCCAAGGGCTCTCAGAGGAGGAGATAAATGAGCAGAGCCCCCTCATCTCACTTCCCTCCCCTGCTCCGCCAAAGCGCCCGACGCATACCCCAGACTCTGTGATATTAAGTGGAATCTAGAACTTCATGACAATCTTTTGGCCCCAAGGTGTTAGCAACAATTCGAATAATGCGGTGACATACCAAGTATCACTTCATTGTCCATTGCTTCGTTTCTGCCTGCTGAGAGAATCAATGTAAATAAATCGGGGAAATTCCGACGTCAATGGAAACCAGATCGAGCCTCAATGGTCGAATCAAATTACGGAGGACCTCATCCCCCTCCCTGCCGTCCCAAAAACCTCTTGCCACTTCTCTCACCCCCTGCCCCCTCCACGAGATCGTCCGTCCCCAATCAGCACCTCGCAGCGCCTCTCCCGAGAAAACATGGCCCCGGCTCCCCCCTTGCCTGCCAGGGGGGTCAACCAACGAGAATCCTCTCGTGCTAGTCAGGTTTTTCCCTCTTGTTCCTCACTCAGCAGAGTGGGCGAGTTTTGGAGGCGTCGACCTTTGTCAATTCTACCGTCGCTAGAACTCCAATCGGGTATATCGGCCCCCTGGGAGGGACTTCGTAAGCCGAAGTCTCATTCGACGCCAACTTTCGGCCGATTGTTTCATGGCGCACTAGGTGGAGTGGGATGGGAATAAACTAGATGGGCTAGTCGAAAAGGGAAATAGTTTACTTGTAGTATGTTTTGCAAAGCGCACTCCGACTTGCAGACTCTCGTGTGGTTTACGTCGCTCGTAGCATAGTCTGGCCCTCTTTTTTTGGGATTGAAACACGCGACAAACGCCCGGCTTTAGCTCGTGCAGATGGTCGTCAAATCCTGCCGATTCCTAGCCCCATGATGTGAGCCATCTCGAAACAAAAATAGGGTCGAAAATAGAAACAAAAAAAACGGATGATGGCGAGACTTAAAGAATGCACACTACGAAGTTGTAAGAGGGGGTAAAAAGCATAGTGACATATCGGGCACAGGTGCCAAATGTCATCCAAGGGTCGTTCGTGACCATCAGAGCAAGACATGACATGTTGGCAGACAAGTCTCACTACCAGGCGGCTGGTTGTGACTTCGGCAGCTCTCAATGTACTGATACGTTATGCCCGGCCAAGAGAATGCAGGAATGGCAGCCGAACGGTCTCTCTACTACTGCACCGCCCAGTCGGTCTCCGGACCCAGACCCTGATTTTGGAGCCAACGAATTCGTGGTTCGTCGGTACTCTATAGAATGCACCATGAGAAAGCACCAGCTGGCATTGTCGTGTGTGTGCGTGGTGTGTACCTGCATGCGCAAAGTATCATTGATCAATACTTTTCGTCGAAACACGCCCGATCTCAGTGGGACGGGTAGAGCCTGGCTATGGAGAGAGAAGTGTCGCACCGTTCCTGACTAGAAGGTCCCAGAGTCCCCTAAACGTCGCTGGCAGCCAGGAACTGGTATGGCTTCGACTTAGACCTCAGTATCGGGTCAGAATCCTCGCCACAATAGGAAATTCGAGGCAAGAGACTTTCGTAGCGTTCTGCTAGTCTGCTTTCTTCTTCTTCTTCCTTTTTTGTACTTCGTAATCGTTCTCTTCGAGACGCAGGAAATCCATGTGGAGATCCCCGCTGCATGAAAATCAAGAATTGAACTCTTGGGTATTATGAAGTAGAATGTACAAGAGGGCACCAATACCAGCCCATCGGTGTTCCCCCTTTCTCCTAGGTTTCCTCGTCTTTACTCGTACCACGGAGGCGGTCCACGAACACCCAATTAAGTACATAGTACATTCCCCTTCCCAGCCTCCGGTTCTCCCTTCTATTTTGGAATGTGTGTCCATCTCGGGCGTCGAACCGTCCTTGTACTTGTGGATTCGCTGGTTGGCCTGACCCGATCAATGTACCCCTGCACGTCCCTCGCACCTGCCCGGTCCAGGCCCACTGACAAAGGCCTGCCAACATCGGATCCGTCCAATATGAAGGAGCGTTTTGGTCGCTCCCTCCACACCGATCGCCTTAAAGGAGATCTTATATGATTTACTCGCTTCACTCTCTCTTTTTCCCGTTCTTGCTCTTCTCTCCTTTCCACTCTACACGCATCACGCGGCTAATGAGGTGTAGATTGCTCTTAAACACCCTCTTTCAACACGCTCTCTCCTCTCTTTATCTGTGTGCATGTGCTCAGTCGTGGTAGTCGCCGCCTCTCATTGATTCTGTTGTTTGAGTTGCATTGACATTCTCGACCTCTTCTTTTCTCACCACTCTTTCTTCCCCTCCCATTGAGGGCAATTCTCTTCTCAGACCAGCCGGTACCGGGTACCGGCATTATATGCTGTGTTGTTTCTAACAAACAGAATTGAACGCATTCCTTCTACCGACTCGACGACACAGGATCCTCGTCGGCTTTTCAATTCATTCACACCTCTCCTTTCCGTCTGCCTGTGGCACACACACCCCTCTTTTCTGTTTTTCTCACACGCCCACCAACAGACTATTATAAACCTGTTGCCAAGCCAGCAACTTCCTTTTTCTTCTTTCTGACTGCGCTTCTCCGGCTCGACTGTTGCTCCTGCGCAGTACACAACACTAGGAGGACGACAAGCCAAGACAGGGACGAGACCCAAAAGCAATACGCATGAAGTTGATCATCGGCTTGTGACCACAGAGGACCCTCGAAACCGGTGCTCCGATCTCTTCCCTTTTCCCTTGTGGCTAAGACCCTGTGAACGGAACCATTAACACCGAAGACTCGCTCTCGCCGTTTACCTAACCGATCTTCCTGGATTTCTCTGTTTACGCACTTCTCGAATCGCCGGTGATTTCACCCTTCTCTCTTGCTCCCAGTCGTCATGTCTTCCCAAGGATCGGCTGCTGCTGGCGGTGGCCAAGGTGGAGGCAGCGGCGGTGGTGGACATGGAGCTCCCGAGGACCCCTCAATTGGCGAACTGCATACCGCCCTCGCCAGTTACCTCATGGTCGTTTGTTCTGGTCTCGCCGTGATCCTCATCGGATGGAGGATCTACACCAAGCTCATCACCACGGCTCGCCAGATGGTCTGTCTCAGCAACGAGAAGCAGAGTTACTTTGCCATTCCCAACACTCGACTTTCCTTCCTCAAACGAAATGTTCTCTACGCGCCCATTTTCCGAAAGAGGCACAACCGCGAGTTCCAGCTCAGCCGCGCCATCAACGTCGGCACCCTGCCTACTCGTATGGAACTTGTATTCCTCGTCGGCTACTTCATTACCAACGTCATCGTGTCGGTTGTTGGTATACCTTTTACCGAGCAGTTTGGCGTTGCTGCGAAGCGTTTCAGGGATCGAACCGGCTATCTTTCCGTCATTAACATGGTACGCTGATACTTCGTTTGTCTCCTTTTGCGCCTCTTAGTGTTGACTCGGTTGTAACAGATCCCCCTGTTTGTCATGTCCGGTCGAAACAACCCGTTGATTCCGCTTCTCGGTATGCCCTTCGACACCTTCAACCTCCTTCACCGGTGGTTCGGTCGTATCGTCATCATCGAGGGTGTCGCTCACACTATCGCTCACCTGTGGGCGTCGGCTTCGACTGGTTCATGGGCCGCCGCGTGGGCGACCGCTTGGAAGGTTCCCTTCATGATGTGGGGATTCATTGTACGTTTTATTCTTTTTCTCTCTTCCAGCCCGTCTGGCTGTCTCTTACAGGGCATTATGTTTGCGCGCGCGATGCTAATGGAAATTAGGCCACGATTGCGTTTGTTGCCCTCCTATTCCAAGCTGCTAGCCCCGTCCGACACGCTTTCTACGAAACGTTCAAGATTCTCCACATCCTCCTTGCCATCGCCTCGATCATCGGTCTCTGGTATCACTTGAAGCTCAAGGATCTTCCTCAACTTCCTCAGCTCGGCGCTGTCATCGCCCTCTGGGCTCTCGACCGCATCATCCGGATGGGGAGTGTCGCGTACAGGAACTTTGGCAAAGGTGGCAGCCGAACCGTTATCGAGGCTCTTCCCGGAAATGCTCTCCGAATCAACGTCACACTCGCCCGGCCCTGGACCTTCCGATCCGGTCAGCACGCGTATCTGTACTTTCCGACTTTCGGATACTGGCAATCTCACCCGTTCTCGGTTGCTTGGAGTGAGGATTCTCATGATCCCAGCTCAGAGAAGCTGGCGATGAACGTTCAGGAGCTCAACTCGATGAAGAAGTCGACCATCTCGTTTATCGTCAGGGAGCGCACAGGCGTCACGCACGCGTTGTACAAGAAGGCTGCCAACAGCCCGGATGGCAAGTTCACGACCAGGTGCTTCGCGGAGGGCCCTTACGGGTCCATTCACTCGCTTCAGTCATACGGAACGGTCATGCTGTTTGCAGGTGGTGTCGGCATCACGCATCAGGTGCCGTACGTTCGCGAGCTCGTAGCGGGTTACGCGAACGGCACGGTGGCGACGAGGAAGGTTGTCCTCGTGTGGACCATTCAGAGCCCTGAGCACCTCGAGTGGATCAGGCCATGGATGACTGAAGTGCTTGCGATGGAGAGGCGCCGTGAGGTCCTCCGCATCATGCTCTTCGTCAGCAGGCCACGATCGACGAAGGAGATCCACAGCCCGTCGGCGACAGTCCAGATGTTCCCCGGCAGGCCCAACATCGAGACCCTTATCGGGATCGAACTGGAGCATCAGGTTGGCGCCATGGCGGTGTCTGTTTGCGGACCAGGCACTCTGAGCGACGATGTGAGGAGGGCGGTGAGGAACCGACAATACAACAGCACGATCGACTTTGTGGAGGAAGCCTTCACCTGGTAAATAAGGATAGACCTGGGTATAAGTTTGCTTCTTTTTTTCTTTTTGTTTCTTGGAAGGGATTTATCTAGGGATATGGGCCGTTTTCATCTTATTTTTGTCCCATTTCATTTTCCATTCTGTGATCACCTTTGTTCTTTACAAGGGGAGAGCGATGGGTCTTGGAATGGGCGACATTCGAGTGTACATCTTTCAACTCCCTCATTTTTCGGGTCATCTGGTTTTTTTTTGCTTTCTTATTTCTAGACGGTGACTTGGGAGCCCGTTCGTCTTTATTTCACTAAGCTCACGAATCTACATATGGAAGCTGTCACATTCTTTTTCAAACAGTTGAAATCTGTTTTTGATGTCTCGCGAGGAACACTTCTCCATACGGGCCTGGACAAAGGCGTTTATTGACGACGTTTACATTCGTTTTCTGGTGTTTCTGGTCACTCATTTTTAAACTACAAAAAGTCGGGAGGATGCACGAAGTGGAGAGAAGAATATAAAATACCGTGCCTGAAGCTTTTTATTGCTTGATTGAAATGGAAGTGAGGTGATTTCATGTGAAATGAGCAGGGGGGCACGGTAGACCAGGGACAGGGACAGGGATGGACGATGCCTGTGTCTTCATCTCCTTGGGGTGAAACGGGAGATGCGAGATGATGTCAACGAGTTTATGGAAGGGAACGATCGAATCGAGTGTTGCTGCGTGTTTGCATCCAAGTACGAAACACGTCAATGTAAGTGGGATTTATATTTATATGAACTTACGCATACTGCATAGGGTCTCTGTCTGGTGTTGGGTATTAACGCCCTTGGTCAGATTGGTGCAGGAGAGCACGGAGCTGTCAAGATCGGGATGCAAAGTATTGGTCGGCTTTCTCTTGGGGTTCGTTGGTCAGTGATGTGACGTGGCTGGCCCTGGAATCTAGAGTAGTGTTGTGCTGCACGCTTGTCTTCACGTCGACTATGTGTTCTTGGGGATGGATTAACAGAATGATCTATTTGAGATTCAGTTACATGCAACATTGATGCATCATTGATCAATTGATGCTTCTTCCCTAATAGGAGTATTGATGTAATAATGCAGAAATGACTGTTAGGAAATACCTCTGTCGGTATTGGCCGGCTGTAACTAGACAGGGCACACACGACCAGCTGATGACATTGAACCTTTTCTTCGATGATACGAAGTAGTGTACTTATACACTACCACTACTTAGTTTGCATTGAGCTTGGGAAGGAGGCAGTAACTTGTGCCCCAAGCCAGGCCAGCCAGGCGATCCTAAACTGATCCACCCAAAGTCGCGCAACTCGGTGTGCTGCAGGAATCCCCCATCTCAAGCTCAGCTGACCTCGTCACGGAACCTCCAAGTACCTTCTTCAGTGCTTTGTCACAAACCTCCAACTCACCAACCGCATCCAGCCTCAACTCTCTTTCCCTCCAGGTTGCCTTCTTACATTCTCAACCTTCCTTTTTCTCTCCAGCGTCACTTTCTTCTAGAGACAATTCGTCGTTCATAGTAAAGACATATTTTTACAATTCTTCCCTCGTTTTACTGTTTCCCGTTTATCATCGCTTGGCCTATCGATTAATACGACATCGCCCCGCATTCCCCGCAATCCTCCAAGTAACTCTCTCCCCTTATCTCCAACCCGTCCAGAGTCCGAAATCGAGAAAGATAGAGTGCGTAAGAGCGAGAGATATAGCCCAGACGACAACTTCCCATACCAAGTAGCATAGTTGTGTGCATTCGTGACTGTGCCGTTCGAATAACTAGAGACCATAACATCATCCGAGTCCGAAGGAAAGGGGGGCCGGCGCACAGCTCGGGGAAAACCACGGGGCTTCAATTTCATACGGGGGGCCACCCCTTTCGCCTGACATCACATCATTGATCCAGCTCCGAATCTCTTTTGACTCACCCTCACCAAACACTCCAAGCGAACCAAAACGGGTCTCTGTTCGTCCTTGCTCTCTCAAGTTCAGAACCTGCAAACAACCAACCTCTCTCGCAAAAATGGGCCTCGTCTACAACACCTACCTGAACAGCAACCGCATCTACGGCTGCAAGAACTGCAAAGCCCACCTCGCCAACCACGACGACATCATCAGCCGCGTAAATCCACCCCTCCCCTACTTTTCTTTCACTGCAGACAGTGTCTAGGGGAAACTAACAACCAGGGGGGCAAAATACAGAACTTCCGCGGCCAACATGGCAAGGCCTACCTCTTCAACTCCGTCGTCAACGTCGACACCGGCGAAGCCTCCGAGCGAAACATGACCACCGGCCGCCACGTCGTCCGCGATATCTCGTGCCGCCAGTGCAAGGAGACCGTCGGTTGGAAGTACGACAAGGCGTACGAGACGACGGAGAAATATAAGGAGGGGAAGTTTATTCTGGAGGCTGAGTTGCTTTGCAACGTTTCGTAGATGCGATTCATGCTGACGGGATGTATTTGTTTGAGGGGGAATGGAAACGGGGGTCTGAGAGGGATGCATTTGTGGTTGGGGGAATGAGAGAGAGACCTCTGTTTCTGGGTTCCCCCTTTTCATCTTTTTTTCTTTTCCTTTGTAATTCTGGGTCGGGATGCACAGCGGGTTTCGGTTTGGGACTTGGTTTTTGTTTACTTATTTTTTTCGTTGTCTCCTACAAGAGTGTGATGGCGTTGCTGGAATAGCTGGCTTGGAGTTCTAGATGTTAAATCCACATGAATCCTACCCCTATGTTCTCTGATAGTGCAGTAACTTGAGATCTATCATAGACAGGCTTTGTTTCCAAGCTACGTACCATTGATCACGAGCCGAGAATTAGAATAACGCTCTGTGAAAAATGCCAGTTATATACCCAAATTTACTCCAGCTAACTACCCAATCCGAAGCCGACTTTGGGAGAAGCAATTGCTAGCAACCTGTAACGAGAGAAGAAACAAAAAAGAAATACACAAGAAAGACGCCATAAACTCCGCTCGGCTCACCTAGTCTGATGTATGTCTAAACATAGCTCTCTCACCATGAACACTCCCCCACACCCGAAAACGTCTTCCCACCGCCACCTGGGGGGAAGGCGGCAGAGTTTTCAAGTCATCGTTCCTCTTCTTAGTTATGCTCAATCGGCTCCTCGGGCAAAAGCTCCTCCACCTCCTCCTCAACCTGCAAGAACTTGACCGGAGGCTTGACGACGCCGTTGAACAAAAAGGTAAAGTACACGAGGAGTGCGAAACCGACGACCTGGAGCCACTTGAACGTCTCCCAGCCGAGGCCGAGCGAGACGATCCAGATGAAGAGCGTACGGCACGTGTCGATCGTGGAGCGGGAGGTGGCGCTGACGCTGCGCGTGACGGAGAGGCCGAAAAAGTTGAAGCCACTGAGAATATCATGTTAGAAACTCTGCTTGTAAAAGGAAGGCATTTTCTTTTCTCCTTTTCGGATCAAGAGGGAAACGGTCGGAGGAGATCACTTACCCAATGCTAATCATGATGAGGATGCTAGAGACGTAGAGCTCAGGCTTGCTGGTGACCTGCCTCCAGCCCTCAACCATATCAAAGTAGCCATATTGACCGGCTTCAGTCCTTCCGATAACGAGGTGCAGAACGATCATGCCAATCAGAGTAACCAAGAAGCCAAAGATGCCTTCCCAACCGACAACATGGATCGGTTCAATAGTTGACTTCTCCAGTAGATACTCCTCAAGCACAAACTGCGTCGCCGTAAAGATCTGCGCGCCAGCAATAAGCAGCACACCAACGACAGCCAGCAGCGCATCCGACGCAACCTCCGTCGAAGCGAGGGCCAGCAACTGCGCCTTCTTCTGGTCATCGGGCCAAATCGCACCAGCGAGACCGACGATGCCGACGCCCAGCACGACACCGACGAGCGAGACCCACTGGAAGAGGAAGAGCTTCCTCTTGAGGAAAAGCACGCTGAACAGCCCGACGAAGAGCACGAGCGCACCACGGGTCATTTGGTAAATCGAGGCAGCGACCATAAGAAGACCGGCGTTCATGAGCGTCGTGCCGCAAATGTCGCAGATCGCCGGGAGCGAGAGGAGAAGCACGCGGATGCCCTTGAGTTCGGTGTCGGACTTGACGGGGTCATCATCGTGGTCGGCTGGGTCGGCGACGTCGTTGTCGTCGGTGCTGATGGCCTCGTAGCCTGCCGCCGAGGCCTTCTTGGATACGTAGCGGCGGTAGAGGGCGCCGGCTCCGATGACGAGCCAGCAGCCCATTTCGCCGATGAACATTTGGAGGGTTTGGAGGACAGGTTGGTGGAAGAAGCGGCGTTGGGAGGGATCCGCGGAGTCGCAGTTGCGGGCACATTGGTTATCCTGTCGAAGGCCTGCGTTAGATTAATCCGGACGATGGAGAGAGATACAAAACAATTCCAGGGAAGCTCTCTTATTTACCTGATACTTGGTGAGCAAGGTGTTGCAAACACCCGTCAGTAGCATCATGGCCACCAAGAACGGAATGAGTTGCCTCGACGCCATTGTGACGGCGTGCCAGGAGGCGGGAGCAAAGGATAATGGGGGGGTTGTTAGGTTGTTTCGGTATTTCTATGAGCAATTCATGTGTTTTGTCGAGTCACAGATGGAAATTGTAACAAGAGAGAGAGATGATGATGACGGGGTTAAGAAGGAGGTGAGATTCAATTGTTGAGGCAGTCGTGGATACGGATGATAACGTGCTCGGCTGCAGATAGAGTTGAGGCTTGGCTCGGGGCTGCCAGGCAGTTGTGGTCGCCTAAAACACAGTGACCAACCACCGAAAATGAGCCGCTAACTGCAGGTTTCCCCCCGCTTCAGGCGCACTAACCACTGTTAACCCCGGTCCCTTACTGCGGCCCCGTGACGACCGACCAGTGAGACAGTCATGTGGTCTCAATCAGAGCAGGGAGGGTAGCGGAGAAATGGCGCCTGCCGCAGAAGCTCGGGCTTGGGCTGAGTTCCGAGATAGGCGACTTATCAGCAATCAGCAACTGTTGATGTCATCGATCGATCAGTGTTGCATCCATCGATCAGACCATTCGATGAACCTCGCCAGATCCCCGATCTCATGAAAATGCAGTCATCAAGATAATTCTCTCAATAATTATGAGTGTTTAAGTGTCAGATTGTATGTCTAGAACGGTGAAAAACAATGCTCTCAAGCGCCTAGTTTTGTACCCCAAGAGAAATCCCCTTTCAATTTCTAAAGCCGCTTGTATGGGTATCCGTGTATCAAATCCAAACACTGCGCATTTCCAAACTGAAGCCATCACCATGGTGTAGAAAAAGCAGAGAAAAAAAAAGAGGCTCCTCAAAACAACGCTCGAGTAGTTACATATATTTTCTCAGAAAAAAATAAGATAAGAGAGACACATCCCCTCGGTCCGGCATTAGAGGGTTATTGTTTCGTCCTCTTCTTTTTCTCCTTGGGCGGCTTGTCGCTGAGGTTATTCTATAATACATCATCACGTTAGTAAAATGGATGCGGCCAAGGAAAAGGCAGAATAGAGTTAAAAGACAATAGAGTGAACTCACATAATGAGGAATATCCAGCTCGTAGTCCTCCGCCAGCTTCTTCTTATCCGCCTCCGACAACTCAACACCCTCCACAGACTTGACCCTCCTGCCCTCCAAGAAAATAAAGATGCCACCCATAATCGCCAACACGAGCGCAACGCCAATAAGGAACCCCACGACCCAGGACGGGCGATCATACCGATTCATGCCCCACATAAACCCCGCCAGCAAGGCCTGGAAGATGGTGTTCCAGGCATTGGCCCAGATGACCGTGTCCAACTTCCACACCTTGGTAGGTTCCGCTCGGATTTCCGTCAGCGGCGGGGTCGGCGTGCGCTTCAACGGATAGGGAAGGAAAGGCGCGTACTCCCCCGCAGCGGCATCGTCCTTCTCGGTATCGAGGAAATCCGCCGGTCCGATATTCACGGGCACGTTCTGCGAACCCTCGAGACGGAACCATCCGCGGTGGATGCCCGCGAGTCGTCGCAGCGCCACGTGCTCGCTACGTAGTCGGTACTTCATAAGGTAGTAAAGATCGCGAAACCTCCACGGGGCAAGACCGAATCCCGTCACGCAGAAAAGCGCGTTGAGGATCTGCGAGTCGATTTCGATCCATATCCGTCGGGGAGAGTTGATGTCGTTGCATGTCGGGTGACACATGGCCGGCGCAGCGTTGCACAGCAGTAGGAAGATCATGCCTCCCCAGGCCACGACGTTAAGGCCGTATATGACGACGAAAAACCCGAGCGGCGTAAGGAAGTAGTTCCATAGTGCTATCGCGCCTAGCTTCGTCGCTCCTACGAACCCGTGAGAGGGTGGGAAATGGTATCCGTTATCGAATGGCGCCGTGCCCGCATGTTCTGCCTCGCTGACCAAACCCGTACCCTCGCCGACTAGTCCCTGGGGCTTTCCGGTCACCTCTTCATCGCTTGGTCTCTGCTCCTTTTGCGACAAGGCTTGATCTATAGTCACACTCGAAGTTTCGGTCGTCTCATGCTCGTGCTCGTGCTCGACCGTTTCAGGCAGAGGCTCGGTGCCTCTCCTCGATCTCGTAATTACAGCCGGCGGTGATATCGATAAAGACGCCGCTCGACTTGTTCTTCCACCATCTTCGGGCGCGGGCGATGCGGTGCCGAGAGAAACCCCAGCGCTAGACGCTAGCGAGCTTCTCCGCCTGGGCGGCGCGGACAGCACAGAGGATGCGAACGAGCCCGTCGCTGCGCAGAAACTCTCAGGTATGTCCGACTCCCCAAAGCTTTCCGAAAGCCTTCGTAACCTTCCGGCGAGGGTGAGCGGCGGCTGGGCATCGGGGGGTAAGTCGGGACTATTCGTTCTCGAGGTCGGTGGGATAGATTCTGGATCGGCTTCTAGAGGTGGGAATGGGGAGCCAACGGGGGTGGAAGTCCCCGTCGGCGACGCCATCGCGATGAATGATCTGTTTAAAAAAGAAGAATTCCGCAGCTGCTAATTAAAACAGCCGCTTTCCCTTAGTATAAACGGGTGTCGGGGAGAAAGCAAGCAAAATGCGTTGAAATAAAAGGGAGAAAATAGAAAAGATCAGGATTCGGCCTTTTCGTCGTATCCCGTATCTGGGGGAGCAGTCGTAATAATAAGCATGATCAAGGGTTCCGCTTTCATGTGCCCGTGCTTTTTACTAGTACGCGTATTACAATATAAATGAAGAGTCGAGGGGGAGCAGCAGTTCGGACTGGCATGGCTTAGCATTACCGAAGTAGGGCTAAACAGGGGTCGAAGAAATCAGTCGATCGCTGGTTATTCCGCGTGGCGGTCGCTCTTCACCTCCGGAGGAAGGGGGGCGGGCGCACCGGGTCGTTTTGGAAGTCCGGATCAAGCTTTATCGCCACTGAACTTTTCGTTGACCAGTCTCGTTCGACAGACCTATGCCAATCCACCACGTGCGATGCATGTTGCCAAGGGTCAATTAATTCCATGTGGGTGGACAACATGAAGCAACCGTTGATACTTGGGGATGGAAGGTGGGACGGTTCCCTGCCCTTGGCTTCTTGATCGGTGGTGACACCCTCCATCCCTCTTGATGTCATGGTCCATCTTCGATCAATGATCGATCCTGGTAAGCTCGAATTGTTCCTTCCACTGGGGCGGGACCGAAGCCAGTTGACCTCATGCATATCGACGGTTGGTGATGTGGACTATTGAACATTCAAGGCTATAAAGTGTGCTGGACAGAAAATATATTTGGGGATGATATGATGAATTGACTCCCGTCAGTTCCGGTCCACTGCCAACCGTACCATCTTATCGCTAGTTGAACGCAATTATCGTGGTGCGTACAATTCAATGTTGGTCCAGATCGAGTCGTGTATTCGGGGCTAAGTACGAGTTGATGATGAGCTTTGTGGATAATTGACAATCGACCTGTGCTTCTCAGTTCTCCATGAATGGCTTAGTCAGGCACTAAGGCGAAGACCCATCAAGGTTCCTTGAAGCCAACATCGAAACCTGCGATAGAAAAAAAAAAGTCGGGGCCCGATTCCATTTCACCAAATATTTTGACGTAGGGTAACCCTACATCCCCCAGCAAGCGCAGATGACTCTCCCAGACCGGGACGTCCCCGCCAGCGTCCTCGAAAACCTCAAAGACCAACACTACTGGACCGACATCCAACTCCACACCCACTCCCCAACCGACCCCTCCAAGCCCTTACCAAGAGCTCTCATCAGCGGCCTCCCCCCCAAGCGCCTCTACATCCACCCCGACGAACAGATCGAAGCCATCGACATCGAGCGCCAAACCGGCGCGCAGCCCGAAGTCGCCCAGGAACCCGAGTACGAATGGGTGTTGCCGGCCCACCTGCACGAGACGTTTTCCCTGGCCAAGTTCGCTGCCGTATTCGACTCTATCGACGCCATTCCGCCCCAGGCGCCGCGGGATGAGGCGCCGGAGCTTGGTCCGAGCGGGAAGGACTGGAGGGGCGCGGATCGGAAGAAAAGGGTGACTATGGCGATTGTTCATGATGATTCGACGGTTACGTATTACATCGTTCACGATGGCATTGTGAAGCCGCGGCAGAACTAGCGGCGGCGTTTATATTATTTTCATGTTTAATTTCTTTTCTTTCTTTTCTTTGCACTACAGCTTTAAGGGATCGCTGGGCTCCAATTCTGGGATTCTGGGCTACAAGGCAAACCACCACAATACCTTACTCTACTCAAGTGAGCAAGGTGGAAGGCAGGAGGAGCATCCGAACTATAGCGTGAAAATCACCTTGTACGCCTCCATGGCATTGAATAACCTGTATCCCTCGACAGCTTCGGAAAGCGGCATCATCTTGTCGAACATGAACCTGTCAAAGGTGTGAGTTTTGGGGGGGAAGACAGAGTTGTCGGGGAGAAGAACCTCGGGGCTTGCCCTGGGGGGGTTGTTCTGAGGATCCATGAGACTTACTCAAGCTTGTCTTGCCTCTTCTCGAGAAGAGCGAGGGCCTCATCGAATATCGCTCGGACAGGGCAACGGCCCATCTGAAGGCGGACATTTTTGCTACGCGAGGGGTCAGTTTTTACATGTCCTGGTCTGAGTCGGCCATCTGGAGATGCGCTCACCCGTATCCTTCATGTCCGTTGAAGGGGATCTATTGCCGCAGAAAAAAATGTTAGCCCAACAGGCTTTTTGTAGCAAAGGGATCGGAGAAAAGCCATACCTCAGCATTGTGGACACCAATGCTGCTGATAACACCCCAAGGCCGGATAAGATCAAACGCCGTCCTCAGCGCAGGACTAAGACCAACAACCTCAATAACCAAATCCGCCCCACGACCCTCCGTCACCTCCAGAATTCTCTTCTTCATGCCCTCGGGATCAGTCTTGAAGTTCAGTGGCTCAGCGCCCAGCTTCTTAGCGATCTCCAGCCTGCTATCAACAGCGTCGATGGCGAAGAAGTGCTTAGGCTTATACTCCAAAGCAGCGATGATGGCGCAGAGCCCGACGGGCCCGCAACCGATCACGACGGCAGTGACGTCATCCTTCTCCTTCATGGGGAGGAGCTGCCAGGCGGACTTGGCGCCGAAGAAGCCCGTGGGGAAGATGTCGGCCATGAGGACGAGGGCCTTGTCGGAGATGGTGCTGGGGGCTTTGACGACGGTGCCGTCGGCGAAGGGGACGCGGACATATTCGGCTTGGCCGCCGTCGAGGGCACCGCTACCGAAGAGGATGCTCTTTTCGCAGCGGGAGGTGAAGCCATTTCGACAATAGAAGCACTTTAAGCTATTTTTGCGGGGATCCCTCTACTCTCAGTAATCCGTTTTTACAAGGAAAAGTGTGAGGTACGCTGGTAGAACTATATGCGGCACGTACCATGAGGTGGTGAAGGGAGTCACGATCTTATCTCCGACCTTGACGGTCTTTACCGCAGCGCCGACTTCCGTCACAGTTCCGGTAAACTCATGGCCCATGATGAAGCCGGGCTCTTGCTTTTCTAGGCCGCGGAAAGTATGCAATTCTCTTTGGATACTCGTCATCAGTCCACAACATCGTCACGGCAATGCGGGGGCGGGGTAACAATTGAAGTTGACTTTTGATACCCCAGCACCGCAACCAGGGTCGAATACTCACGAGCCACAGAGACCAGAGGCGCTGACCTTGACGATAATATCTTCATCGTCCCGGACTGTTCAAAATATCAATTGGGTCAGCCTCGCCATTGCGTCATCCGGCTTGTTCTTTCGTCCACGCACGCGCCGGGGCGAAGGGCTGGAAGAGCTTGGTCCATACTTTTCGGGATCGGTCGCTCCTGAACGGAGACCTTGTGAGGACCGTCGAAGACTACGGCGAGCATTGTTCCGGCGGTGGAAATCGCAAGGTTCGGGGGTATATAAGGCTTGTATGAAATGCGAAGATCTGAAACTATGACGTTTCAAGCAAGAGAGAATCAAAGTTGTTTAAATAGCTTCGAATGGATTGATCCCCCTCAGAACTGAGTCAAGAGGAGATCAATTGATCGATCGTTGCTTGTTTTACGTAGTTAGATGCCTCTTTGAGATAAGGTTAGCGTTATCTCATCTGCTCCGTTGCTAACTTACTTCGCAAACCCTCGGTCTTCGAAGCATCCATTGATCGTGAACAGAGGAAGAAGCCGGCTTGGCATTGATCAAAATGTCAAAATGTAGCTCCATCCCGGGTCCCACGCAAGAATAAAAGCGACAATAAGCGCATGTCGCCCCTTGCACAGTTGCACTATGCCAGCACGCAACTCCGATGTAGGAACGCGGGCGGGGAGATAGGGACAAATTAGAACGGACCACCTTCTGGATGGCCTTTTTTTTTTTTTTTTTTGATTACGGACATCGTTGTAATCCAGTCTGGATTAAAGATTGCATTGAGATTTCTTCTCGTCCATCAATTCCAGGTGCACGTTGTGGATAACGCAACTGGGAGCAGGTGTTAGGCGTTGGGGGAAGTTGTAAGCGGAAAATAATATGGGGCGAGGTTGCATTCCCGGTTACGCTGTATTCGATTACCGGGGGCTCATGTCGATTCGATCATGGAGCTTCAACACGGGAAGCAAGGGCAAGGAGGGTCCTGAACGAGGCAATCCGTGCAGAAACGGGAGGCTCTGCGTCAGTGATGTCATTGCTGCAGTGTCATTGATGTTATCCTGTCGACATTCGGGCAATACTGATGCTGATGCCTGGACCCCCTGTTCGACATACTGACTGGGGGGATTTAAAGTAGGGCACTGAGATAGAGATAGAGTGCTTAATGAAGCACAGTTATCATACCGGGGAATGCGGTAGAGCGATCTCCGCATTGCTGGGTGGGAGGAGGCAGATCAAGATGAAACATCGATATATTATGGGACAAGTGGATTCTCTGGTAATGCCCCTCCTGGTGCTTCGGGCCGACGAAACCAGCAACGAGTAATATCATGCATACACTCTCGATGGAGCGGTGTGCTGAGCAATATCGATTTGATATGCCCCAACCTCGGTCTGGTCTCTCTCTCCCCCCCCTCTGGAACGGTGTGGTACGGTACGGTAGAAGTCTGCGGATAACTTCCCTCTTCTTCTGGCAGTGGGAGGGCACACACAGCTCTCGGACGCAGCTCGCCATAATTAGTCGGTTCCGCATCTGTCGCGTAGGAAGAGGTGCCAGGCGACCGAGACTAGCGCATGTTGATGGGCCTATATTTCGCCTCTCACGTTCCTAACGTTCATTGTTGCCATAAATCAACCGAGCCTAGGCGAGTTTGCTGGCTCCACTCTCAGACTTATGTGCTCTTAAAGTTCCCCTCTTAAACCCTTCACGACGGTGGGGAAGTGAAGCAGACTGATGGGAATCGCAAGGAGTTGGTTGGTCGTCCAAGTTGCGGGGTGAGGAAATGGGTGTGTGGATTCCACCTCTCCTTCGCAGGCTCGCAACATGGCCCCTGCTCGCATTTCCCCGCCTTTTCCTTCCTTCCCTTCCCGCATTCCGAGGTGTGGCGATGGGGAAGCGAGGGTGGTCTGGTGCGGTTCATCTTTTGAGGAGTAAACCCCCTCTCTTTCTTCTAGTGAATATGGTGTCGTGACCATGGAATGGTTCGCAAAATGTAATTTACGACGACGTGAAGCTCACACGCGAGAAAACAGCCAGATTGAAAGAAGAGGGACTACGCGTACATTCGACATCTGGGCGCCATGTTAAGGGCCGTCCTCCTTAGTCACGCTTACTGAAAGGATCAAATATCAAATATCAATATCGAGTCCGATCCTCGGCTGTGGTTGATTAAAACGTGGGATCTTTAGAAACAGTATCCCGTCCAAATAATATGGGAGAGGTGCAGGAGCTCTCTACTTCGCAATTTCTTGTTGAAGTCTATTCGGTTCTGGGATTTTCCTAATGTTCTTCCCCTTTGCCTGTTCCTGATTCCGTCCCGTCAGGGCTCTCGCCCCATGCGAGAACATGCCAGCCGTGGAAACTTCCCGCTGGTACAGTAGCGAATGTAGGGGCTCGCGAGGGTTCGTGCAAGGTACTGTATGGGAGACGGCTAAGAGCCGACCCCGGCTTATCCACGGAGCCTAGGTCCCGGAAGCGCGGACAGCAAATCCTGGTGAGTGATTTATTACTTGCGTTCTCCCAAGAAGTATCAATAAGTAGGTGGTCGTCCCAGAGCTGTTGAGGCAGTGCAGGGATCAATGATTTAATACCAAAAAGTTGAGGTATAAAAGAAATTGTTTTAAAGCCTCTTCATTACATCCGACCCGATGGATTGATACCACCTTTGTACGCTGCATCTACATACTTCGTAGTGTACTTCGTACTCGGTTTCTCGTTAACAATGCACCCCAGTAGGAAATCCATCCTGTCTTACCTGTACTTCGTACTGTTTCGTAGTATTACATCGTTGATTGATGCTGAGCCAGCATGTCTGCTTCGTACACTACTTCGTGCGTGGGGCCGTCTTCCACTTATCAACCAGGCGGCCGAACGACCGTGCCCCCGGAGAAAGACAAGGGACATTGGGATCTTGATCGAGAACAGGAGGGGACAATGGAAGCCTGCAGGGGCAGGGCCCCCAAGACGCGGGTTATGATCAAGGTCAATTGATGCTTGCCCAACACATATACCTGTCGAGTTCATAATTTCAATATCAAGACAATTTGACCATCATTTATACTTGTAGCTAGACAGGACGACTCACGACTCCTCCAATTGTCGTCGCCACCAAATAAACAAGGGAGGTATAAGTGGAAGACCGAAAGTACCCTTTCGGACACTCGCGGGAAGTACTTCTATCCTCGAGTTGTCCACAATACTACCACGCCTTCTGTACATACTTCGTCGATGGTTATGGGTGGTGATATTGATGTCAAGGTCTGGCACGCTGATCAATTGCCAATTCATTGATTTGATGGCCCCGGGCCTAATTTCCCCAGGGTCTGGGGCAGACGCATGAGGCACAAAACTGTGGAACTTGCAGAGCACACTATGCTCCTTCGTACATATCAATCACTTCGTACAGCGCAGCGTGGTGCAGGTCTGCCCGCCCTGATCCCGGTCGCAGCTCTGTTAATCTCCATTGAGCCTCTTAAAGCACGAGGCGCGTGCTTCGTACTGGTACCTGAGACTTGCCTCTCAGGTTGGCCGAGGACGTACCTGGCTTCCTGGCTACCTACGAAGTTGGACCTAGCATGTTCTCAACGACATCTCTTGCAGGACCTCCACAGGTACTCGACGTCGTTCTGTAATTGGGGCGCCAGATTTCTCCTCAACTAACTGCGAAACGGTACGGCTGCTCGATCTTCGCAAAAAACCCAAGCTTTCTGTCTCGTCAAAGCTGCATCAATATTGCGGGAACCCTGGAATATTGTCTTGAGTCTCCATGAGATTGAATCCCATCCAGACTAGCTTCGAAACTGAAACTACTTGAACATCATGCCTCTCTCGTCTCCTCACACAACAATATGCTCTTTGTACTTGGGTCCGTCGTTATTTTTGTACCGTATTTCTACACACATGCCTCATTCCTCCATAGCTCAGTAACTCCGATGAAGTTGCCCCATTTTCCCCGCGTTCGTCCCTTCCCTGGTGTGGTGGCCTGGGCCTGGCATTTGATCCATTTTGATCCACCCAGTCCCTTGTACACCTGTACCTCGTACTTTACCACATGCAATCTTCGCGCTGTCTCGGCCTCTGGGGGTGCTCCTCCCAGGTAATAATTGATGTACTTGTATTAGTTGTCCGCGCCTGCTCCCGCTGCCGCTGTCTTAATTCATCACCACCTCCATCAAATCAATCAATTGATCACTACCTCCATCTCCATCTCCACCTCACCCTCTGCCTCCACCTCCGCTACCACTACCACCGCCACTACCACGGCCCGGTCTGCCCATTCTTGAACGTCCAGTTCCACAATTCTGGCCCCGCCACAACCACCTCGTACGCATACATGACAATAGTCTTTTGTTCCCTCCCATGCTACCCTTCTCCTCATCTTCACCTTCACAAGACCTCGCCATTGTTGTGTCGCGTTTCCTAGTGGTCGACTGGGAATTCCAACGCACGAAAACCTCGGGTTTGGTGGCTCCTGGTTTTGCCGAAACGAAGACTGACCGAGCCTACACTATTTCGTATTGTAAGCCCTCGGCACAGGCAGGCAGGCAGGCTAGACCACCTCGATAAACCCAGCTTGATTCCCCCCCCAAGGACGACGCTAATAGACTCTTTCCACCTCCTACCTATTTTGGCGAAGAGGGCAGGCCCCAGCCGTTTTCCCTCCTCCCCCACAAAAGCTTCGACTTCAAGGGAATCAGCCTCACCGCCCGCCCAGCTTCCCTCCCTAGCCCACCCCAACCTGCATCTCCCATCCGCGCCCGCCCCGCCCTCTCACCAACCAGAGCAGGGTCGTGCTCGTACTTTGCGACGTCCTGCAGGGTGCCATTACTACATCTTCACAGAGCGTGGCTTGTAGCTGTACAACGCATTCCACCAACGCGACACCGACGTGGACGTGGGGATTGATGGGAACAGCACAGCCAAGCACAAGTAACAGTCTCGTCTTTAGCAAAACACTCCGTTTTCCCTCTCGGCTTTCACCATTTCCACATTAAAGAACCTTCGCTCGTTAAGCCACGTCTCGCCCGCACGCCACATATCCGCCGCTCAATACCTTCACATTTTACTACTCCTCACCTGGTCTCGCCTTTTCTTCGCCAAAAACTCGACCTTGACGCAGGCCACCGCGTCCTCAGCTGCCTTGGAGAGCCTGTCGAGGAACGTCCTCCCGTCTTTCGTTTCCGTGGTTGGGCTGTGGCAAGGCCGTTAACTCGGCCGGGGATTCACTGCGCATTCGAACCTCAACCCACACCACCACCACACCACACCACGTCGACAACCTCCTAGCAGCACTTTCCTATTCCCGCCCAACGACTTCTCTGAACACCACGAGGCGATCGCAATTCACGCAGACGACGAATCTTCCCCCCGGCGCGGATGACAAGGCGACTAACCGAGTGGACTGTGGACCTCTTTCCTTGCCGCATCGTAGCGCATAATTGTTCTCATTTTCTCTGCCTGTTTTGTATGCTCTGACAGCCTAACGTTTGGTCCTTGTTCCTTCGCCCCAGTCCTTCCTCCGATTCCAATGGCGAACTAGCACAGGCGCAACTCGACTCACGTTCCCGATTATGTCTGCAAAAGCTGCAAACAACGAAACCTTGACTCGAAATCCTCGCCTCCAACAGCTATGCCTACGGATGTATTCAACGATTCTGGTGAAGGCTCCCGGCCTCAGACACCGTTTCATCCCCGCTACGAACCGGTAGCCGGGCCCAAATTTGGCGACGTCATTGAAGTCAGTTCCTGAGCCTGTCTCTCTCTCTCTCTCTTTTTTCCTAATGCCTTCGTTCTATCTTCTGTTTAGGAGTGGGCTTCTTCGAAGGCTGCTTTTTGCTTTGTACTCTTCCTCTGTCCACGTCACTCCCCGGCCCTTTGACAAGGCCTTGACGCCCCTTCTCCCTCCCATCTCCCGCACTTATATAAGACTCTTGAGAATCCCGATCCTAATTCTTCTCTCAAAGAATCTGCCGAGGGCGGACGAGGCTTACGTCGTGGCAATCATGGATCAGAACCGGAATCCTGATATTCCCCACCATATCATCGAGGACGGCCCAGACCTGTCTGACAAAGAGTCTTATACCTCAGAACATCGCGATCACGATTGGGCCTCGCCGTCCCGTCCCCCCACTCCAGGCAAGAAGATGCGACTTCCGGCCCCCCAGGAGAGCGACAGCTCTTCCAAGTTTGAGGCGCTACAGCAGCTAGCCACCGATGCTCTGGCAAACTTTGCTTCTCCGTCACAAGCATCTGATCTAAGCCCCGGCCCTCAACACGCCCCTCACGGTGATCCAAGGCGCCAGGCCCCTGCCCTGCTGACAGGTCGAGACTTGCCTTTCCGTAGAGAGGGCTCTTTACCGGTTTCTGCTTCTGCCCCCACTCCTAGCAGTAGCAGCTCGTACGCTCCACCAGACTATTTTCAGACCAATACCTTGCTCTCGGCTCTGAATCCTACTAGCCCGGTTGGTACAGGTCTGCCGGCAGCGCCGCTTGCATCACCGAAGTCTATCGGCCCCCGGAGTCCAACGGCTAGCCTTCTGCCACATCGGCCGTCCCAACAACATTTGCCACGCTTAAACTCGGCACCCTTAAACTCGGCACCGAATCCAACGGGGCGGCTTCCATCTCTACACCAGTTAATGGGGCCTCACTCGCCAACCAGCAGCATAGAACGCGATGATGACCATCTCAGTTACCCGCAAACGTCACCATTCGCCTACCAGCCATCGGCCTTACCGCGGCCACCCTCAATTTCCGGACATCACCAGGGCACTCCTCCTGTCTCTCCTAACGGGAGCTATGGCCGTGATTTTCCATCCTCCCCGAAGCCACAGGGCCGAACAGCCAATTACTATCCAACTTCGAAACCTGGGCCTATCATGGCCAGCGGTGTAAGCGCCATCACAACCTCCTCTCTGCTCAGGTCGGCGGGAGGGGAGTACATGGCCAACAGCAATGCTGCGACGTCCAACACAGACCACTCCGGGTTAAGTGCGGTAGAAGGACTGGTATCGAGTGGAAACGGCTCAGGGAGCTCCGAGGTCGGCACGTTCAAGTGCACGTTTGAGGGTTGCCAGGCGAAGCCATTCCAGACACAATATCTGCTCAACTCTCACGCCAACGTTCACTCATCAGCCAGGCCGCATTACTGTCCCGTCCAGGGGTGTCCGAGGAGTAAGCCAGGCCAGGGTTTCAAGCGCAAGAACGAGATGATCCGCCACGGCTTCGTGCATGAATCGCCGGGGTATGCTTGCCCGTTTTGTCCAGATCGGGAGCACAAGTACCCCCGGCCGGATAATCTCCAGAGGTATGTTCATGTATAATACCTTTTTTTTTTTTTTTTTTTTTTCCCTCTTTCACCGCCTTCATTTCCCGGTGTGTGGGGGCTGGTTTGGCTGGTTTCCCATCTAACTTGCTTCTCCAGGCACGTCCGAGCTCGCCACGTAGATAAGGATAAAAATGATCCAAAACTCGTCGAGGTGCTATCCCAGCGCCGTGATGGTATCACACGTGGTCGCCGCCGGAGAGGAGCCCAATCATAGCACATCGCATTATTCCCGCCTTCCGGAGAATAGTGCACCATTCGCTTGACTTTCACGTTACTTCTTCGCTTGTATATATGTCGCCCATACTTATCTCATTTCGGAGAGATCGTTTCCCACGAAAAGGAATGCTCGAGAAGCTCGCCCGCATCGCTAGAACTGATCTCCCATCTTCTTTGTATCGATATTTTCGTCATACTTTCGGTCCGTCATACGAATTCGAACCCGCACTCGAAACGAGAAGACTGGTACCTAAGTCATTCGCTTACATTTACTTTTCTAAAACAAAACATCTTCTTTGTTCATGCTCGGCATTTTGTTTTAACACAGGCCATGGATCCAGAGGGGGAAAAATACTATAGCAGGGCGAATCTGGCGTTTTAAACAACCTATATACCTTATCTTTCCTGTCGTTACCGGTACTCTCTTCTTCACATTCTTCTTTCTCCTCCTCTTCTCCTCCACCCCCCTCTTCTCTCTTCTCTCCCTCAGGGGACAAAGGGTACATGTTGGTTTTTGGAGTTTTTTTTTTTCATATATTTTTCTTTTCTGTTATAAACAAACCATTTTCGGATAAAACAACCCAACCCCGTTTTGTTTGAGCTAGCCCGGCGTTCATGGATGGGAGGGCAACGGGGAAGGGATCTTCCGAGACGAGGGGGGAATTCGGGGGAAAGAAAGGGAGGAGTTTTAACTTTATATATATCTACATATACCATTTGAGTACGGTTTACTGGTATCATTTCTTTAGTGCCGTCTCCCACATCTCTTTTGTTGTGATTTTCTGTGTTTTGTTCCTGGGAATTTCTACTTCATTGGGTCCTGTCTGATTCTGTAGAGATTTTGAGCGGGATTTTTAAGAAATGACCTAGAGTTTATGGTTAGCATGTCTTGATAAGTTTTAGTTTGAAGGGTTGATGAACAATATACTTCATAGAATATTTATTCATATTTCACGCGCATCCCCCGGACCTGTCGAGTCCTTGAGTCCTCGAACATATTGTGGCATCGATGAGGACGATTAGTCGCAATGGAAAGGCACCGCTGATCAACACGAGCCGGCTTAAGAGATTTCCTCTTCCAGACATCTCGACGGCAACATGGCTTTCCTTGACACCACACGCCGTTCTCCCGAGTTCAGTCCAAAAAAGCATTGTCTTACGATAGTTTCGAGGTGGAGACGGCGAAGCAACATGATTTATAAATACGTGGAGTTTGATCCCAGGAAAGACATTGGAAGAGACGTGGCTGCCCGTGGCAGAAGGCAGAGCCTTAGGAGGGGGAAAAGAAAAAAAGAAGGGCAAAAAAAAAAAAAATTATTTCAACGAAGAGAAGTAAAACGAACTAACTAACTGGGCAAAACGCTCGCCATGTTCAAAAAAAGCAACCCGCCCTAAAAGACAAGTCTAGCCCTTCCCTACTACTTTTCTCACGACGCATCTTCCCACCTCCCAGCGGTGATGGACGCATCTCCCAATAATTCAACCTGGAACGTCTCCCGACTTCTATTCCCACCCACCCTCTCCACAACAACCCACAACCCCTCCTCCTCAAGCACCCTCCCAGGCTCGACATCAAAGTCGGCAGTCTTCAGCCCGGCCGTCGGCTCGGTAAACTCTCCCTGGCCCGAGACGCCAAGAACAACCTCTCTCGGTCCGCGACCCGTAACGACCGAAATCTTCAGGGGGGTCGAGGACCGTCTCGGACCGAGGTCGTGGGTGTTATTCGGCACGGCGGTCCGGCGCACGGACGCGCACATCCTCGTGAGGCGGCTAACGCGCAGCGGAGCGCGCAGACAGGATTCGCCCTCGGCGAAGACGAAGGGGGTAAGCTGGGTGCGGAGACGGCCGGATCCTTCCGCGGGTATCGTCCTAACGATATGCGGAGCGGAGGACCCAACGCGGAATGTAAAGTCGGCGAGTTGGCCCGCTTCGAAGGTCGAGCAGACGGCCGTGTAGGTTCCGGGGTCGACGGAGGGAACGTCGAGAACGGCGCAGGCGCGCACGTAGGCGTCGGAATCGGCGAGCACGTCCTTGATGGCTAGGGAGGGACCGACGCGTTCGCCGTTGGCCCAGACGAGGTCGATGTGTACGGGGATGTCCAGGTTGTCGGTGCAGAGGAGGAGGGAGAGGGAGGATTGGCGGGTTAGGGTGATGCTGAATTGAGGGTTCGTGCCGTAGTTTACGGAGCCCGAGTTGCCGCCGGCGGTTCGACGAGTCCATGAGCTGGGGATGTCGGTGTTGTGGCGCATGGGGTTCTTGGCGGGTGCGACGTCCAGGGTTTGGTTTGCGAAGAAGGAGAGCGTGAAGTTGCACTTTGCCATTGGTAGTTTCTCCTGGACGGGGACGACGGTGTAGGATTTGCCCTTTTCGACCCTGAACTTTAACAAGGTTTGCGGGGAATCTACAAAGGGTCCGTGGTAAAGGTTCCTGGTGAGCTTGGGCACTCGCTTCCCGTTGTCTTCAAATACGTAGATGCTCATGAAGCCGATGTCGAGCCCCGTCTTATCGGAGCTTTGAGACCGCTTCCGGATGAGATCCATCTCCTCGTCGGTAAAGTGGCGCGCGAGAAGAACCCAAACGGACCCGTCGGCTCCGGCAGTTATGGAATACTGCGGATTGTCTACTACTGTGCCGGACATGTTCTTCCTCGGGGCCAGGTCCCAGGTAAAGTGAATGTCCTGCCTATGTCTGAAGAGTGCCGGGTTCCAGTTCAGGTACATGGACTCGAAGTGCTGAGTGACGTCGGCGAGGCTCATCCAAAAGGTCCCCGTCTGGTCGTGCATACTAACAGGGCCGTCGGGCTCTTCTGCCGGTGGAGTTGCCACGCTGGTCGAACCCAACTCGTTCCAGGTTTCGCCGGTGCGCCACGGGTTCTTTACGAGCAATCGCCGTTTGTCAGGGTCGGAATCTAATTCTAGGACGCCATAATCGTGCTCTCCAACTAGACCGGTTGCCTCCTCTTCGGAATGTGAGATGCGACCGGTTCCGAGCGTCACAATTACGTTTCCTGTCTTGAAAGCTTGCACGATCGTGTCCCATTCTTGTTCTAGGTTCAGCGCATCCCTACCTCAATAGTCAATATTAGGCGGGGTTCAGTAACAACGGGGGAGGAAAAGAAAAAAAAGGGGGCTTTAGTACCGCTGGAGGAAGAGCTGCTGAGGAACCCATCCTGTGAGCACCCACAAATCCGTACAGGAGTTGCTTCCAGGGAAGTCGTAGCCTCCACGGATCTTCAAATATGCTTTTTCTACAAGAGCAGGCCATATCACAGCCGGGTTCCGCCTGTCGATAACAAAAAGGGCGCGGTCTGTCTTTGCCGCAGGTAGGCGGTCGTCTATCTCAACCTTGCGGAAGCAGCCGTTGAAGTTCATACGGAAGATGTACTTTCCATTTTCTGACCGCATGAGCAGCTTTGGTCCGGGGTGCGATGGAAACATTAAGCCTCTCAGTAACTGTAGGTAAGTGCCGATTGGGTTAGTTTTAAAAATCAAGGACGGGTTTTAGGCGACATTGGCATTGTCCTTACGGAGCGCTCCTTGCGGCAAAATAGTCTCATCGCAGAACATAGACTCGCAACCACCGAACAGTCCGCTGTGACATCCTGGACTAAGTCACTTGTAGATAGAACATCTAGGTAACTGCTATCCGCATCATCTGAGAGAGACAGGGATTCCAAGGACAGGAGTAGATCTTTGGGCCTCTTCCAGCCGTCAAAGTTCTCGAGCTGTACCTTAGACAGCGGGAGGGGAGTCGGGTCTCTGTTCATTACTGTTAATGATCGCGAAACAACAAAGAAAGTAGGTATGGATCAGGGGCACCCAGGGACGTTCGACATACGTATACAAGCCTTGGCCCTGTTTCTGGGCAAAAACTTCTGGGCCTCCGTGACAAGGACGCCAAGGCAGGAACTCGCACCCGTGCAACTTGGATGACTTGAGCAGAGTGAGTATCTCTCGGGGAGGTATCCGGCGGTCTTGTTTCGGCTGGATGACCTCGCCAGCGGTTGAGCCCTTGAGATACTCGGCAAGGGTAATCATCTCCTCGATCTTGCGTCTGATGCGCGATCGGTCCGCTGGTGTCTTGGCCTCCGCCGAAGCTCTCATATAGAGCTCGGCAGCCTTGATGGCGTGTTCTAAGGCATCTTTAGGGTCGGACTTGGTCATCAAAGACGCCTCCTCCTATGGTACAATGAAGGAAACCCTGCCATCAGCGATGGGCCATCGAAGAGGTGGGAAGTAAGACGTATGGAGCGGTCATGATAGGCCTGACCTGCTCTTACGCGGGTAGACGGGAAAAAAAAGGGAAATAAAAAAGAAAAAGAAAAGTAGAAAGAGAAAGGAAAACGGTTACAAGTGACTCTGGGGGCAGGCAGGGAAGAAGAGCTTGGGTGATGGAAAGAAAAGAACAGTCTTCGCATCTGGTCCAAGTACAGGTTTGACTTACAGAAGCTCGTCTCTCCATGACTTATATGGTACTGTTAGGGACGTATCGTTTTCATGGTGAGGGTATCAGACCACGGGCATCGACCGGGGTTTGGCACCCACGCTACGTCAGTTGGGGGAATTGGGGAATTGGGGGGAATGGGGATGTGGGATGCGGGATGTAGGATGGGGATGGGGATGGGGATGGGGGGTATCGTCAAGATTGCCGTGGCGGTCTAGCCTTTCTTCGTCCTTCCTTTTCTTTTTCTCTCTCTCTCTTTTCGCCCGTTTCTTTCCTTTCTTTTCGTTTCTTTTCTTTTTCCCGCAACCCCGGAAGCGGGTACTGGTGTACTGGTGGACTGGAGCGTCTATCTCGGAGTTTGAGCCGGATCGGAATTTTTAGCTGGAGACCATCGGAGACCAAAAGAAGGAAGTCTTTCCACCACGTTTTTTGGGCCCTTCGTAATCTAATTCGCAATTCGCAGTTCGCAGATTTGCAGATCCCACTTGCCACTTCCATTTTCCCATGTGCCAGACGCATAAGCGCAAGCGTTCGGGTTGATGGGAAAGATCGGGTGGGCGCACCCCGGTATTTAATGTATCCCCGATTAGGAATAAACGTACGTTAATGGACTGTGCTCGCTGTGTCCGTTTGGCCCGTGCATTCGCTGTGTGTTCTCTGTGTGTTCTCTGTGTGCGGAGCACGCTACTTCGTACCTGTGCACACTATGTTCTCTGCGTGTCCCACTGTCTCACTGTCCCACGGCTCTTTGTGCACTAATCCTGGGCGCTACCCTCTCCGCTACCGATGAGACAATTGTCCCGATGACGCATTAGCCGACACTGCCAGCCTTTTTCAACGTGCAACGCTGGGCGCACCTTGCGGGACCGAGGTTCGGCGCCCGGTTACGTCGAATGGGTGATAGTCTTGTTCCTTTTCCCCAGCTTCTTAGTTTGGTCCCTCCCATAAACTCTCAAGGGGCCTCGGGAAACCTTGACCGTGGCCCTCTTTTTTAATATTGGAGTTGGGGTATCATTATCCTCGTTAACCTCTTTTCTCCCCATCTTCCAGTCTCCAGTCTCCAGTCTCCAGGTCCCCTACTTTTCGTATTCTCCCAATTGCTCCCGATTTGTGTGTTCTGGTGTAGATAAGTTTTATTGTACAAAGGAGAAGAGCCGTGTCTTATTCTTATCCGCTGCTCAAGGACGATCAATTTAATCCACTGCACGTGCACGCATTAGATCCGACGGCAATTCTTCTTCATCCGCAGACTACAAACAGAGCCTCAGCGTCTCACTCTCTCACTTTTTTTTTTTTTTTTTTTCTCGGGGCCAACCCCTCCTCTTCCTCCCTCATCCTCACAATGGCTGCCCAGTCGAAGCAGGATCTCATCTCCCCTTGGGGACGCGCTGCTGCCGGTGCGACCGGTGCGGTCCTCGCAAATGCCCTGGTTTACCCCCTCGACATGTAAGTCCCCTTCATTGCCGAGCTTCGGAGGAGGCTCTCAATGGCGCCCCATCTCTCCCACTTTCTTCAACTCACACCTGCGCCTTTAGTGTAAAGACGAGACTTCAAGTGCAAGTAAACCCCGGCAAGGAGAAGAAGACTGAGAATGGCGAGGCGAGCAAGGACGACGAGCCCCATTACAAGGGCAGCTGGGATGCCATCACCCGTATCGTAGCCGACGATGGTGTTTCCGGCCTCTACGCCGGCATTGCTGGCGCCCTCATCGGCGTCGCCTCCACCAACTTCGCCTACTTCTACTGGTACTCCATCGTGAGGACGCTCTACCTCAAGTCGGGCCGCGCTTCCGTGCCGCCCTCGACCCTCGCCGAGCTTAGCCTCGGTGCCGTCGCCGGAGCTATTGCTCAGATCTTCACTATTCCTGTCGCCGTCGTCACTACCCGCCAGCAGACCCAGCGCAAGGATGAGAGGAAGGGTATGTTCGAGACCGCGAAAGAGGTTGTTGACGGACCCGACGGCATCACCGGACTCTGGAGGGGCCTGAAGGCTAGCTTGGTGCTCGTCGTCAACCCCGCCATCACCTACGGTGCCTACGAGAGGCTAAAGGTCATCCTGTTCCCTGGCCGCACTTCTCTCAAGCCCTGGGAGATTTTCTGTACGTTGTCTCCCCCACTGTAAAGATTTTTGGCTTTACTCTTTCTTTCGTTAGCCGGCTAACATTTCGTCATAGGCCTCGGCGCCATGTCCAAGGCCCTCGCCACGATCGCTACCCAGCCTCTTATCGTTGCCAAGGTCGGCCTCCAGTCGAAGCCCCCGAAGTCGCGCAACGGCAAGCCCTTCAAGAGCTTCGGTGAGGTTATGAAGTTCATCGTTGACAACGAGGGCCCTCTCGGCCTGTTCAAGGGTATCGGCCCTCAGATTTTCAAGGGTCTGATTGTACAGGGTATTCTCATGATGACAAAGGAGAGGTTCGTCTACCACTTCCCCCGATCACCCCCATATTTTAATTCGGGTTATATATTAACAACCGGTTTCAGGATGGAACTTCTGTTTATTCTCTTGTTCCGGTACATCAAGTCTCTCCGCACTAGGCGGTTAGACGCCGCCGAGGGTGTTGTCTTGAAGAAGGTTATTTCATAAGTCGCTGTACCGGTAAACCCCCGTACATGCTCTCGATACCCTTAGAAACGATAAAGTGCTACGTGTCTGCTACGACCGAGCGAGGCGCGCACCCTGTTGACTTGGAAGTTGGTTCGGTGGATCTCACCGACCGCTGGCGCCATGAGTAACGGCCAGACCCTACTGTACGACCAATGAAGGAGGAAGGTTCCGTATATGACTGGAGGTTAGACGTTGGGTTTTCAAAAAAAGATGTGTCCTTCCGCATTTATTATATATGGATCGGTTTTTTGCGCAGTTTCTGTTATTTAGTGAATATAGACTGAAATCTCGGAAAAAAAAAAAAAAAAAAATTCCCTTTTCCAAAGTCCTTATTTTGGAATTGTGAAGTGGAGGGGGATCGCTTCACTCGTCATCTTGTGATGGAAAATGGTTCAATGAGATGCCGTGCTGCTCCGAAGCCTGTCCGTTCCTCTTCCTCCTTTGAAATCACGTGGCGTGAAATCCTCAGTGAAATATTGACAGCTGTTGGCAGTTGTATTTTGTTGCACCCCGCGTCTTCGTGTTAGGGCAATGTGGGAAAAATTCCGGCCCACACACCCTCATCTTTCCCAATTCCCTTTGCCCAGCTCGGATTTCACTACCTTCAACGTCCAATCTCATCATCGACAAATCCACGGTCTTTACGCCCCAAGGATACCATCGCAATCTCTCACAATGGCGAGTGAGTGGTTTCCCCGAAGAGATACGCCCCGAGAAACAGTTCGAACTTTCGTGCCGGCATACTTACAAAATGGCTTGAATAGAATCCAAGAACTCGTCCCAGCACAACCAGTCGAAGAAGGCTCACCGTAACGGGTATGTCGTTTTGAGATTCCACAAGAGACCCATATGCGAGCGCTTCAACGGACAGCGCAAAAGTTTTTGAAGTGAGAAGGGGACGATGGCGGGCTGACCTTTTATTCCCTTTTGTGTAGTATCAAGAAGCCTAAGACCCAGAGGTACCCTTCGCTCAAGGGTGTCGACCCCAAGTTCCGACGTAACCATCGTCATGCTCTTCACGGCACCATGAAGGCTCTGGTATGACAGCTCCCCCCGACAGAAACCCCGAGATTTGCCGCGAGAAGTCCAACGAGCTCTTGGGCGAGGAAGTTTTTGTTTTGCTTTACTAACAACCCCAAAGAAGGAGCTCAGGGAGGGCAAGAGGACGACGGCGTAATGCGATCCAACCACCGACAAGAAAATAAAAGAAATTTTTAAACGATCACCGCTGGCACTTGTCTTTTTTTACCAACCCGAAAAAAAAAAATCCCAACCAAAAAACTTTCGAGACACGAACGTACTTCTTGAGAAAGGGGCTGCATAAGGAGAAATTTCACAGGCGCAAATGGGGCTGGACGAAATGGGAAAGGGAAGGCCAAGGTCGGGGCCATGTCCAACGTACACTTTTTTTAGATACGAGGAATGAGCTCTAGGCGCGGAGCCAGAAATATACCATGGCCGTCTCGGCGGTCTGTCCAATACATTATAGATTCCGACCGGTCTCTTTCCCAGCAGAGGTGCGGATCTTGTTTGTGTGTTTGATGCGTCTCTCTGTGTGTGTTGCTGCTCGAGGCGTGAGCTTTCCAGAGAGCTGAGTGATTTCTCGTGGCTGGTTTATTTCAAGAAGCTTCGATTCTGATGCCGGAGGGTGTATCGATATGGCTTTGTTACACGACACATCTAAGCCACAGGAGGTATTAATCTAGACCCCGAGAAGAAGGGTCACAGCGGTTGACAACAAGTGGCCGACGGAAGGTCAAATGATCTTCTGGGTGCGGCACGTCGCCTTTACCTTTTTCACTCAGCTTGAAACAAGATCATCCGGTGCACGGCAATTCATTCCCTATGTGACGTACGTCTTTGCGGTTGCGGGAGGAGAGAAAGGGGACAACTAATAAGCATGGGCTCGGGAGTCGTCATCACGTTTCGCCATCTACGCTACACTTATGCTTTATGGCTTAGGATCGGCCCCCGAAGGATTGCGTCTACTGTACAAAGTTAACTGGGCAATCGAGGAATATAGATCGATTCGCGAGTACTTCGTAACAAGTGCTAATTGGAGCATCGAGTCAGCATCGAGGTCAGGACCTACTGCCCCTTAATATACAGATGCCACACCAGTAAGACCTAATAAGATGGAGACCAACTTAAAGAGCCGCACTCGAATGCGCCAAATCTGACCCATCTAATTACTTCGTAGGGGAGAGACCAGCTGCAAAAAAGCAAGCACTGCCACTTGGATATTTCCAGTGTTTCGTATCCCGCGGCGTTAGACTTGCCCCAAAACGCTTCCAAATCCAAATCCAGGTACCTGATGTACCAAGTGCCGGGCAACTTTTTCTTGGTTCCCGGATGTACATTTGTTTTCTGAAGCAAGGAAATATGGGACGAGAAAGGGACCGGAGATCTGCACCGTGACAACAAGCGTTTTCAAGAAACCATCTTCAAACGCATGAGGACGAGCGCAGCCACAGAAATAGAAAAGGGAAGCAAATGAAATTGTTGTAAGGGACAAATTCTACGCGAGTCCAGGGGGAGAGATCACAGTGCGCAAGACGGCAGATCCTGCGAATTGGGAAAACGTCAGCTCTATGCACGTCTCACGAACACCCGAGAAGAACGCGGGCAAGTATTCTATGCGACTTGCTCAGCGTTTGGAGGACTAATTATGAGCTCGGTTCCGTGCAGGCGGGAGGGAGGCGCCGAGACATTCGACAGGAGTCGAAATCTATCAAACTAGATGCATGCCGTGCTGTACGAAGTATTTGATGGACGAGCCGGAGTATGCACATGTGGTTTATACGCCAGACATAGGCAGCAAACAGGCGCGGGCCATTGTCCAGGTCATTCCCTTCTTTTGATGGATAAGAGTGGTCATTGATGCAATATCAGTCCGTCGTATTGGTGAGGGTGCTGTTGGCTCGTTATGAGAGGCGAATGATGGAGCTGAGGGCTACTTTGTAGAGAAGGGCAGCTTCAGGTTCAAGCTGACAATCAAGGAAACATTCGATGATTGGAACACGATCGAGGAGCCCTACTTTTAGATTTAGGCCCAGCTCTTTTCAAACAACCACTCTTGGACAATAGGACAGAAACCGGAACATTCCCAAGCCATGGCGACGAGCGTCGATACTCGGCTACTTGATTACTTGATTACTTGATACGAAGTACACAGCGGGCCTCGATGGGAAGGAGCTAATAGGCGGTGATTCGGAGGCTGTTGGGTCCAATGTTCTTTCTCTTCGCGGAGACTTGGAGCCCCTGATGCAAGCTGCGTCCCACTATTTTCAGGTGATTCATCGGTCACTGGGGCCTTGATCGGTTATTCACAAACCTGTGCCCTCCCATTGATTTCCATTGAACTCAAAACCCTCGTCGAATCAACAGCCTGAGATCAACTGCCTGAGATCAATTGATCGTTGTTGGCGTTGGATGGGCTGGACTAGACCTTCCCTCCCCTTCCGCACCACCCGTTCTACAGGGTACATTGTACCTTGTACTTCTCACTGAACTTCGATTCCACATTTCTGCCCTCGCCGTGTTCGTTCAGGTTTCTCTCTAATCCTACACTACAACATCACTTCCTCGTCCGTGCCCAGCAGCTTTTTTTTTTTTTTTTCTTTTTTCACCCTTTTACTCCCGAGTACCTTAGTTTTCCCACCCTCTGCCTGGAAGCAGCCAGACCCGGAAATTCTCCTTCTCTTGAGGACCTCTGCTCCCTTGTCCAGAGCTTCCAATCCCTTACCTCTCCTCCTCTCCATCACCTTCTCACCTTTCCCCCCATTTCCCCCTAATCCACACTCTTTTTTCCCTCCGCCAAACCTGTGGTGTGGCCTGGTCATCTTTTACCCTTTCTTCCTGTTTACCTTTGTGCGTTTATTTAAATTCGTTTAGTCGCATCGAACTGCTGACAGCAACCGCCTGCGGGTCCGGCTTGTTTCTACTCTTGGAGATTTTCCGTGCCTCCTGGCAGGATTCCCAGCGGCCTTGTTTCAGCCTGTGATCATTGTCATCCGCCCTCAGTATTTACGACTAACGATCCCCTTCCCTTCCGCTACCGACCACCATAAGGCGGCCTTATCTCCGATACTTTCGCTAGTTTGTGCAAGAAGTGCGGATAGCGAAAACCTTCGAATCACCCTCCGTCCTTTCTGCCCCTGGACCCGGAACCCAAATTCGGTGGGACGCACACACAAGAACATTCGACGAGAAGCGAAACTAGGCAAACCGTCAGCTTTGCCTTCCCCCTCGTCTTCCTTTGTTTCAAAGGAGGGAGTCTTTCTACCTGCTCCGACGGTAGCAATTCGCGTCCGAAAATCCTCCCATTCGAATCATCACCTGAGCCGAATCGCGTTGCCCACCCGCATTTGATCGTATCCGTCATCTCGCCGGTGGACCTCGCCTGTACCCCACACTCAGCTCGGTTTCGATACAGCGCGGCGAATGCTCTCTCGCCTTCGGGATCTCTAACCAAACCCCCATCCACTCGGTCGAAGAAACGAATCCATCGATTCCGTATCTCGTCATACACGACAACGAAAATTAACCGAAGTGACTAGATTTAGCAAGACTCTGCTTCGGGGTCACTGTGCCTTAGCCAAGCTCCCATCTCGCACGACGAACTTGGTCAGCACGCATTTGGCACCCCCTCTTCTACTTCTTCTCTCCACGCCGTTTTTAATCTTACCCACCCACCTCTCGACAGCCGGCTGACACCGTTGTCGTAATCGCAATGCTCAACATGTCTGGCGCTCACATCCCCGGCAACCGGAACAGCACCCCCGAGGTGAACACTGTCTCCTCTCTCAGACCCCCTTCATCCCGTGCTGTTGGCTCGAGCCACCTTCGTGCGTCCGCAGACATGGCCGCCCTAACCGGATCCAACATTTCGACAGACCGCGCCCGACCCTCTTCCGACTTCTACGGTCGTGTCCAGCTCGGTCAAGGTCAAGCCAACATAGAAACCGACCCCCAGCAAGAGCTTGCTCAGCAGTGGCTTGCCGATATTGACCAGTACGAGACCACTCTGGAGGAGATGGCCGCAGCCACCCTCGATCAGGACTTCAAGGATGAACTCAGCGCTATTGAACAGTGGTTCCGTGTCCTGAGCGAAGCTGAGCGGACTGCTGCCCTCTATGCGCTGTTGCAGCAGACCACGCAGGTCCAGATCCGATTCTTCATCCAGGTTTTGCAGCAGATGGGAAAGAACCACCCCATGTCTGGTGTCCTGTCCCCGACTAGCTTTGACAAGGGTTAGTTTTGTTTCTTTGGCAGTTTGCGAATGGTTTACTGCCACAACCCCGCCTGCATCATTGTTCCTACTCGCTACTTGTGCCGTTTTTGTCCATTCTTGCTAATACCTCATACTTTCGTTGTAGATCCCATGTCCAATCGCTTGAACGATGCCATGAGCAAGCTGAGCGTTGACTCTGCTCGAAATTCCATGGTCCGCCCCACTGCCGCCGCTGGAAAGAGGCAGTCTGGACTCGACCCCTCTACCATCAATGCCATGTTCCCCGATGCCGCCGCCGCCATCGCGACCGAGAAGGCCAAGTTTACCCAGCAGACGGGTAACCCGCCCGCCTCGAACCGCAACAGCACCGTGGCTGGCCCTGTTGAGACGGATTCGGGAGCGCAGAACCCCTCTTCGCCTTGGCCCATCAGCAACGAGGCTGCTGGCCAGTCGAAGCCTGCTACTTCCTTGCCCCCCATGGGCCAGTTTGTCCAGCCTCAGCCATCGTCTGGGCTTCGATCTCCGCGCCCTCCTCAGCTCTCTAGCAACAGTGCGATCCAGAGCACGACGATCACGGCCCCCGAGGTTTCCGCGTCCGACTTGCCTCTCTTATCCCCCTACACAGCGGGTAGCGGTAACTGGGCTAGCATGGTGAACACGCCACTGGTGGCTAACTTCAACTCCGCGCAAGCCAACACGCAGGCGGACATGGTTGCCAACGCGACGGCGATGAAGCTTGCGGCGCTTTCTACTGTGAACAACCGCTTCGCTCTCGACGACGTCCGAAAGTATCGCAAGAACAGACCTAACGATAATATGCAGGGCCCGAGCAATCCTCCCGGCTTGAACCCCAACCCTCAGGGTGTCAACCTACCTAGTGCTAACGTGGTTATGATTAACGAGCACGGTCAGGTGGTCAGCCGCGAGCATATGATTGCTCTCCAGACTCAGCAGGGTCTATCGTTCGGACAGCGCTCTCGTCCTAGCTCCCCCGGAATTGCCATGCAGGGCACTGCATTCCCCAACGCCGGCGTTCCTTTCACCTCTCCGCGCAACAATGGCTTCCTCAGCGCCTACGACGGTACGCAGTTATTGGGTAATGCCATTCCTCCCGTAAACCTCGGCCAGCTAGGAATTGGTCTGCACGAGGGTTATCTCTCGGACCATTCGGATATGGTGCGCGGCAGGTCGCCCCGAGGCCGGCGAGGAAACTCGAAGCCACCAGAGGATCCTACCGACCCTTCGCTTCTCCAGGATATCCCTGCTTGGCTCCGCAGCCTTCGTCTCCACAAGTACACTGAGAACTTGAAGGATATGAAGTGGACTGAATTGATTGAGCTTGATGATAAGGCTCTTGAGGAGCGAGGTGTTAATGCGCTAGGTGCGCGAAGGAAGATGCTCAAGGTATTTGAGCAGGTCAAGGGTTCGTACTCTCTTTCCACTTTTCGCTTTCCTGTTGAACATGACATTGTATAATGGCAATGGAAATGAATGATGATGCTAACCAACTATGATAACTATAGATGCGAAAGCTGAGGGCAGGATCGGATAACTAGTTTGATGATGATGTGTTATGTTCTCTGGGGATGTTGTATGATATCCAGCAGAAAAGGAGAATGCTACAACATGGCCCTTAGATACCATTGAGTTTTTTTTTTTTTTTTTTTTTTACTTGGGGGGATCTTGTACACAAATCACAACTACACAAACACACACCGCAACACTCATGCATTCATATTCATGTTCACATCTACCTTTGATGTTGGGCCCCTTCGATTTTTGTCCAGGCTCCCAAGGGTTGTGAAGGGTATATATGGTGGCTAAGGGATATCTCTGCCCTCGATCAAACAAAAAAAAAAAAAAAGAATGAAAAAAGAGAGAAAAAAGCACACTCATGTCCATCCAATTCTTTCCAGGATTTCGTTTCAGCTAGGATGTGGAGGAAACATATGGACGGAGTATCGGATGCTTTCTTTTTTAAAACTACCCCAAAATCTGTTCTGGTTTCTTGGAAGTGTCATTATTGCCTACCGAACGCCTACCGGGAATTCTCAGGTTTCCTTAGGCATATACATTTTGCCGTCTAGGATTGAGGTAATAATAGAAGAAATTGACGTTCAAAAGATCAAGATGAAAGATGCAGAGCTCGGGTGGATGTTGTGCGGAGTTGTTGTGTAGTGTCGAGATATCAATACACCAGATGCATTCGAGCTTTGTAAACATGACAAGATGAGGCTTGGGATGAAGGAAATGTCCTCGACTCGACTCCCTTGATTCCTGGACTGGGCTGCAGTTTTATCCGTTTCACGGACTTTCGATGATCGGATGTGCATGCGTCTGTCGTTGACTTCTGGATATCGAGATCTTGACGTCGACTGCTTAGTCATCTTTCCCGCCATCGCCAACCTCAAAGTACTTCATCTTCATATTGTTCAAGCTTCGACGGCGAATGAAACAAACACAACCTTGAATCGGATCAAGATTACCTTTATAAGCCTGACGCCAGTATCGAAAAGGCCATCAGAACCAAACAGGGCTCTTCATACCGCTCGTATAGATTCCCGCGGCGGGTTTCACGGATTAAGCTCCCGACCACTTCGCCGTCACTCTCTTCCTCACCTTGCCACCAGCCCACCAGTCAGTCTAGCTCACTTGACTATGTTAAAGGCCACTCTGTGAGACTTAGTAGTAGAAGTCCCTCAGAGCCGAGCCACCAAAATGGCGGGCCTATCTCTACAGAGCTTTGGGCTCGTGCCTATGGATGAAGATATCGCCCCCGAGTTCCGCAGACATCCAAGCGCTCATGACGGGCCAAGCCCAGTCAACTATGCCGTCCTGTACGTATAACCTTTTCCCGAAATTACCATGGGGACACACCCTCCTTTGCTAACAATCACGCGAAACAGCCAAGATGGAGACGTCGCAGACGCCGACTCCGATGTCGAGGACCTAGAGCAAGACATCGAAAAGCTCAACGTCTCCGTCCGAGCCTTCCTCGCCTCCCAAAACGGCGTAGCCCCCCGCCCAAAATCCCCCCAAGCAGGACGCTCCGCCCCCCGCGGCCCGCGAAAAGCCGTCGAACCCCGCGGCGACATCAAGGCGAGGCTCTTCAAGGCCAATAGGGCCTTTATGATGGGCAACTACCAAGAGGCCAAAGACCTCGTCTTCGAAGTGATCCGGATCAACGCCGAGACGCACCAGGCGTGGACGACGCTTTCGTCCATCTTCCGCGAGGAGGGTCAGGTGGACAGGGCGCTCATGTCCATGGTGTACGCGGCGCATTTGAGGCCCAAGGATGTGCAGGAGTGGCTTAAGTGCGCTTCTTTTGCTCTTGAGGTCGCTGAGGAGAACCGTGGGGTTGATTTGAATACGGCGCGCATGTGTTATTCTGCTGCTGTGAATGCCGATCCGAAGAATATGGATGCGAGAGTCGGGAGGGCCATCGCTTGTCATCGGCTGGGTCATATTTCGCTCGCCATTGCCGATTACAAGTCCGTGTTGGCGCAGAGGCCGTTGGATTTGGAGGTTATTAGGAAGTTGGCGGAGGCGTGCATGGATTCGAAGAATGTGGCCACGGCGGCTGCGGCGGCCGTTGATGCGTATGATCTTTACTTTGGCCATGTCGACGCCTTGCCGATTACCTGGTATGATGTTGGCATTTATACCGAGCTGTTGGCTTATGCTGGCCGGTACAGGGATGCGATTGCTAGGCTCAAGTCGTTGTCTCGTCGGCTTCTGGGCCGTGCGGAGGACATGTTTTGGGATCAGTTGGAGATTGATGATAGGGAGTTTGACGAGGGCGATGAGCGTCGGATGGAGCTTCCCGAGTACGCGACCGCTGCTCAGCCGGGTCCGATGGCGTATGGACTTGGACTGCCAAGAGATTTGCGTGTGCGTCTGGCTATTTATCGCCTTTCGGTCGAGGACTTTTCAGAGGCCTTGGTAAGTATAGAACCCGAACCCCGAGATAGTATTATTACTATGTATCCGTTCTGTTTACTAACCATCATCGAAACAGCATCATCTGAAGTACTTGGATCCATCCCGAGCGGACATGGTGGCTGATATGGCTGCTTTTCCATTCTTAATCCGTGACCTCGCGGGTCAGCTTTTCGAACACGAGCTTATAGCCGAAGCCCAGGCATACTATCAATTCCTCCGTAGTCTCCCCGACGAGCCGGATGCCCTGATCCTCCTACAGCTGGGACGATGCCACCTGCTGAAGGGAGAGTCATCGGCCGCAGAGGAGTGTTTCCTTGCAGCGATCGAGGCTGATGTCGACAACATCGACGCTCGTGTAGAGCTTGCTAATCTCTACTCTACCGCCCACGAAGACGAGGAGGCTTTGATTCTGGTCAACGAGGCCATGACCTTGCAGGAGACACAAGCCGCCCTAGCCGGTGGTGCTGGCGCTGATAGGGACAAGTTGAAGCCTGTCCCGCTCTCGCGGAGGTCGTACTACCTGCACCGGCCCAAGGGCGCCTCCGTCCGATTCAAGGCCAAGCCGTCCGGAGTTATCCCTACACGATACCGCCCCAAGAGGCTGGTAGACCCGGACATGAGGCGCCGAGAGGAGATGGAAAGGGCCCAGCGGCTATCGACGCAGTACCTCACGGTACAAGATCTGAAGGCCAAGATCCGCGAAGGGGACGAGGGTCTCGTCCCCGCGTGGATGGCGGCTGCGAAGGAGCTCATTGACGATTTTAGGTCCTACCGCAAGTTTTACTCTTGGGATAAGTACCTCAAGTTCTTGGGGCGGACGAATGCTACTTTGCAGCAGCGCGAGGCCGGGCAGCTCTCGAATCTGGATGTGATTGCAGAGCGCTTGTCAAAAGGTAAGGAAAAGATTCCTACTTCTAATCGTGCATGGGGTCAAAATTGCTAACCCGATTTATTTTTCTCAGCTATCATCGTACCTCAAGCGCCTGACACCCAGGATGGAGGTCTCCGCGATACGAACTTTAAAGAATACCAGGGTATCTCCTTTGGGAACTGGCTTGATTTGTTCCTTGACTACGCGCTTAGCCTTGCGGCGACGGGGCAGTATGAGGAGTCGTACCGGGTGTGTGAGGCGGCTAAGGACTCTACGGTCTTTACTGTGTCGGAGGACAATGTCTTTTTCATCTACATCACTTGGGGTAGTAAGTTTTTTTTTATATCCTAATCGCGAGTTGCTGACGCCGTGTTCCCCAATGCTAACAACAACAGCGTGCGCCATCTACGCCGGCGACGAAGAAACCTGCGTCTCCATCTCCCGCCAAATCATGCGCGACCACGTCCTCTCCTCCGACTCCTTCCGCCTCTTCTCCCTCCTCTGCAGGCTCTGCCAGAGTTCCATCTCCTGGTACAGCTCGGGCCCCGCGCAAAAGTTCATCCTCCGACAGATCAAGGCCATGGACGCCGCCGTTACAGCCTCGGGGAACGCGCCGGCGGGAGCTTCCGGCCATACGCATCTTGACGTGAGCCCGTTGATGCTTTACGGGCATATTCTTTTTACGTCTACAAGCTACGTCTACGCCATCCGTAAGTTTCCCTTTCTCTCGCCCTTCGCCCATTCCTCCCCTGATTTCACTAACCAATCCCAAACAAAAAAAGACTACTTCCTTCGCGCCCGCTCTCTCGACCCCTCCAACCCCGTCATAAACCTAAGCCTAGGCCTAGGCTACATCCACTACGGCCTCAAACGCCAAGCAGTAAACCGCCAATACCTCATCCTCCAAGGCCTCGCCTTCCTCCTAGACTACTACTCCAGCCTCGGCCCGCACCGCTCCGACGAGGCGAACTACGGCCTCGGCAGGACTTTCCAGCTCCTGGGACTTCAGCACCTCGCTCTCGACTACTATCGGAAGGTACCCCTCGAGGTCCTCGCGCCGCGGACAGCCGGTGAAATGCTTGATGAAGGAGGTGATGAGGTTGACGGTGTGACGGGGAGGAGCCAGCATGATGGCGGGAGGGTGGTGAAGATGGCTGCGGCGTTTAATATGTGGGTTTCGTATGTTCTGAGTAGGGATCTGGAGGCTGCGAGGGAGGTGTTGAGGGCTCTTGTTTTGTAGAACAAGGGTAACTGGCTTTTTTTTTTTTTTTTTCTTGGGAGAAAGTTGGCGTTGAGTTTTGATTGCTAGATACCCCCTTAATTTTCTTCACCAAAAATGAGGTTCCAAAAGTGTTTCACGGCCCATATTATGACCCGTTCTTGCGTGTGTAGATGTCAGGATGGCGCTTTCAGTGGGCCTGACTACTGGCCGTTGTTCAGGAATAGAATTCAAAGTTGAGAAGAGTACACGAAATCGACCTACTACACTGACGCCGAATCCTCACTATATTCCGTGTATATCTCGCACCTAATTTTTTTCGACTCTAAGTCCCGAACAAAGGAGAGTAAGAAAAGAAGCCACATCACCCTGTCTCATTAAGGAGAGCCTCGATCCCGAAGACTGATGATGGTAATCTCATCACCCGGCCGTAGCTACCCCTTCCGGGCCATGTAGGTTTTCACCCTCGAATCTTCCCCCTATCCCCTGTATATCTTGCAGATGCCCAATGCAAAGCGAAGAGACACTCGCGAAAACCACTCCCACCTGTTCCATAAGAATCAGCCGGCAATAGTGGACAAAGAAGGCAGTCAACACATTAGAAACATAGGACACGTTAAAGAGACAGAGAGAACAGAGAACAGAGAACAGAGAACGTATCAGAACCAAATCCTCCTTTTTTTTATTCGTCATCTCAGGTCCGTAGAAACGGCATGACCATCGTTTATGCGTATGCTGGTACATTATGAACATAATGAGTAGAAACACCTAGAAAATGAAAAGGAAAAAAAGAAAAAAAAGAAAAAGAAAAAAAAAAAAAAAAAGGAAAAAGACAACCCAATCCGTAGGCCATCGCTATGCACATAGACGCAATGTGTTGGAATGTGTAACAACTCCCAATGACAGAGGAAATGTAGAAGACAAAGGAAAATAAAGAAATAATACCCGACACCAATGAAGACACACACCCCAAGCCGTTCTCATAGTCGTACATGTACATGGCTAGCACATAGTAAAGTGTGCTGGCCTGGCGAATCTCTGTTTGACATCCTCCCCAAGTCGTGAGACATACAAGAGGGAAAGAGATTGCATTTTTAGTCGTTCATAAAAAATCATCTTCAAGTGTAACTCTTGCGCCAAAAGAGGAAAAGAAAACAAAACTCATTAGAGGAATTCTAGCTGACAGTCATCACCTGCATGCGTTTTGGACCCATGGTCGTCGAGGATGATGTATCCATGGACGTCCGGCTGAGGACCGAATTATTGCTTCGGCTATGAGGCAACCGCCGCGAGGGGCTCGAGGGGGGTTCATTAAACACTCGAGTAAACGCCGGGCTGCCGTCGTGGCGAGGTGTACGAGCAGGGCTAGGCGCAATGGGATCTGCTCTGCGGACTAGCTCGGAAAGCATGTCACGAAGGTCGCCGGCTCGCTTAACAAGAGCCTTGAGACTTCCCGTGTCGAAGTGCACTTTGTTGTTCGCTTGTCCGCGAACCGGCGTCGAAACAGAGCGTTGCTGCATGGCGTCCATGACCGTCTTAACAATCCCGGAAACGTCATCAGTGCTACGCGTAGCCCTATTCTCGGGTGTCCGCGGAGCGTCGGGGAGAGAACTATCGTCGGATAGGGGCCAACTGCCGCCACCCCCGCCGCCGCCAAATATGTCATCATCGGGGATGACTGATCTTCGTCGGATCGAATGACGCGAGCGAACCACAGTCGTCTTTGACATACTAATGTCCGAAAAGTCTAACGAGGCGGCGTCAAACCCGTCGTCGTTAAACCTATCACTGATGTTGGATGGGATCTCCGTGGGCGGGGACGAGGAAGCGGTTTGAGTACCCTCCATGGGTTCATCCTCGTCGGGTGAGGCTAACGCAATGATGCCCTCTGCTTCCTTCCAAAGACTGGCATGTGGGCCCCCAAGCATGTCCATATCGCGCCCGTGTCGGCAGAGTCGCTTAAGGTCATTAACCAGAAGCGAGAGTTCTCGGATTTGGCCCGAGTGAGCCTTGACGCTGGATTGGGATGCTTGGATCGGTTCGGGGACGACGAAGCTTCTGCACGAATCCTTGCCTGTAGTCAACTCGGTAGGGGACTCTTCAAACTCAAAATCGTCACCCCAATCTTCGCTGACGCCCTTGCTACCCAGGCCCCAAGTCCCAAATTTAGTACTGGATGGTGTCTTTTGGTTCTCGATTTGGTCATGGACGATGGGGACGCTCTGGCTCCTAACATGGGCCGCAATGGGGCCTCTCCTAGTGACGGCCCTGCCACCCCTAATGTCAATGTCCTGCTTACCATGGACAGTCTTGGGCCGCAGAGACTGGCCCTCGCCGTCCTGCTTCTCATAAACTGCTGGCTCGCTCCAATCAAAGAGGTTGCTGAGGGGTCGCTCTGTCATTGTCGAGTTCCTTGCTTCCGAGTGTCGGTTGCCACTAATAGATGCAAGCGCTACCCGAAGATTGGGGTGTATATTTCTAGCATTCACCACGCTGTTCTTCGATGGTGGAGATAGCCGGTTACTGAGGACATCATCATCTTGGTCCGTGTAGTCGTCCCTGGTCCAGTCTTCGTCATCATCGTCGAGGGACAGACGACCAAAATCCTTGTTCGGGAGTGAGTAATGGTTGGTGCTGCCTCCCAGGGTAAAACTATCATTCCTGACAATTGTTGCTGGCTCCTGGAGGCCGCCAATGTTGTGGGTAAGGCGGACGGGCGTCAAGGCACCTTCGTCATCCTCTTCCATGATCCTGTCATGCTCACCATCCCAGTTTCGAATTAGGACCTCTTGTATCGACAATCGCTTAGCCTTCGTCTGTCCCGCAGTGCTTGGTGGCGACTCATCAAACATCGACTCGAGAGGCGTCTCGGTAGACCGTACGCGACCGGAGGCCACGGTTCTTATCGAGTCAAAGATCGTATCACTCTTGAAGTCCGTGTCATCATCGTCGCCGGACGTAAAATCTCTGCCGTCGAAGTCGGAACTTGTCAAAGTTGGCGATCGATGAGTCCGAGACAAGCCTGGAGGTACCATGGAGCTAGAGGCACGAGAACTTCCGGACGGCTGATGAGGTCGGATAGTGGGCGAAATGGCGCCTACGGGTGAGGGCGCACCCGAAGCGGCACTCAATTTCGTCAAGTCAATGTTGAAACTCGACAGTCGGGAAAGAGGAGGCAAGGGAGAGGAAGTATTTCGGTTCCTAGCCTGGGCAAGCGTCTGTTTCGACGGATCGACGACGTCATCCGTCGTCTTGCTCTTGGCATTCGTCCGAGTCAGTTTCCCATTGGGGCTCCTCTCCTGTTGGGCAGGATCCGTCGACACTGGCGCAGAAACATGCCGTTTACCTCCTGGCTTCGTCGACTCCGATCCCCGCTTGGGGCGGCGAATGCTACCTGACCGCATAATCCAATTACCCGGGGACGAAAAGGTCATAGAAATGGAACGTTTTGCCCGTTTCGAAGGAGTATCCTCGGGGGTGGAATTCGAGGAATCCGTGGATCGGCCGTTTGAATCATCAGCTACCTCTGGTTGCTCCTCCTCCGCGCAATCAGGACCACGCTTTTGCGTGGGAATAGATGAGATGGCACCCGGCTGCGTTAGGTAGACAGGCTTTCGATGACTATTATTAGGAGAAATCCGCTTCACCAATGTGGAAGGGCCTCCGTCGTTTGAGCGCGACGAGATTCCCTTTACACCAACCTTGACGAGGCGGGAGTGGAAGAATGAGATCCACCCACGTGGGGCAGGGGCCGGATGAGTTAGAATATGATCCCGGTCAACCGGCGGAGAGAGGTCGAGTCCCGGCAACTGCCGGTCGAAAGAGAACTTCCTCGGCGAGCACGGCGGAGAGGTTAGGTCGTTGTTACCCTGCCTTGACTGTCGCAACGTGGCCGATCTCTGGTGGCTCGTGGCCGGGCGGCGGAGGCTTGGGAGATGTGTCTTGGAACGGCGTCTGGACTGGGGATCGCTGTAGTTGGCGTGCGACGGTGGGGGTGGACGCTTCACCAACTTATTAGGAGGAAGGGGGGTTATGACGTCTGAGGGAAGAAATGGAGCAGAAGATCCGTGGGAGAAGGTCAATGACTGCGTATCGGGCCCGACACTCGACCGGACACTAGATGGGCGAATGGAAAACCGTTTTATCCACGAGCCATTGGAAGATAGTGAGTCTCTAGAAGATTCGGCAATCGGATGGGTCGAGTAATCCCCCGGCCGGTTCAAGGAGAGACGCCTAAGATGTCCTTGTTTCGAGGTCAAGTGAGGATTGGGCTGCCTCGGTCGAGGGGGGGTCGAGGTCGAGTCGGTGAGAGAGAAGTGGTGGGGGAGTGTGTTGTAGGCTTTATCCTCTGCCGCAGAAGCCGGTGTGTAGGAGCTGGTGCCCGGTCTCGAGAAAAGAGAAGCACCGGCGTAAGCGTACTCGGGACCTTCGCCGGCCAATGTAGATTGCCTCTCGTTCGTCACTGTTTGGTCGGTGGTCGAATTCAAGTCGGCGGGTTGGCTGAAGACTAAACCGGTGGCCGCAGCAGCGACAGCAGTGCCAGTTCCAACAAGCTAAGCAAGGAGGAGCGAGCCTGAGTTAGCAATTGAAGTCAACAGGCTGTATTGGAGCTTGAATGAGGAGGAATAGCTCAAGACGGCAGTTGTAGGGCAAGCGGGGGGAGGATAGCAAGAGAAGAGAATCTAAGGTGGGCATGAAATGCCAGAAGCAAAGAACCAAAAACTTTTGTGGTGTCTAATTTCCTGCGAGGCAAGCATTCATTTCTCCAGAGAATTGAGATGAGAGCAGTCCAGGGAGAACTGGAGAGGAGCAAGCCAGAGGAGTGATTCAGAATAGACGAGAAAAAAAAATAAGCAGCGCAGGGCAAAAAGGAAGAAAAAAAAGCACTGCATGCTAGGGCAGCAGCATGATCCACCGAGTTCGACGGGTGTTTTGAGTCCCCAGCCAAGGACACTAAATGCAATGGGCAGGAATCCACCCTGGGAGATCAAGTCCCGGCGCGGATAATTCCAAAACCAAGCAGGTAAATTGGTAGAAAAAGATGATCTGAAAGGAAATCAGGGAGACTCACACTTGGAATGGCCTGCATCTTCACTCTGGGGAAGAGGCCCTACTCGGAGGAGGTATGACGCGAAAGGAAAGGGACCATGCGCGCGAGCGATCGACGAAGGTAGGCGGCTCTCTCCAGATGCGATGGCAGAATAAGCATCGTTCTCAGGACATTGTCAATTTCCCACGTCCGAGACCTAGATGAAATTTTCGCGTGTCGGGATCGGCTGTCGATGTTGTTGGGGATTCGGGAGAGGGATCTGCTGGATGACGAGGGAGAAGATCCAGGCAATGGGGAGGAAATCGAAGACCACCGCCGCAAAACACCCTGGGTTTCTGGGGTTGTTGTTTACTCGACCCGTCCCTTCCAAAATTCTAATCCCTCCAAAGCTGGGGCGAAATAGGGAAAGAACGAGGAAGGCCCAGAAGAAAAGGAAAAGAAAAAAGAATTGGTCTCCGAGGAAAGAGACACTCGCCCAACGGGGAAAACAAAGAAAGAAACGGAAGGAGTAGCAAAAAAAGAAAAAAACAAGGTGGACGGAGAAGAAGTAGAAAAAGTGTATATAAGAGACGAAGAGGAATAACAAAATGCTTGGAAGGACCGAGCGGATGAGGGAAACACGGTTAGAGGCAGATGTACGAGTCGCAAGTATTGATGTCAAATTACTCCTTGTGTGAAGGTACAATTGTATGCAGTATTTGGCCTGGTGTAATTGTACGTATTGAGTACCAGTATTCGGTCTGCGTATGGGTATGTAGGTGTTGCGCGGTACCGTCCCGTCTGGGTATTTTGGCAGCAGGAAGGGGGGAGGGGTGTGTGGGTGGGTGTACGCTGTATTATTAGCTTGAGGGGGAAGAAGGAACGAGCCTCTCAAGGAACTCGAAGAACACGGTAAAATTGGTCGGTGGCTTGACGGCAGTGGACGGAGCAATCGTCAAAAATACTACATACGATCTTCAACTCAGACGGAGTACGAGCGAGGTACGCGAGTTTTTAGTGGCATTCCATCCAGAGCCAGCGCATCGATTGGGGATATGAATCCTAATGACGATAATGATGCATTGAATCAATTGATGTACGAAGTATGTATATCGACAATGTTCAGGTCAACGAGCAGCTGTGTAGGGTGAGGCGAGGTCGAGTAGCAGTACTACACAGCAAATGTACTTTTGAGAGACAGGCACGCACCGTCCAAGAGCTCTGCTGGTCAGGCCAGGCTATGTGGGTTGGTCGTTTCAGTCAGTGCCCTGAACCAGAAACCGGGCGGGACTTGGCCCAGGACATTGGACGGAGTCTGGCACTTGGAGCCCTCGTGCCCAGTACCTGCGCAGTTACGACCCCAGGGGCGCGCACCGTCATCGACGCAGTGCATGCGAGCCTGCACACTCCCTACGATTGTAAGCCTGGGCGCATTTGTAGTGGATCAATCAGAAGCACTTTCAATTTTATTCCAATTTTACTTGGTCCGATCAATGCATCTAGCCCTGTCAGCCCGTGTAACGCGCCAAATTACCTGATGAGAGTGGACAAAGTCGATCCTGCTAAGATTGGTGTTTCTCGCCTCATGGAGCCATCAAATGGTTAGTGGACTATTAGCCTGCACGAAAAGAAAAGACTCTGCAGAAGACAAACATGCAATTCTCGCCACTATTAAGTGTCAAATGGGATACGACCGAGGATAGGGAGCAAAGGGCTTTCATGGGGGTATTGAGCATATAGAGAAATGCCTACTATATCCGACTCGGTCGCTCATTGTGCCGTTGAGGCAGACTGCTTCGCCCAAAGATAGGCGAGCTCATCCAAGTCTTGCCGATGTCCTGGATTAATTGCCCCGATTCCTCTGAATCTCGGCCCCGCCAAGGGTTAGACTTGAACCTCCGTTGTCTTTAGCCCCCAAAGGTTTCTACGAAGGAATTTCCAATCATTCTTCACTGCTTCAGAGCTTAGTGGACACCCTAGAATACGTCCAGACAGGGACAGGCTAGCTCGCTACGAGTCGGTTGAGACGGCTTACTGCTTGAAGCTGTGTCGCGTCGAGACAGATTGCGTCAGAACACTGGCAGAGAGAGTCCAAGCCTCCAAAGGGCACCAAGGTGGGTACTGAGCATTTCCAGGCGTGCCAAGTGACAGAGGAATTATTTAGTTTAGCACACAGGCGTCAATTGCAAGATCAGTGCCATTTTGTGCTATTATCCATTGGCTCCCATGTTTTGTCGGCTTCACAAAGAGTGAGATCAGGATGAATCTGATACTCATCAGTTGATCAACATTACTCTGTACGTATTCATGCAGGCCTGCTGTTAAGGGAATGGTCTGCGAGAGTGTCGCAGGCAGGCATGCAAAGGAATATTACACTACTTCGTACAGCAGAATAACGGCGACGAGAGCAAATCGTACGCAACCGCCGAGGTTGTCTTGGGACAGTCTCACAGGGTCTGTCCTTGTGAGCAGAAGAGACTCAGCAAAGCCTTGGAGAAGAAGAGGAAAAAAAGTCACAAGGAGACCGAAGAATCAGGGCACAAGGCACTGAAGACGCTCCGACACTTCGCAATTTGACATTTCAACCTTCTTTGGGTCTTCGTCTGGGGTCCTGCAGTTGCTGTGTCAGATGCCCATTTCCACGGATCCACCGAATTGGCTCTAAAGATGAGAGAGGCGTTGTTCCAATCCCACCCAAGGAAAGACAGACTCGTATCTGTGCGTGGATAGGTTATGAAAGAGTGGAGGGCTCCTTACGCGCTCGCTGCGTTCCACATGCCATTTGGGGCCAAGACACCCAGTCGTGGAGAATTTCGAACTACCGGCCCCGACTCTTCGACTCCTTCGTACACATTGAGCGGAAGTGTGGATGAATATTCGACCTGTCGAAGGCAATTGGCGAAGCAATGTACACACCATTAGCTACTTGGTACTCACGTATAGGATGGCTGCAATCCGGCTTCGTACGCAACTCTTAGAGTCATTCATCAAGCGTTAAACCGAAACCCACTTCCGCTGGTTCGAACGAAACCTGTGGGGAACGAGATTTAGTGCATCATACACAGCGGTACTGGGGCATATCAGAAACCAGAGATGCTATCTGCAAGGATGGGTGATCGGCATTATTCTCCATGAGAAATTGTGAGACTTATTACCGAACAGGATCCAAGATGAGAGGGGGGATTAATGAGAGACAACTGCAACTCAGACAAGAATACAAAGGACATCCCCTTGCCCTGTTCGTCTGTTAGTCGGGGGTGGGAACGCCGAAACGCCTATTAGCTTGCGAGGATGGACTCAACTTGTCGAAAATACTCGCGGAGACAAATTCCTACTCCGACCGAGAACCATGCAAATCGACACAAGATCCTTGAAAATTGCTGGACAGCTTTTACCAGGATAAGGCGGGACAGAGTTGCTTCTGCAGGGATGATGGCGGACGCCGTCCATCCATGATCCTCCCATGTTTCCAGCTCTCCCCTGTTCCCTGATGTGCGATGTCGTTTACCAGATTCCGCGAGTTTCGGTACAATTTTTTTTTTTTTTTCATCTTTTTTCATCAATTGATGCAGGCGAAGTCGAGATACTCCTTCGAACGAGGTACTCAGCAGTCTCAAGATGTGTCTCCTACTTCTACTCGCAGCCACGTACACACACGACACTTTTTTCCTTTTTTTTTTTTTTTATTGCACGTGCACCGGTCGTCGCATCAATCGCCAAATACAACCAGTTTCACCATAATTTACTCCGTCACCGAAGCGCCCGTGTCACAAGAAGAGCAGCAAAGTATTTATGCCAAATATTGTCCCAAACGTACGAAGTATATGTAGTCACCTGGAGCTGCCTCAAAAGATTATCCCCAATCCTCCCTCGTACAGCGTAGATCTACAGTGCTATCGTCTCAACCCAGTCAAGATGCACCATGGTCCTCCCCCCAGACAGGAATGGAGGTGGCAAAGCTTGCCCGCATCACTAGGCAGACCGCATTGAGATAAAGCTGCTGTATGATGACGATATATTTGAGTTCAGCTTGCCAGATTCCTCATGAACACGCAATCAATCAGTAACCGACTCGATCGGCACTACGAAGGAGGTTACCCCAAAGCTTGCAGAGTAGATTGAGTCAAAGAGAACTCATGTCAATGTCAATCAACAACGCATCCCCATAATCTTTCTTGACTGGCTCTGCAAGTTGAGGTCCACCGGCCATAAATGGCGGCCCCTGTTTTGATCTCTCAGAGCTGAATCTCTAGCTGTTTGATCAATATCAAAATAAACATTCGTGGTTGTCAAAACAAATACGAAGTACGAAGTCGTCGCTGCGTTTCCTGTTTGCTATCAAGCTGTGCAAACTGCAACCGACTCCCGACGTCGGTTCGGCATCCAACCTGGACGTGCGCCCGGGATTGAAGGACCCGACACGACGACAAATATCACCTGGAACCCGCTAATATATTGTATTACACCCCGGTCCACGACCCATTGACATCGTTATCTCGTGAGCAAACCCTTGATTCAAACAAGTATCAACTGGAAGATGATCAATGTAAAAACCCAGTCTCGAGTCATACGCGGCACTCGCTTCAAGTCCAGAGGCTCAATTCCAACAAAGATCCCCGAATGATTTACATCCGCATCAGCCCATCGCTCGAGATATTGCCCTCCTAATTTGAACCAGACTTGTCGAAGACGGCGGTCACCTCGGCACGAGAGCGGCTTGTTATTACGAGCCACCTGCAGCACTTTGAACATACGAAGTAGTGGAGTTTACCCTCTTTCGCCAAAGACTGCATGAGATCTGTCTGGGCGTAGTGCTTGCAAGAGTGAAGGAGAGTTGCTTTTTTGTCCAAATCGGGGCAATCTTCATTAAGGGAAAAAAGAAAATCCTTCGTCTAGTACAGGGAAGGAAAATGGACGCTCAGATGGTTTAATATACCATCTGGTCTCGCTTCCCCGCAAGGAAGCTTGGGAACATCGATAGATGCAGTGACCCGTTGGACACATTGCTCGTCCTACAGGCGGACGGCAGGCTCTCTTGGCTGTGCCTGGAAACTCAATAT